GCTGTTAGTGTTTCCTCGTGACTCGTGTTTTATTCTAGACAATGCATTTCCAAAATAGTGACCTGAGTTTTTCTGGAATATTTAGACATATCTATTATCACAAAGCCAGTATTACGAACTTCGTTTTTCCGTATAATGTTTTCTATCGTACTTTCCTGATGTTGACTTTGACGGTGACATATCGTTAACATTGTCCGTCAAATTATCACTCAACGACAGGGCTACATACCAGAGGCGTAGCGACACCTCCCTGCGCCCGGGGACAAACTTTTAATTTTTTTAATTTGGCGCCCCCACATATATATATATATATATATATATATATATATATATATATATATATATATATATATATATATATATATATATATATATATATATATAAAATTTAAAATAGCTAACATGAGCTTATTTTTGCGCCCCTAGGGTCGGCGCCCGGGGACATATTTACCCCCCCCCCCCCCCCATTCGCTACGCCTTTGCTACATACTGTTATCACTGTTTTAAGCTACACACAATTTGGAGTTAAACACGTCTAAGTTAGACCGGAGATATATTTAAGCTAATCTAAGTTAGACCGGAGGTATATTTAAGCTAATCGGCATACTAAGATCATGTTGACGTTTAATGACTATTCCAAAGGTGGTCAACACATTATCTTTCACTTGTATTTTTTTTTCATGTATCGTAGTCTGAACAAAAATCGTGGATACAGTTTTCTACAGTCGTATTCAACCCTAATTTTACAGAAAACTTCAATTCTCTTTCATGTCGATCTAATTGTTTAGACTAAAGATTTCGCTTTTTATTTGGGTTAAATTTTTATTGACATAATTTCGCTTTGAACAATCAGCAAGCTATATCCAAAACGTCTATTTATTGATTGAATTAACTCATTTGTCTTTGATTGATCTTGTATTTCCCCTTTTTTGTTTTACTTCACCTTAATTTAATAAGGGTTGCTTCCCCTTCCGCGGCACTTCCAACCAGTCTTAAAATAGCCAGTCTGTAGTATGAGCGCCTCCCCCCTCATCCACATCACATTATATAGAAGAGAGCATGAACTGGTCCTCTTATCAACCAGCTCAGATAAGGCGGCACTTGTGCCCCCACTGGCTTCATGTCAATTCATTCTTCAATATTCGCCACAACTTGTTTAGCTCCTTCAGTCTTTTTCTCGCTTAACTCCCTAGTCTTAAGCTGATATAGCTCTCTGTGCCTACAGCTTTTTTTATATTTCTCATTGCAGCCTGTAGCTGTTCTAGCTTTCTCATTGCTGCCCTCATGCTATTTTAGCTTCCTCATTGCTGCATGTAGCTATTTTAGCTTCCTCAATACTACCTACAGCTATTTTAGCTTCCTCATTGCTGCATGTAGCTATTTTAGCTTCCTCAATACTACCTACAGCTATTTTAGCTCCCTCATTGCTGCATGTAGCTATTTTAGCTTCCTCATTGCTGCCTACAGCTGTTCTAGCTTCCTTATTGCTGCCTACAGCTGTTCTAGCTTGCTCATTGACTACAGCTAGTAATACTGTCTCTTTGCGTACAGCTGCTCAACACAACTGTGTCAGTATCTTCATGTTTCAGTATCACACTCATGTATCTGGCTGTTTCAGTACCTCACTCATGGCTACATCCAGAATATTATTTAAGTATAAATAAGCTGTTTATGGCCTTATACAACAGCTATGAAGTAACATCAATGTTCACAGGCGACCACACACTACAGTACTGTACGCTGTGTTGTGTTGACCACACACTACAGTACTGTACGCTGTGTTGTGTAGACCACACACTATAGTACTGTATGCTGTTCTGTGTTGAACTGACCACACACTACAGTACTGTACGCTGTGCTGTGTTGAGCACACACTAGAGTACTGTACGCTGTGCTGTGTTGAACTGACCACATTCTACAGTACTGTACGCTGTGCTGTGTTAAACTGACCACACACTACAGTACTGTACGCTGTGCTGTGTTGACCACACACTACAGTACTGTACGCTGTGCTGTGTTGAGCACACACTACAGTACTGTACGCTGTGCTGTGTTGAACTGACCACACTCTACAGTACTGTACGCTGTGCTGTGTTGAACTGACCACACACTACAGTACTGTACGCTGTGCTGTGTTGAGCACACACTACAGTACTGTATGCTGTGCTGTGTTGAGCACACACTAGAGTACTGTACGCTGTGCTGTGTTGACCACACACTACAGTACTGTACGCTGTGCTGTGTTGAACTGACCACACACTACAGTACTGTACGCTGTGCTGTGTTGAGCACACACTAGAGTACTGTACGCTGTGCTGTGTTGACCACACACTACAGTACTGTACGCTGTGCTGTGTTGAACTGACCACACACTACAGTACTGTATGCTGTGCTGTGTTGACCACACACTAGAGTACTGTACGCTGTGCTGTGTTGACCACACACTAGAGTACTGTACGCTGTGCTGTGTTGACCACACACTAGAGTACTGTACGCTGTGCTGTGTTTACCACACACTAGAGTACTGTACGCTGTGCTGTGTTGACCACACACTAGAGTACTGTACGCTGTGCTGTGTTGACCACACACTAGAGTACTGTACGCTGTGCTGTGTTGACCACACACTACAGTACTGTACGCTGTGCTGTGTTGAACTGACATAAGGTTAAGTCATGCCCCCCTCCCCGCCCTTATCTTCCCTAACACAAAAACCCACTGTAGGCACCTTTCACCTTTTCCGAATTTCACCCCCCCCCCCCCCCCCCACCCTTAACCCCGTCTCTTATCTCTGGCACCAATCGGCAGCTAACCACCTGTCTTCCCCCTCCTCCCAGAACGGATCTCTTCATTCATAGCATCCTGTCCTGTGTTCTGGCTCTCTGTATCACACGATACATGTTTTCGTCTTAACCCGTAGAGTACACCCCAGCCCGTCTCAAGTTTTCGTCCGTATTCACACAGGATGTAGTGTACTGCTGGTAAATTCACATGTGTAACTTTAATTGTGGATGGTAGCGTGCTTTGATGGTAGATGTGTTCCATCCGAGGCCTTGTTTGTTTTGGCACATCTTAACTTCGTAGATGTATTTTTTTAGAACTTAACCTTCTACTTTCTCATCTTAGCTGTGTGCTACCCATGTTAGATTTATACTTGCCCATCTTAGCTGTGTGCTATCTATGTTAGATTTATACTTGCCCATCTTAGCTGTGTGCTACCCATGTTAGATTTATACTTGCCCATCTTAGCTGTGTGCTACCCATGTTAGATTTATACTTGCCCATCTTAGCTGTGTGCTATGTTAGATTTATACTTGCCCATCTTAGCTGTGTGCTACCCATGTTAGATTTATACTTGCCCATCTTAGCTGTGTGCTATCTATGTTAGATTTATACTTGCCCATCTTAGCTGTGTGCTATGTTAGATTTATACTTGCCCATCTTAGCTGTGTGCTATGTTAGATTTATACTTGCCCATCTTAGCTGTGTGCTATGTTAGATTTATACTTGCCCATCTTAGCTGTGTGCTATGTTAGATTTATACTTGCCCATCTTAGCTGTGTGCTACCCATGTTAGATTTATACTTGCCCATCTTAGCTGTGTGCTATGTTAGATTTATACTTGCCCATCTTAGCTGTGTGCTATCTATGTTAGATTTATACTTGCCCATCTTAGCTGTGTGCTACCCATGTTAGATTTATACTTGCCCATCTTAGCTGTGTGCTACCCATGTTAGATTTATACTTGCCCATCTTAGCTGTGTGCTATGTTAGATTTATACTTGCCCATCTTAGCTGTGTGCTACCCATGTTAGATTTATACTTGCCCATCTTAGCTGTGTGCTATCTATGTTAGATTTATACTTGCCCATCTTAGCTGTGTGCTATGTTAGATTTATACTTGCCCATCTTAGCTGTGTGCTATGTTAGATTTATACTTGCCCATCTTAGCTGTGTGCTATGTTAGATTTATACTTGCCCATCTTAGCTGTGTGCTATGTTAGATTTATACTTGCCCATCTTAGCTGTGTGCTACCCATGTTAGATTTATACTTGCCCATCTTAGCTGTGTGCTATGTTAGATTTATACTTGCCCATCTTAGCTGTGTGCTACCCATGTTAGATTTATACTTGCCCATCTTAGCTGTGTGCTATCCACACTATAGAACTTTACCTGTCTAAAGATGCTCTATACATCGTAGTCTGATGTCTTAAGATGGTCTTATAACAAAGTGCCTGCTGATGTTCTACAGAACTTTTTACATTAATATGTTCTATATAACTTAGCCTGGTGCCTAAAGAAGTTCTATATAACTTAGCCTGGTGCCTAAAGATGTTCTATATAACTTAGCCTGTTGCCTAAAGATGTTCTATATAACTTAGCCTGGTGCCTAAAGATGTTCTATATAACTTAGCCTGTTGCCTAAAGATGTTCTATATAACTTAGCCTGGTGCCTAAAGATGTTCTATATAACTTAGCCTGGTGCTAGTTATGGCACAAGTCTATTTGATCTTCTATGTCTCTAGCGACTTGCAGTCTACACATGGCCATGCCAGTGATATCTATAAATATAAATATATATATATATATATATATATATATATATATATATATATATATATATATATATATGTACTTATAAATAGTTATATTTATAAATAGTACTAACTAGTTCTTTACAACTTTTTTGAAAACTTACTTTACTATGGACTTGTCGTTGTCTGATCTATCTTTGTTGTGCCATTGTCTGCCTGCAATGTCCATCTCCTTAGTCACATACCACTAACTTGTACTTATATGTAGGCCGTATAAATATAATAGGGCGTACATATGACCTATATAATGGCCCACGTATATATGACCTACATATGAATGACATTATATATATATATATATATATATATATATATATATATATATATATATATATATATATATACATACACACGTTACTTGACTGCCAACCTCCCTAAGGCGTAGTTTTCCTTGCATGTCTTCACAGAATACAGTCTCGCTGGAGTCCGGGATTTAGCTGAGGAGTTGTTCCAGCTCCAAGATTACCAGCTGTATAAATCATTTTTAACCAAGGTAAGTCTCCCCTCTACATTCGTGTGTACGTCCAATCGGACAGAAAGCTATGACATCACAGATTTCATTGGCGCACGGTGTGCAAGTTTTAGTGTAGCCGCATGCAGCACTGACGCCTAAGTCAAGAATGTGCGGCTTTGGTTTCACTTGTATTTAATGTCACTCACATCGGCCATAAACCGAATAAATAATACTTTTTTTAAAGCGAAAGTTGGAAGTTTTGTGAAATGGTGGAGGGGTTGTTTACTATAGAGAAGGCGTACGTCAGATGTATTATAATGTATAAGGATGCAATGTGAAATGAAATCTAAAAATAAAACATTAATAGTATCCTTGGGGTCACAGGGCAAGCGGTCGTATGTAGATTAAGTCACAAAGTTTAGTTATATTCTTCCGATACTTACCCTCCCCGGCACGCCTAATTCTTTTGTATCATTGCATTCTCCTCCTTTGTAGCTTTTTTTAATTGTGGTCAGTCTGATAATTTAATTAATCGGATAATGTGACCTGTGGGAGAATGTGACATGTAACCTGTCGGGATCGGGATTAATTGACCAGTCTGATTAGTTGACCAGTGTGTTTAGTTGACCTGTAAGATGAATAGACCATTGAGATTAGTTGACCTATAAAATGATTTGATCAGTGTGATAAGTTGACCAGTTAATTAGTTGACCTTCAATATGAATTGACCAGTGTGATTAGTTGACCTGTGTGATTAGTTGACCTGTAAGATGAATTGACCAGTATATTTAGTTGACCATTGAGAAATTGACTGTTATTGTGATACCTAACCTCAGTTAGACCGCAGGGGTCAGTGTGATTGTTCACAGTAGACCGCATGGGTCAGTGTGACACGTGTCCTCAGTAGACCGCAGGGGTCAGTGTGATACGTGTCTTCAGTAGACCGCATAGTTCAGTGTGCCCTAGGGGTCATTGTGATACTTCCTTAGACCACTGTGATCTATATGCCCAGGGGTCAGTGTGCCCTAGGGGTCATTGTGATACTTCCTTAGACCACTGTGATCTCTATGCCCAGGGGTCAGTCAGTGTGATACGTGTCCCAATCACCTAAACCGCGCGGAATGGTGTTATCTTGAATGATTATCTCTGTCGTGTACCGACCAAACCTTAACATCACGTCATCAGACAGACGTTGACAAGTGATTGTCTTCCAATTAAGACCAGCTGTAAGATGGACATGTAGAGATCTAGTTTCTCTTGATTTGAGCGAGGGCGACCATGCGCCGGTTCTATGTGAGTAATGAGTCAGTTGTCCTCGTGTCGTTTGATGAGTCACCGGGTTAGGTCTAATTTTATATTCATTCGTCACCGCGACGTACGCCTTGTAACGCTGCACGCCTTCCTGTTTAGCCCTTGTAAAAACACCAGTCACTTTGTTACGGTGTGGGCTGTTAAGTACTTGATGTTAAGAGACGGGTTCACTGTCTGCTATGTAGACAGATATATAAATACCACACGTACAAGGAGAGCTTTATGTTACATGCCTATTTGTAGACTATTATTCATGTGCTATTTTGGCATTCGTTTGTTTTCTGTGTTGATTTAGTGTACCCTTATAAACCATTCCACAGTTGTTTTTTTATAAATCGTGTATCAAATATAAGTGATACCTCGCCGCTAGTCTGTGTGTTTATTTTTGGTATGTCTGTAATAGGTTGTGCTGGTTTAATTATATCTATTTACATCACTGATGAAATGCTGATTACATCCCCACTAGTACATGTTGGATATAGCATATTTATACCAATACATGCTATACATATTTACACTACCAATACATGTTAGTTATATTTCCCCACCTATACATTTTAAATATATATATTTACACCGCCAACACATGTAAGATTTATGTACTCCATCAATGGGTGAAAGATAATATATGCATACAATCATATGTTAGATGTATGCACACTACTAAAGGGTTCAAACAAACACCCAGCTTTACCCCACCAGCTTTACCCCACCAGCTTTACCCAACCCACCAGCTGTCACAGCTGTAGCTCCCATCTTTACCCAACCCACCAGCTGTAGCACCCAGCTTCACCCAACCCACCAGCTGTAGCACCCAGCTTTACCCAACACACCAGCTGTGGCACCCAGCTTCACCCAACCCACCAGCTGTAGCAACCAACTTTACCCAACCCACCAGCTGTAGCACCCAGTTTTACCCAACCCACCAGCTGTAGCACCCAGCTTCACCCAACCCATCAGCTGTAGCACCCAGCTGTACCCAACCCACCAGCTGTAGCACCCAGCTTTACCCAACCCACCAGCTGTAGCACCCAGCTTTACCCAACACCAGCTGTATCACCCAGCTTCACCCAACCCACCAGCTGTATCACCCAGCTTCACCCAACCCACCAGCTGTACTAGCTGTAGCACCCAGCCCTACCCAACCCACCAGCTGTACCAGCTGTATCACCCAGCTTCACCCAACCCACCAGCTGTTCAACCAGCCCTAACCAACCCACCAGCTGTAGCACCCAGCTTTACCCAACTTACCAGCTGTAGCACCCAGCTTTACCCAACCCACCAGCTGTAGCACCCAGCTTTACCCAACCCACCAGCTGTAGCACCCAGCTTCACCCAACCCACCAGCTGTAGCACCCAGCTTTACCCAACACCAGCTGTAGCACCCAGCTTCACCCAACCCACCAGCTGTATCACCCAGCTTCACCCAACCCACCAGCTATACTAGCTGTAGCACCCAGCCCTACCCAACCCACCAGCTGTACCAGCTGTATCACCCAGCTTCACCCAACCCACCAGCTGTTCAACCAGCCCTACCCAACCCACCAGCTGTTCAACCAGCCCTACCCAACCCACCAGCTGTAGCACCCAGCTTCACCCAACCCACCAGCTGCAGCACCCAGCCCTACCCAACCCACCAGCTGTACCAGCTGTAGCACCCAGCTTTACCCAACCCACCAGCTGTAGCACCCAGCTTCACCCAACCCACCAGCTGTAGCACCCAGCTTTACCCAACCCACCAGCTGTACTAGCTATATCACCCAGCTTCGCCCAACCCACCAGCTATATCACCCAGCTTTACCCTACCCACCATCTATACCAAAAGACATCTGTTTGCAGGACCTGAGGAAGTGGAACCTGTCCAGACACAGCTCCTCCTGTCCATCCCTCAATGACCCAGTGCAGTGTGTAAGGCTGTCTCCTCTCACTGAGGGAGGTCAGTATTTTAGTTCATCAGTTGATGTGTTCTATTTTAGTTCATCATCTGATGTGTTCTATTTTAGTTCATCATCTGATGTGTTCTATTTTAGTTCATCAGGTGATGTGTTCTATTTTAGTTCCTCATCTGATGTGTTCTATTTTAGTTCATCAGTTGATGTGTTCTATTTTAGTTCATCATCTGATGTGTTCTATATCTGATGTGTTCTATTTTAGTTCATCAGGTGATGTGTTCTATTTTAGTTCCTCATCTGATGTGGCTAGTTCATCAGATGTGTTCTATTTTAGTTCATCAGTTGATTTGTTCTATTTTAGTTCATCATCTGATGTGTTCTATTTTAGTTCATCATCTGATGTATTCTATTTTAGTTCATCATCTGATGTGTTCTATTTTAGTTCATCATCTGATGTGCTCTATTTTAGTTCATCATCTGATGTGTTCTATTTTAGTTCATCATCTGATGTGTTCTATTTTAGTTCATCATCTGATGTGTTCTATTTTAGTTCATCATCTGATGTGTTCTATTTTAGTTCATCATCTGATGTGTTCTATTTTAGTTCATCAGGTGATGTGTTCTATTTTAGTTCATCATCTGATGTGTTCTATTTTAGTTCATCAGGTGATGTGTTCTATTTTAGTTCATCAGTTGATGTGTTCTATTTTAGTTCATCATCTGATGTGTTCTATTTTAGTTCATCAGGCAATGTGTTCTATTTTAGTTCATCAGGCAATGTGTTCTATTTTAGTTCATCAGGTGATGTGTTCTATTTTAGTTCATCATCTGATGTGTTCTATTTTAGTTCATCATCTTTCAACTATTAGATTCACATTCATTATATTCAACAATGAGATTAAAAATTAGTTGACTTGTAAAGTTTACAGTTTTTTCTCTGCATATTTTGCTTCTATTCGGTGTAGAATATTTGTTAAGAAATAATTGCATTACCAGCATGAGTTTAATCTTTGACTATCTTACAGTTTTTTACTTGCTACATAATTAGCTCTTATCTACAGTAGTAAATACATGGGCTTTTTTTTAAATTTATTATTTTTTTAATAGTAAATGTTATTTTCTCTTTACTAGGTAATTACATCAAGAACATTACTTTCTCAAACTAGACCATTAAATAGTGAATATTGTTTTCTCCAACTAGACCATTAAATAGTGAATATTATTTTCTCCATCTAGACCATTAAATAGTGAATTTTTTTTTCTCCATCTAGACCATTAAATAGTGAATTTTTTTTTCTCCATCTAGACCATTAAATAGTGAATTTTTTTTTCTCCATCTAGACCATTAAATAGTGAATATTGTTTTCTCCAACTAGACCATTACAAGTCAATGCATGACCTACAAAACGAGAAATCCGAATTTTCCTCAGCCTCAGCTCAGCCAGAAATCAAACCCAGCAGGTAAATGGATTGACAATTAAGTTAAATCTCTAGCCCTGTTATCAGACAGACAGGTAAATGTATTTACCAGAGGACAATGCCTCTTATCTCTAGCACACGTGATGAATCTGTGAACTTATTTTTAGCACCAAGCCATTGCATCATGAAGGCTCCATAGACCAAGGCATCCGCATCTGTGTCAATGGTATCACAGTGGATAGTTCTGAGGACTTCCCTGCTGTGACCGCCAGCCCTGTGAGGGCGACCCAGGACACAGGCAGCCCCACCCAAGCTAAGCTCAGCCACAGGAAGGATGGAAAGGAAGAAGTAGGTTGTGTTTGAACTCATGGCTGTACGGCAGATGAAGTAGAGTTTTCTTGTTTCTTTGACCCGGTGTATTAAAAAAATGATATGGTCAGCACGGTGTGCGGCTGACTTACCTTTACTGACTCCTGTCAGCTGTAGTACAGTTGTTAACTGGAGTCAGTGTTGTCACCTTTACTGACTCCTGTCAGCTGTAGTACAGTTAACTGCAGTCAGTGTTGTCACCTTTACTGACTCCTGTCAGCTGTAGTACAGCTAACTGGAGTCAGTGTTGTCACCTTTACTGACTCCTGTCAGCTGCAGTACAGTTAACTGCAGTCAGTGTTGTCACACAGAGTTGAGCATGTGAGTCCAGACATTTGGACTAGCACTCATGTTTATTTAAAAACTGATTCAAAATGCTGACAGAAGGTAATTTTTTTTTCAAATCACAATTTCAAATTTATATAAATTTTGTAAAGATTGAAAATCTTGTGTGTAATATTGTTTATTTTATCAAATAATGTGTGCATTAATTGTTAATTTATTAATCAAGTAATGCTATTGACTAAATATTTCCATATGCTCCTATCTACTTTAGGACACGATGCTGGTCAGCTCAGGGTGCTGGCTCTATAACCAGCCATCTGTAGGGTCAAACATTCCATTTGACCGTAAAGACCAGTTAACCAGGGTCAGGATGCTGGCCATGACAGGCAAAAGGTAACCAGCGTAGGACACTCACAACATTATCAGGTTCTATCTATTGGTCAGTGAACACAATAATGGATATCTCCCTTGAAATCAGGTTTTATTGGCCAGTGAACACAATAATGGTCATATTCCTTGATGAGCCAGTAACAGTTTTAACAAGTTGGGGCTAACAGAACTAAAGGCTATTTCTTATAAATTGAATTTTAAAAAGTAATTAATTGTTAGATTTTTTCAATTCGTTGGATGTGAGATTAAAAATGGGATATTAAAATCATTTCTGTTAATTATTATGTGGTGAATAAAAATTATCAATGACTTACTTTTTCCTTCACGAGAATTATATAAGTCAAACATGACAGTCTATGGGGCAAGCAAAGTAGAGTTCACTTGTTTCTGTTACATGGTGGAAAAATCATCAATTCTTTCTTGAATTGAAAGATATATTTCTTACTTATTTTGTGTTTAAGAAATGGTACTAAAGACGACTTGTTTCATGACTTGTAAACTATTTTTTTTATGACTTGTAAACTATTGTTTCATGACTTGTAAACTATTGTTTAAGGACTTGTAAACTATTTTTTTTATGACTTGTAAACTATTGTTTCATGACTTGTAAACTATTTTTTTTATGACTTGTAAACTATTGTTTTCTGACTTGTAAACTATTGTTTCATGACTTGTAAACTATTTTTTTATGACTTGTAAACTATTGTTTTATGACTTGTAAACTATTGTTTAATGACTTGTAAACTATTGTTTAAGGACTTGTAAACTATTGTTTTATGACTTGTAAACTATTGTTTTATGACTTGTAAACTATTGTTTTATGACTTGTAAACTATTGTTTCATGACTTGTAAACTATTGTTTCATGACTTGTAAACTATTGTTTCATGACTTGTAAACTATTGTTCTATGACTTGTAAACTATTGTTTCATGACTTGTAAACTATTGTTTCATGACTTGTAAACTATTGTTTCATGACTTGTAAACTATTGTTTTATGACTTGTAAACTATTGTTTCATGACTTGTAAACTATTGTTTTATGACTTGTAAACTATTGTTCTATGACTTGTAAACTATTGTTTTATGACTTGTAAACTATTGTTTTATGGCTTGTAAACTATTGTTTTATGACTTGTAAACTATTGTTTCATGACTTGTAAACTATTGTTTCATGACTTGTAAACTATTGTTTCATGACTTGTAAACTATTGTTTTATGACTTGTAAACTATTGTTTCATGACTTGTAAACTATTGTTTCATGACTTGTAAACTATTGTTTCATGACTTGTAAACTATTGTTTCATGACTTGTAAACTATTGTTCTATGACTTGTAAACTATTGTTTTATGACTTGTAAACTATTGTTTCATGACTTGTAAACTATTGTTTCATGACTTGTAAACTATTGTTTTATGACTTGTAAACTATTGTTTCATGACTTGTAAACTATTGTTTTATGACTTGTAAACTATTGTTTCATGACTTGTAAACTATTGTTTTATGACTTGTAAACTATTGTTCTATGACTTGTAAACTATTGTTTTATGACTTGTAAACTATTGTTTTATGGCTTGTAAACTATTGTTTTATGACTTGTAAACTATTGTTTCATGACTTGTAAACTATTGTTTCATGACTTGTAAACTATTGTTTCATGACTTGTAAACTATTGTTTTATGACTTGTAAACTATTGTTTCATGACTTGTAAACTATTGTTTCATGACTTGTAAACTATTGTTTCATGACTTGTAAACTATTGTTTCATGACTTGTAAACTATTGTTCTATGACTTGTAAACTATTGTTTTATGACTTGTAAACTATTGTTTCATGACTTGTAAACTATTGTTTCATGACTTGTAAACTATTGTTTTATGACTTGTAAACTATTGTTTCATGACTTGTAAACTATTGTTTCATGACTTGTAAACTATTGTTTCATGACTTGTAAACTATTGTTTCATGACTTGTAAACTATTGTTTTATGACTTGTAAACTATTGTTTCATGACTTGTAAACTATTGTTTTATGACTTGTAAACTATTGTTATGACTTGTAAACTTTTGTTTTATGACTTGTAAACTATTGTTTTATGACTTGTAAACTATTGTTTCATGACTTGTAAACTATTGTTTCATGACTTGTAAACTATTGTTTTATGACTTGTAAACTATTGTTTCATGACTTGTAAACTATTGTTTTATGACTTGTAAACTATTGTTATGACTTGTAAACTTTTGTTTTATGACTTGTAAACTATTGTTTTATGACTTGTAAACTATTGTTTTATGACTTGTAAATTGTTGTTTTATGACTTGTAAACTATTGTTTTATGACTTGTAAACTATTGTTTTATGACTTGTAAACTATTGTGTACAGTCTGAGCCTGACCAGCCTGGAGGGAGAACTGGAATCTGAAGAGGAAGACTTCATCATGTCAGCCAATGAGAGCCAAGCTATTCCCATAGCAAGACTAGACAGGGAGGACACAGGCAGTATATCACCTGCTGACTCTACAGGATCTAGTCCTACAGGTTTGTTCTATATTTGTTAGGACACAGGCAGTATATCACCTGCTGACTCTACAGGATCTAGTCCTACAGGTTTGTTCTATATTTGTTAGGACACAGGCAGTATATCACCTGCTGACTCTACAGGATCTAGTCCTACAGGTTTGTTCTATATTTGTTAGGACACAGGCAGTATATCACCTGCTGACTCTACAGGATCTAGTCCTACAGGTTTGTTCTATATTTGTTAGGACACAGGCAGTATATCACCTGCTGACTCTACAGGATCTAGTCCTACAGGTTTGTTCTATATTTGTTAGGACACAGGCAGTATATCACCTGCTGACTCTACAGGATCTAGTCCTACAGGTTTGTTCTATATTTGTTAGGACACAGGCAGTATATCACCTGCTGACTCTACAGGATCTAGTCCCGCAGGTTTGTTCTATATTTGTTAGGACACAGGCAGTATATCACCTGCTGACTCTACAGGATCTAGTCCTACAGGTTTGTTCTATATTTGTTAGGACACAGGCAGTATATCACCTGCTGACTCTACAGGATCTAGTCCCACAGGTTTGTTCTATATTTGTTAGGACACAGGCAGTATATCACCTGCTGACTCTACAGGATCTAGTCCCGCAGGTTTGTTCTATATTTGTTAGGACACAGGCAGTATATCACCTGCTGACTCTAAAGGATCTAGTCCCGCAGGTTTGTTCTATATTTGTTAGGACACAGGCAGTATATCACCTGCTGACTCTACAGGATCTAGTCCCGCAGGTTTGTTCTATATTTGTTAGGACACAGGCAGTATATCACCTGCTGACTCTACAGGATCTAGTCCTACAGGTTTGTTCTATATTTGTTAGGACACAGGCAGTATATCACCTGCTGACTCTACAGGATCTAGTCCTACAGGTTTGTTCTATATTTGTTAGGACACAGGCAGTATATCACCTGCTGACTCTACAGGATCTAGTCCTACAGGTTTGTTCTATATTTGTTAGGACACAGGCAGTATATCACCTGCTGACTCTACAGGATCTAGTCCTACAGGTTTGTTCTATATTTGTTAGGACACAGGCAGTATATCACCTGCTGACTCTACAGGATCTAGTCCTACAGGTTTGTTCTATATTTGTTAGGACACAGGCAGTATATCACCTGCTGACTCTACAGGATCTAGTCCCGCAGGTTTGTTCTATATTTGTTAGGACACAGGCAGTATATCACCTGCTGACTCTACAGGATCTAGTCCTACAGGTTTGTTCTATATTTGTTAGGACACAGGCAGTATATCACCTGCTGACTCTACAGGATCTAGTCCCACAGGTTTGTTCTATATTTGTTAGGACACAGGCAGTATATCACCTGCTGACTCTACAGGATCTAGTCCCGCAGGTTTGTTCTATATTTGTTAGGACACAGGCAGTATATCACCTGCTGACTCTAAAGGATCTAGTCCCGCAGGTTTGTTCTATATTTGTTAGGACACAGGCAGTATATCACCTGCTGACTCTACAGGATCTAGTCCCGCAGGTTTGTTCTATATTTGTTAAGACACAGGCAGTATATCACCTGCTGACTCTACAGGATCTAGACCCGCTTCTGTAGTTTAGGCTGAATGAAAATAATCACAGCAATTACTTTTTAGATGAATAAAAATGTGCTAAAGAAAGAAAAAAGCGAGGAAGTTAACCCAATTTATCAAGACGGAAATGAATTAGTATGAATGCAAGTTTGCTACACTGTATAAGTTCTCAGCAAATATTGAATGTCTGTAAAGCAAATATCCACAAATTTCAGTCTTGTTATTCCATTATTAAATAGAATTTCTATTAACACCTGTATAGGTATGGCAATACTGAAGGAAGTGAAATTCCAGCTGTTACTAAATATAGAACTGGAAAATTTCCCCAAATGAGACTTGCCCTTAAAATATTCTCCATGTGGCAAACACTAGTGTCTTTGTGTCTGTCATGTTAGAATGGCTCAATATTCCATTGGAGAATGTTGGCTCGGGCCAGAAAGGTCACGTGTTTGCCTCTTCTCAAGGCCATGGGATAACAAATATTGACTGTCATGTTCAGCAAGGGGAATAACTCAGAGAAACTGAGACTTAGAGGGCTTAAGATTTTTCTCCTCCTGCTAATGTTTATACTGAACACATAACTCCTACTTTTAAAAAATAAAGTATATTGTTACCAGTTAATGGTACACTTCAATTACCTAAATTTGTCTCTGTTGATTCAGAGGTTTTTTTTAATATGTGGATTTAGAATATAATCATTTAGTGTAAGATAGGGGGCAAGAATAAAAAAAAATTGTTTTGAATATTGATCAAAACAATTTTTTTTATTGATGCAATGAAGAAAATGAATTAGAACACTGGAACATGTGGAAGAACATGTAGAAGAACATGGCCTAGACTAGGACACAGGACAAGTCTGTTTGTGAAGAGAATGGCAGGAATGTGGGTGTGAGGAAGTGACTGTTTTGTTTTCCCACTCAGACAAAGGAACGCTCCACAAACTGTTGCAGTCCATACCTGCTGTCTTCCTGTGGCATTCTTTTTATGGTCTTTTCTAGGGCCAAAATCTCCTGACCACGGAGATTTCTTGTTTTAACCACTTAAAACAATCTCTCCACCTTAGAAGTTGTTTGGTTTTTTAACTGGATGGACTACCATGGTTCATCTATTTAATAGACTATGCCTAGTCTAAAGTGGAAAATATTGTAGATATTGTTTTTGTTCAAAAACAGCAGCCATGGTTCAATTTTTACTGATTGGCCTCCTAAATGGTGAGATAGAAGCTTTAACCAGCATAGCCAGTAGCCACAGTAATTAGTGCAGTAAACTAATTATGTTTTGGTGTAAAATTTTATGTTTGTTTGTAGGTCGTGACATGTTAGATGCATCAAGTCATCGCAAGCTTGGTGGAGAATTATCTTCGTTCAACGCCAAATCTTTATGTGACCTCTCAACCTCCACAGATCTGGACATGGTGAGTTCATCTTTGCCACTCACCCATTGCTGTATTTGTCTCATTCATTTATGGGGATATGTATTTTGGCACTCACTCATTGCTGTATTTGTCTGATTCATTTATGGGGATATGTATTTTGGCACTCACCCATTGCTGTATTTGTCTCATACATTTATGGGGATATGTATTTTGGCACTCACTCATTGCTGTATTTGTCTGATTCATTTATGGGGATATGTATTTTGGCACTCACCCATTGCTGTATTTGTGTCATACATTTATGGGGATATGTATTTTGTTTATGGGGATATGTATTTTGGCACTCACTCACTGCTGTATTTGTCGCATACATTTATGGGGATATGTATTTTGGCACTCACTCATTACTGTATTTGTCTCATACATTTATGGGGATATGTATTTTAATTAGTTTTAAACAGTTTGATAAGAAGTTTTTTGCTCTTAAGGTTTATACACTACTTTTGTGATTCTCATAACTAGATTATATGTGGTAGTATTTAGACCTTGGAAAAAGCTGAATAGGTTTAATGATATATTTGAATCATCTTATTAAAAATGACGACACACTTTTATCTTAAGATAAGCTTGTGAACTGTTTGTTTTTTGTAAACCCAGAACATTTTATATTGGTCCAATTTACTTAATCCTGTACCTGGATTGTTTAAATGTTACATAGATTCACAATAGAAATTGTTTTGAACTCACCAGACCTTGATCAGTGATGGAAATATGAACAGCCTTGGCCACACCAGCCACCACTTTGAGGACAACAGCAACTTAGCTGTCCCACATTCCACCATGACCAAATCTTTGTCTACACCCTCCCTGCCCCAGGCTGCAGAAGGTCAGTTACACTAACGCTGTTACTATCACACCGGGGTTAACATCTGTTTTTTTGTTACATACTTCTTATTATTGATATTATTAGAAATGTTAAATAATAAGACTTAATTCTCATTGATATGGTAGAAAGTTGCTAAGATTAATCCTAAATAAAGTTAATTAATGATTAATAAAGTTAATTAATGATTAACATGTAAGGAAAATCCTAATTAAATAGTAAGACTAAATTCTGATAGATGTGGTAGAAAGCTGCTAAGATAAATCCTAATTAAGTTAATAAATAAAAAGTAAGCCTTGTTGATGTAGCATAAAGTTACTAAGATAAATCTCTATGTTTATCAGGCGACCTCTCACAAAATGTGCGTGACAGACCAGGAAAGCAGTATGTATAAACTTTATCTTGTGTTGTGCTAGTTGTACGTAGTTATGTGTTTATAAACATTCACACAACTTGCACAGAAGTCTTAGACCAGCCAGGCTGTACGTAGTTATGTGTTTATAAACAAACACACAACTTTTTGTGCGTAGTTATGTGTTTATAAGCAAACACTCACACAACTTGCACAGAACTCTTAACGTAGTTATGTGTTTATAAGCAAACACTCACACAACTTGTTGTGCGTAGTTATGTGTTTATAAGCAAACATTCACACAACTTGCTGTACATAGTTATGTGTTTATAAGCAAACATTCACACAATTTGCTGTATGTAGTTAAGTGTTTATAAGCAAACACTCACACATTTTGCTGTACGTAGTTATTTGTCTACACAAACATTCACACAATTTGCTGTATGTAGTTATGTGTTTATAAGCAAACACACAACTTGCACAGAACTCTTAGAAAAGCAGATGTTATACACTTGAAGCCCATCAGCTGTTGTGTTGAGCTGTTTCAACTGTTGATCTAGTTGTTTTTTTTATTCCCAATTTTTCCAAACAATTTAAAGCAACATGTCAACAGTATTAAATAATTAAATAATACTTTTCTTTATCTGAATAGATAGTTGGATTATCCTTTCTAAATCCCCCAGCAAAAATGCATGATAACATCAGCTTCTAACTGGTCATAGAATTTAATCATGAGTGGGTTAAAATTCTAATTAGACAGGTGATGCCTTACTGTAGAAATACTCATATAACTCAGTAATTTCAGGAAGGATTATCTCATACCAAAACCTAGGAAATATTTTTTTCCAATGAGTATTATTCATTAAATAAAAATTTGGAAAAGAAGCATTTTAAAATAAATAAAGTACTATTTTAGAAAATAAATTGTAGATATCACACAGACTTTTACATTAAAAACAATTTTTTTAACAAAAAAAAAAAACAAATTTTTTAAAATTTTTTATTAATCTGAGATTTTCTACATCACTTGATCATATCTTTAAGAAAGGATGAATGAAACCCAATAATGCTTAAGATAATAGGTCTTAGATTTGAGAGGTTTTTCCCTTTCAGCCAAGATGATAGCCAGTTGTACTTGACAAACTTGCCTGAGGATTTTGAGTGAGTTATAGCCCTTGGATGGTACTTGTGGCAGTCTTAGCTTTCACATCAATACCACAGCCATTATTTTTTACTTGCCTGCTTGCACTTATTTACAACCTTGATTTACACCATATAGCTAATACTTAGCTGAAACAGATTTTATAATAATGGGAATTAGCATTATCAATATAATCTTGAAAAGTTTATAAAGTAGCAATGTTATTTATAGTAATACTTGTTAAAATTTGATTTAAACATTTCTAAAGCAGTTATTTAAAAGAAAGCTAATTGATTAAAAAAATTTTTTTTAAATATTTTCAACAGTTTCATTATTTGACTAATTGATTATAAGATCATCTGCTGGGAGAGAATAATATTCTGCTAATACCATACAAACATTTGTTTTAAAAATCTTTTTACCTTCACATATATTCTTATCTTAGTAATATTAAAATATATTTATATAACTTTTGTTTACTCCTAATATACTTGATTTTAACTTCTTACTCAAACTTATACTAATCGTAACAATATTTTTGTTTTTAAATAATGGAGATTCCATGGATTAGTGTTTTAAATTTGTATAAATATATATATACAAGTTAGAGCAGTATAGTGATGAATAGTACAGCTTCCCTAATGTAAGGGGAGGTAAAGACAGGTTTGGAGTTGTCTCTTAGATAGACTTCCTGATGGAACTAATCTTATGATGTGCCTCTGTTTGGTACTATAACGTTTGTTCTTGTAAAATGGTTAGTCTATGAAAATTGGTCAGTCTTTGGAAAATAGTTCATTATTGACCAAGGAATACGTTCCTTAAAAAGGTGAATTAAAAAATTCAGCTATGGTGTAACACACTGTATGCACAGATTGAAGATGTTAGCCAGAAATTGGTCAGATCAGGGACTGTATCATCTCGCCCTGGATATGTCAGACTAAGATGGATGTCTTGTTTTTAATTGCAGCCAATAATTAGTTTACCTGGATTAAGTTAATTAATGTGTGCATAGGTTAGGACAGTCTAACCCCACAGCCCGCTCACTCAGACAACCCACTGTTTATTTAACCAGATTTTTGCATGTGTCTTATGCATGTTTGAGCTATAGCACACTCCATGGAATTATTTAAGCCTTTTCATTTATCTCATAGAGGCTCATTTTAAATATATTCATGTATTTTATTTACATTCTAACTATATTCATGTATCTTAATACTTAAAAGTCTATTACATTTTAACTATATTCATGTATCTTAATACTTAAAAGTCCATTACATTTTAACTATATTCATGTATTTTAATACTTCAAAACACTGTTACATTTTAACTATATTCATGTATTTTAATACTTCAAGCACTGTTACTTTTTATATTTATGTATTTTAATATACAAAGCACCATTACATTAAACTATATTCATGTATTCATTACTTCAAGCAGTCCTAACATTTGATTAGCCTTTAATCAATGAAAAACTAGCACAGTTCTTCAAATAGCCTACACTTTATGCTTAGATTAATTAGTAATTGATGATAGTCCTGTAACATTTGATAGATCCATGCATTGAAAGACTTGTTTGTTGTACTTTAGGTCAAAGATATGCATGATATTTGATTCAAGCTAACTTGTAGAACATGTATTTTAAGTAGCAGGCATCATTTTACCAATTGAAGCTGCAATTGATTACTTAAATAGTTTATGCTCTTGTTTCTTCTAGTTCTGGAACAAATGCTATTTCAAAGATATATTTAAAATTTAAAAAGTACTACCTTTATGCTCTCTTTTTTTTTTGGGGGGGGGGGGGGGGGGGGGCTCCTTTTTTTTCATTTAAAATCCATTTTATAGTTCCCTATAAATGTTGCATCAATAGACATGTTTGTTCAGTCCTTTGTTCTTACAAGCCTTTGTTGAAATCATAGATTTATTAGTTGTTTTGGTTCTCATTTGCCGTTGTGTTGAATCTAAATCTCCCTAACAGTGCCCAATTCAGACGGCAGAAAGAAATAGAAGAGGAGGAAGAGGAGGCCTCGTCCAGCAGTAAAAAACCTGAAATCTCCTTGAAAGATTTCCTCAGTGAAGAGTAAGTCAGGCAGCCAAAGACTTTACATCCCCAGTACATTTAATGGGAAGCTCTACTTGACCTAATCCTGTCCTTTACATCCCCAGTACATTTAATGGGAAGCTCTACTTGACCTAATCCTGTCCTTTACATCCCCAGTACATTTAAATGGGAAGCTCTACTTGACCTAATCCTGTCCTCTACATCCCCAGTACATTTAAATGGGGAGCTCTACTTGACCTAATCCTGCCCTTTACATCCCCAGTACATTTAATGGGAAGCTCTACTTGACCTAATCCTGTCCTCTACATCCCCAGTACATTTAAATGGGAAGCTCTACTTGACCTAATCCTGTCCTTTACATCCCCAGTACATTTAAATGGGAAGCTCTACTTGACCTAATCCTGTCCTTTACATCCCCAGTACATTTAAATGGGAAGCTCTACTTGACCTAATCCTGCCCTTTACATCCCCAGTACATTTAAATGGGAAGCTCTACTTGACCTAATCCTGTCCCAATATCTGGCTCCACGGTTGGATCTTGCCCTTAGAAAAGATAAACGAAGCTCTTTTAATTAGGTTTAAGCAGTAGTGAGAAAGACCGCAGAGGGGAAAATGTTCTTGTGTTAGATTTGTTTTAGACTAGTTTCTACATTAATTAAGTATTATATCTTAAATGTAACATCCACTTCACCTCATGAAATATATTTTAGCAGGATTAATTAACAAAATGGCTCCTTACCCTACAAACCTAGCTTACCCTAACCAAAACACCAATTATTTTTAAGACCACAGAAAGTGACCATAATACTATTTCATTAGTCTATTTTATTAGAATATTTAACGTAGATTTGTTATTCAGATCCCATGTAGTCGCTTACGTGTTCTAGAATTAGCCTGTGTGTGAGTTTTGTTTACACCTCAGTTCAACTGTTGGCAACCTTCTATAGTGTATTGGTGTATTAACAAGGTGCCTGTCTGTGTTTAGGCACTCACCCAATGACTCAGATGAAAAATCCAGCAAGTTGGGGAGGAAGGATGACAAGAAGAGGAAGCCTGGGGTCTTCTCCAGAATACAGAGTACTTACAAAAGTAAAAAGGTCAGCCATTGTTTTGTATGTTTTAATGTCTACATTTTTTACAAAAGTAAAAAGTTGAATGCTTATTTTGTATTTTTTAATGTCTAGATTTATAAAAGTAAAATGTTGAGCGTTTTGTTTTAGTGTCTAGATTCACTCTAATTTTGGCTTGTGATTCACTAGCTGTTGGGCTTGTGATTGACTATAAGTTTGGCTTGTGATGTAGGGAGGCAATAAAAAGCAAACTTGATAACTCCAGCTGTATCCTACTGTCATAAAAGTGTGAACACCTTCATAAAAGCTTTAGATAGACACACCTATCCTCCACCTGTAGCTAGGACTCAATTCACCTGAACAAATTCAAACTTAGTACACACACAAATGTATTCAAGTCTTTTTGTTACTTGACTTCATATATTGTGCCTGTGTAGTTGTCTTACCATGCCCTTATGGTTGTCTCACCATGCCCTTATGGTTGTCTCACCATGCCCTTATAGTTTTCTCACCATGACCTTATAGTTGTCTCACCCTGCCCATAGAGTTGTCTCACCATGGCCTTATAGTTGTCTGACCATGGCCTTATAGTTGTCTGCCCATGGTTTTATAGTTGTCGCACCATGCCCTTATGGTTGTCTCACCATGCCCTTATGGTTGTTTCACCATGCCCTTAGAGTTGTCTGCCCATGCCCTTAGAGTTGTATGCCCATGCCCTTAGAGTTGTCTGCCCATGCCCTTAGAGTTGTCTGACCATGCCCTTAGAGTTGTCTGACCATGCCCTTAGAGTTGTCTGACCATAGCCATATAGCTGACCTAGACAAGAAAGAGATTGAGTAGTCCTACGTGTAGCCTATGTATAAGAAACCAAGAAGCTTCTAGATGTAGTAGCCTAGACCATGGCTTCCCCTCCTGCCCTCAGCAAGCCTCCCCACAACCGCTCCTATCTACTCCGTACGGCCACCGCTCCTATCAATGCTTACTTGTACGTACGCAATGACATGCCGAGCGAGCATGTTAAACCAATAGCCGTACAATTTATTCCCTTGTCCCCCGGGCACACAGTCACTAAACGCCGCTCTAAATAAACCTCATCGGGGATTTCCCAGTCCCCCACCCCACCGTCCCGTTATCTACAGGGATGTGAACCAACGTCTTCGCGGGTCGTGTAACGTGGAAATAATAGGGTGTCTAATAGAGTGGATCAATACCGCAGTGGATAGAGGGGAGCCTGGATCACAATGTGTCTACACAACACACGGCGCGCGTCACCGGGCGGCAGTCTGGCCTTCACCGGTTGCTTGACGCGAGCCGCTGTGTAGGTGACCTGATCACATTCCGCTCCATGACTGGATTAAGTGTGTTCAATCACTCGGCCGTGTTCTCGCAGGATTTTACTGCCGACTCTAAGGTAGGATTTCACAGCACACACACATAAACAACAACAAACAGAACTAGCAGTGTTCTGTGTTGTTGGTGGGTTTAGGGCATGAGGGTCGTCTGTTGGTAAACGTTAAGATTTGATCGACTGGCCGGTCTGTCGAGTGGTCATGTCCTCAGCTGTGTAGATGCTGGGAGCTAAATTTTAGAAAACTGGAATAAACAAACTTTTACAGGGGGGTTCGGCTGGACGGGAATTAGCCGTGCGATGTATTGTAGCGGGCAGACGAGGCCTACCTCAAGCTTAATGCTCCGTCGGCTCCGTGTTATTATTGTTTTTATATTAGACCTCTAGCGATCTAACGAAAATATTTCTCAGAAATAAGGGCGAGCTTAAAACAAAATCAATAAATGTCAGCCTTTGACGTTCGAATTTCAACCAATGCCATCGATTTTTTTAAATTAGCAGGCTTAAACCTTTTCCTGAGAATTCGGGCATTCTCTGTACTGTAGACAATGTGGAATGATTTGATTGGGCACACAGCACACTGACGTAACTAACTCTTGGTGCCTTGAGCAAACGATAAATTAACGGCCCTCAAAGGAGGAGGTAAATCTTCACGGCAACAAATCAACATGTGCACTTCAAACAGCCCTGTTTGTTTCAAGCTGTTCCCGTTACACACGGCGTTCTGTGCTGTCGCCGCATCAAACGGGAACTATGGCCTGCTTCTAGGAATAAACACAATAGGACAGGACAATGAGTTTGATAACTGATTGGTTCCTAGAACACCCCCCCCCCCCTTATCAACACACGAACACGTCCTGTAAACATTTGAATGTACCGCTTGTTTGTGCGACCCAGATTGTCCGCCATCCATCAATGTCTAGACTGTCGATACACTCCGTCTGATGGACGTGAAACCACAAACATGACTAATTAGCAACAGGATGTGTTTTTGTACCAATTAAACCTGCAGTAAAGTTGAAGACGTTCAGCGTGCAAGTAGTGACGTTACACTGTTAAACTTGTTGCTAAACCTTAAGATAATGGGGTTAAACTTGTAGCTAACTATGCTAAAACATGAAGTCAGTAGTGTTCAACGTGCAGACAAGGGTGTTAGCCGTTCAAGTAATTGGCATGAAACTTGTAGTGAAGTATTTTTTAACTTGCAGGTAATTAAACCCAACACACTCTATGGAATTAAGTCAAACTGCAAGTAATCAAAAAGGTTGTCTTGTTGAGGTTTTGAGCCGTCAAAGTCCTCTTGGGTATGGACACCTACGTCTGATTTGTATCATGTATGCTAACGGGACCTCTTGGGAATCGACCCTGAAAGATGTGACAGGACATTGGCGGACTAAAGATGTGACAGGGGATAAGCGGACTGAAAGATGTGACAGGACATTAGGCGGACTAAAAGATGTGACAGGGCATTAGCGGACTAAAAGATGTGACAGGACATTAGGCGGACTAAAAGATGTGACAGGACATTAGGCGGACTAAAAGATGTGACAGGGCATAAGGCGGACTAAAAGATGTGACAGGGCATTAGCGGACTAAAAGATGTGACAGGACATTAGGCGGACTAAAAGATGTGACAGGGCATTAGGCGGACTAAAAGATGTGACAGGGCATTAGCGGACTAAAAGATGTGACAGGACATTAGGGGACTGAAAGATGTGACAGGGCATTAGCGGACTAAAAGATGTGACAGGACATTAGGCGGACTAAAAGATGTGACAGGGCATAAGCGGACTGAAAGATGTGACAGGACATTAGGGGACTGAAAGATGTGACAGGGCATTAGCGGACTAAAAGATGTGACAGGACATTAGGCGGACTAAAAGATGTGACAGGGCATAAGCGGACTGAAAGATGTGAGAGGGCATAAGCGGACTAAAAGATGTGACAGGACATTAGGGGACTCAAAGATGTGACAGGGCATTAGCGGACTGAAAGATGTGACAGGGCATTACCGGACTAAAAGATGTGATAGGACATAAGCGGACTAAAAGATGTGACAGGGCATTAGCGTCCTGAATATTAGACAGGGCATTAGCGGACCGAAAGATGTGACAGGGCATTAGCGGACTAAAAGATGTCACAGGGCATTAGCGTCCTGAATATTTGACAGGGCATTAGCGAACCGAAAGATGTGACAGGGCATTAGCGGACCGAAAGATGTGACAGGGCATTAGCGGACCGAAAGATGTGACAGGGCATTAGCGGACCGAAAGATGTGACAGGGCATTAGCGGACCGAAAGATGTGACAGGGCATTAGCGGACCGAAAGATGTGACAGGGCATTAGCGGACCGAAAGATGTGACAGGGCATTAGCGGACCGAAAGATGTGGCTGTAGGATTACAACAGCTCTTGCCACTTCGAGTTAATCCACGCACATCAATATAGAGATTTTTGCAACTCTTATCTTTTTTACAAATAGGGAGTTGTCTAGTTGTCTCCCTTCACGTTGGACACTCTTAGTCTCCCTTAACATCAATAATTCCCCTTTAATCCCTCTTCTTCCCCCCCCCCCCCTCCCCCTTCACCTTATTGATGTAGTGTAGAAACTAGCAGTATCAACCTAGCAGTAGACAGCTATGAATCAGGTGACCCTTATAAACATGTACTTGTTGATAGCACTGAACTGTACCAGGAAAGGTTGTATACTGGAGGGTTGGAGTCATTTTGTTGAAAGCGCTAACTGAACCAGGAGAGGTTGTATACTGGAGGGTTCGAGTCATTTTGTACCAGGAGAGGTTGTATCAGGACAACGGGACAGCCGTCTCTCGCCAGTTGTCATCCAATCCGACTAGGCCCTAAAGCCGCTGGCTGTCATACCGCTGAGTTGCATGACGGAGTAGAACATCTGACTGCGCTGTACCCACCCTGCAGCACACACCTCCTGACCCCCCCCCAAACACGTGATTCGTTTCTTATCGATCAGATGATTTACTCACATTAACGCTGGCGCATTTCTTATCCAGCATCGATCGGTTGGTTCGCGTCTCTAGTGCTAGCCAACCGTAACACGATCTAACTCTAGACTTAACACCCAGGGTTTAAGTTTTCGGCGACCCCAGGGACATGAATATGTGGGTATGGCTCACTGGTAATAGGCTGGCAGCCTTACCTGCGTGTAGGTAACTATGACACACCCATATACACTCACACGGGTCAACGTGCACAGTCCAGCCTAAAACGTGTAGGTACTTATGACACGATTCGGCATGTACAGTCCAGTCTCACGCGGCGTGTAGGTAACTATGACACAATTTAACATGCAACTGTCCAGCCTGACATGATGTGCCGTATCGACCTGCCCACGGTGTCTGTCATCGATTGCGGTGGTCAGGCAACACTACGTTAGGGCCGGTTAGATAACCGCGCGTGTAGGGGTGATCAGCACGTGATCTACACATTAGAGTACATGGGTCATTGATCAGCACGTGATGAACGTGTGCTGTGTTTGAGTACACGGGTCATTGATCAGCACGTGATCTACACAGAGTACATGGGTCATTGATCAGCACGTGATGAACGTGTGCTGTGTTTGAGTACATGGGTCATTGATCAGCACGTGATGAACGTGTGCTGTGTTTGAGTACATGGGTCATTGATCAGCACGTGATCTACACATTAGAGTACATGGGTCATTGATCAGCACGTGATGAACGTGTGCTGTGTTTGAGTACATGTGTCATTGATCAGCACGTGATCAATGTGTGCTGTGTTTGAGTACACGGGTGATCTACACATTAGAGTACATGTATCATTGAATTAAGCGTTACTTGGGACGGTACTGGCCCACCAAATTAGTAAGATGTTGGTGGACAAACTTAAGGTGAGTCACTGCTGACTTGTGTGATCACATCCTTCATAGTTCCGCACTAAACAAGTGATTTAAGATTTTATTGATTCGTATGCTGCTGTTTACGTATTTTAAAAAACTGAAGTGTTGTAGTTTGTTTTGTGGTTCTGTCTGAGGTCTGGTAAGGTTAGAGCTTGCTCGTCTTCAGTCTTCTGTCTATCTTGTTCTCATAATCGATCGGTACTGCTTTTAATCTACTCAGAGAATCGATGGGTGGGGCTGTTGATCTCTGTAATCACATAATCGATAGGCGGGGCTATTGATCACTGTACTCAATCGATGGGTGGGGCTATTGATCTCTGTAATCACATAATCGATAGGCGGGGCTATTGATCACTGTACTCAATCGATGGGTGGGGCTATTGATCTCTGTAATCAAATAATTGATAGGTGGGGCGATTGATCTCTAATCAATCGATGAGTGGGGCGATTGATCTCTGTACTCACATAATCGATGGGTGGGGCTATTGATCTCTGTACTCATATAATCAATAGATGGGGCTATTGATCACTATACTCACATAATCGATTGGTGGGGCTATTGATCTCTGTTCTGTAGTCGTATAATCGACTGTGTTGTTATCTCAGCCGCCAAACGGTGTTGTCGCTTAGTACAGCGCCTGTTGTCTAAATATAGCCAGAGTTGGCGTGCTATTTGTAGATTCAAACATGTCATCAACGCTTGTCGTGTCAGGTGTATTGATGTTCTGAGGTCAAGGCCATGGTTGACTTTGATGCCTAGTGGGGGGGGGGGTGTCTATACAGACAAAACTGGTGAAATAAAGAGAATGCTAAAAATAAACTATACACTGTTTAATCAATCGATGTATAAGTATTTCTTATCCCAGAAATACCTGTTGTAATCATTCTTTGTTCATGCAGTGGTTCGTGGAATATTTCATGCGGTACAACTCTTGACCGTGACTACACATTGACTCTCTGTGGGTCTAGACGAATGGAAGACTTTAGCATAGCACATGATATTTTAATGACTAATTATCATATAAATCACAACATGATGATGGCTACTGAGTAAAAAAACTATGTTGCGATTCTCGTCTGACGTCACATTTTACGTACAATACAACTGCAATCATTGGCTTTTGTGACAGGGATCGTAATTATTAATTAACTACAGACTTTCAACTGATGGCAGAATATCAAGCAAATTATTAACGTGTAAATGTTGACAGCCTAGTGTTCTAGCACTGCATGACTTACTGTATTGTTTGTCTGTCTACAGAATAAAGAGAAGGAGATCAAGAACAAAGACCGTCACCATTTCGTGGCCATCTCCATCAGCAACTCAACAACATGTGATGTCTGTCACAGACCCATGGCCAACAAACCAGCTTTGAAATGTGAAAGTAAGTCCAGCTGTGTACAGCACACACCCAACACACTCTAGTCTAGTTGTGTACAACACACTTCCTACACACTTTATCTAGTCTAGCTGCGTACAACACATACCCAACACAACACACACCCAACACAACACGCACCCAACACACCCAACACACTTCAGTGTAGCTGTGCACAACACACACCCAACACAACACGCACCCAACACAACATGCACCCAACACACCCAACACACTTCAGTGTAGCTGTGCACAACACACACCCAACACAACACACACCCAACACAACATGCACCCAACACACCCAACACACTTCAGTGTAGCTGTGCACAACACACACCCAACACAACACACACCCAACACAACACACACCCAACACAACACACACCCAACACAACACACACCCAACACAACACACACCCAACACAACACACACCCAACACAACACACACCCAACACAACACACACCCAACACAACACACACCCAACACAACACACACCCAACACAACACACACCCAACACAACACACACCCAACACAACACACACCCAACACAACACACACCCAACACAACACACACCCAACACAACACACACCCAACACAACACGCACCCAACACAACATGCACCCAACACACCCAACACACTTCAGTGTAGCTGTGCACAACACACACCCAACACAACACACACCCAACACAACACACACCCAACACAACACGCACCCAACACAACACTCACCCAACACAACACGCATGTAATACAAACCCAACACACTACATTGTAGCTGTGCACAACACACACCCAACACAATACACACCCAACACAACACACACCAAACACAAACCCAACACACTTTAGCTGTGCACAACACACACCCAACACAACACACACCCAACACAACACACACCCAACACCACACACACCCAACACAACACACACCCAACACAACACACACCCAACACAACACACACCCAACACAACACACACCAAACACAAACCCAACACACTTTAGCTGTGCACAACACACACCCAACACAACACAACACAACACACACCCAACACAACACACACCCAACACAACACACACCCAACACAACACTCACCCAACACAACACACACCCAACACAACACACACCCAACACAACACACACCAAACACAAACCCAACACACTTTAGCTGTGCACAACACACACCCAACACAACACACACCCAACACAACACACACCCAACACAACACACACCCAACACCACACACACCCAACACAACACACACCCAACACAACACACACCCAACACCACACACACCCAACACAACACACACCCAACACCACACACACCCAACACAACACACACCTAACACCACACACACCCAACACAACACACACCCAACACAACACACACCCAACACAACACACACCCAACACAACACACACCCAACACAGCACACACCCAACACAACACACACCCAACACAGCACACACCCAACACCACACACACCCAACACAACACACACCCAACACAACACACACCCAACACAATCTTTCATCTGTAACTTTGACCCTGAAATATAAATTTTAACCTAATTACATTTGTGAACTTGTATTAGTCATGAATGCAATCAGTTGTGTTCACCACCAAATGTCACTAGTTGTGTAACCAGTTGGCTCCGCCCCTCCCCCCCCCCCCACCACTCCCTCTTTCACTGAATTCAACCTGAGTTACTCTCCCCTGACCAAGCTGTAACTGTCATTGCTTTTACTTGACTGATTTCTGCACAGAGTTGTATTTGATTCATTGTTGTATAAATCATGGTATACAATTTTTTAGCACCCCATCTAGTTATACAATTTTTAGCACCCCAGCTAGTTATACAACTTTTATCACTCTGGTGTTTGACTAGAGTGCAACATGTATGTACTGTGTGTTATGGTGTACTCACTAAACACACCTTTGAATGGACTCACCTGAGTTTTTTTGTTTTACCTTGGCTGTAAAAAAAAAAGCTGATGCTCACTAAATGATTGTATAATATGTGTGCTATTTACGTCTGTATTTAACTGCCATAATTGCCGATGCTGTAGCTATTTATGGTGAACTCAATTGTGCAACACGTGTGGGGAATAAATGGAATCTATTTTTAGAACGGAGTGTACTCTCTGACCCTCCAGCGTCGCAATAGAGCCAGGAACGGCTCCTGGTAACTCTAGACCCCATGTTTTTTTTATCCTATCAATAGCCACGTGCTTTATTTGGGTGGAATGTTTGGGTTTTTTGGGACTTGTTGTCTGCAGTTAAAAAACAGTTGCCAGATTACACATTTAGAAAACAAAACGTCTCGAGATACTGGATAATTGATTGTATATCCGAAACTTGAATCATAATTTGTTTTTTTCTCTTAATTTAAAACATGTTGGAATTGTTTAATTTTGTCCCCCAAAATAAATTCCTTGTTTTTCGTCTTTAAGAGGGGTTTAACTGTAAAGTGTTGTACTAGAAGCAAGTAATTGTCTTGTATAGGCCCACATCGAAAAAATCCTGTGTACTGTGCCCTCCCAACATAAACATTCCCTGTTGTGTTTTGTTAGGCTCGTCAATAATTGGTTTGGCTTGAGGTTTCAAGTAACTTACTGGCAGGTTTTGCCTGCAATTCCTGCCAGGATGTGGCTGGACAATGTCGAATACCTTGTCAAATCAATCTTCCTGCCAGATTGGCTGTAAATATTTTAAAGGGCTGTCTGTGGAGGAGTCGCTTTAGTGTAGTGTGTTAAGTCGGCCGACTGTATGGGGATGTTTTGTACACACGTTCTACTTGGTGATGTATGCTGTACACATACGTGTTTCATTAGAGACAGTGAAATATGTGTTTTCTTTAGATGCTATAAAATCCGTATTCTTTATGTGCTACAAATACCTTGCTTTGAATAGGTGCTATAAGCTCCGTGTTTCCTTCAGGTGCTATAAACCCCGTGTTTCCTTCAGGTGCTATAAGCTCCGTCTTTCCTTCAGGTGCTATAAACTCCGTGTTTCCTTCAGGTGCTATAAACTCCGTGTTTCCTTCAGGTGCTATAAACTCCGTGTTTCCTTCAGGTGCTATAAGCTCCGTGTTTCCTTCAGGTGCTATAAACCCCGTGTTTCCTTCAGGTGCTTAAAACTCCGTGTTTCCTTCAGGTGCTATAAACTCCGTGTTTCCTTCAGGTGCTATAAACTCCGTGTTTCCTTCAGGTGCTATAAACTCCGTGTTTCCTTCAGGTGCTTAAAACTCCGTGTTGCCGTGAATTCCTTAGGTTCGAGGTGTTGTTGCTTAGCTAAACACCACAACCACGCAGATCATGACCCATGCATTGTCCTGTTTAAACATGTCGACCCCTGTTTTTAAATTACCTTGCCATGACCCATGTATTGCCCTGTTTAAAAAATGCCGACCCCTGTACTGTCCTGTTTTAAAAAAATGCCGACCCCTGTTTTCAGATTGCCTTGTTATGACCCCCGTATTGTCCTGTTTAAAAAATACCGACCCCTGTTTTCAGATTGCCTTGTGAGTGTCCACGAGCACAGCTGTAAGGACCAGGTCCTGCAATGTGAGAAAAACAGATACAAGGTATGTTGTTATCTACACACCTGTCTACACACACATGTTATCTACACACCTGCCTACACACCTGTCTACACACCAACTCACATGTTATCTACACACCTGCCTACACACCTGTCTACACACCAACTCACATGTTATCTACACACCTGTCTACACACCAACTCACATGTTATCTACACACACTGCCTACACATCAACTCACATGTTATCTACACACACTGCCTACACATCAACTCACATGTTTTCTACACACCTGCCAACACATCAACTCACATGTTATCTACACACACTGCCTACACATCAACTCACATGTTTTCTACACACCTGCCAACACATCAACTCACATGTTATCTACACACCTGCCTACACATCAACTCACATGTTTTCTACACACCTGTCTACACACCTCCCTACACACCAACTCACATGTTATCTACACACCTGTCTACACACCTCCCTACACATCAACTCACATGTTATCTACACACACCTGTCTACACACCAACTTACATGTTATCTACACACCTGCCTACACACCAACTCACATGTTTTCTACACACACTGCCTACACATCAACTTACATGTTATCTACACACACTGCCAACACATCAACTCACATGTTATCTACACACCTGCCGACACACCAACTCACATGTTATCTACACAGTCTACACACCAACTCACATGTTATCTATACACCTGCCGACACATCAACTCACATGTTATCTACACAGTCTACACACCAACTCACATGTTATCTATACACCTGCCTACACATCAACTCACATGTTTTCTACACACCTGTCTACACATCAACTCACATGTTTTCTACACATCAACTCACATGTTATCTACACATCAACTCACATGTTTTCTACACACACCTGTCTACACATCAACTCACATGTTTTCTATTGCTTGCCTTCAATTTTCATTCCACAAAACCTTTTAAAAATCGTCAGGTCTTTTATAAAATATCTGTCTGATCTTGTAGGCCCACAAACCTTTTATAAATTTCTAATACATTGTGGACCACACCCTTTAAAAATTGTATGGTCTTATGTGCCCACAAGCCACATAAACAAAAAGAGATATCTGACAGATATTGCCATTGTGCAGCAGGGTTTAATTACTCCGCGGAGATATCGCTTTTGACACCACAACAGTCCCGGAAGTTTGTGAGGAGTCGGATATCACGTGACATGGTTGCGCCGCGTGGATATTAACCGATATTTTAGTCTATTAATAGAATCCTCCTGATACTGACTCCGCTAACATGAGGTTAGTGGAACTGACCACACATCACGTGATTGATTTAAGCTTGTCTAATGCCCTGAGCCAACCCATACCTGTTTGCTATTCCCTCCCGTCTAAAGACGTAAACAAACGCCACTTAAAAAATAACATTGCACTAGTTAACACTTGGCGGTCCTGGGTTCGCTGGACTGAAATGTCATTACATCATCAATTTTTTAACTCGAGCATAATTGGGTAACACACTAAATCTTGAACGCGCCATTGGGCTTGCACCAGTTGACCTTGAACTCTAGCACCCCGCAGCCTCTTACTTTTTAAAAGTCTGCGCAGGAAACTACGTTAGGAGCAATCTCGCAACGTATAAAAACCCAGTCAAATTTTTAAAAACTCGAATGGGAAAATACGAAGTGGAAATCCCCTTTATATTGTTGAGTTTTTGGAACTCGATGACGTCCACAGGTTTATGGGTGTTGTGGGGTGCTGGAGTTTACACTTCTTGTTGGTGCTGTTAAGTAGGGGGAGCACGTTTTGAGTGGGGTCATTTGTAGTGGGTGTTAGTGGCTGTATTTGACATTAGGATGACAAGTTGAGAAGATGAGAGATGTGTCATGTGATGTCATGTAGAGAACGGTGACATGTCTGTTGGCACGCGACACGTGTCATTTCATTTTGTCATTAACATGGCAAAGTTATCTTATTAATTATTTTTTTATATAGATTACCGTGTGTCATATAAACAAAACTTGTTTGAAATGGCATATTCTCTTGAAAATAAATTCCAATAGCCTTATAAATAAAAAAAAACGCCTACGTTGAACTTAAGATTTCTCTGGAGCTTAATGAAAAAAAAAAAAAAAACCTCAGTGCAATACAGTAACCCCTGCTAAGTTGGATCTTTCCTTCTGCAATTTTTTTTAACATCGACCTTGTCAGCTATTGAGTTCAGGCGAGTGGTGCGCTTCCTTCTTGCTCGTCTCATGCGATATTGCGTGTTATTTTGTCGTACCCGCGGGTTTACCCAGCCCCCACGATATGTAGTGGTAGCCATGGTTCTACCCAGCCCCCACGATATGTAGTGGTACCCGAGGGTTTACCCAGTCCCCACGATATTTTGTGGTACCCGCGGGTTTACCCAGCCCCCACAATATGTAGTGGTACCCGAGGGTTTACCCAGCCCCCACGATATTTTGTGGTACCCGAGGGTTTACCCAGCCCCCCACGATATGTAGTGGTACCCGAGGATTTACCCAGCTCCCACGATATTTTGTGGTACCCGAGGATTTACCCAGCCCCCACGATATGTAGTGGTACCCGAGGGTTTTAACCAGTAGCTCTTCATTTCCTGGTGCCCGAATGTACCCAGTACTCACAATTTAGCTGTACCCCAGTTTTTCTCAGTAACAGTTATCTAGTGAGACCCGGTAAGACGATGTACCCAGTAACTCAGTACCCGCTGGTTCGCCGGTCTGTACTTATTACCCCTTCACCCCGCACAAATGAGCTAATCCCACAATCCACCTGTTACTCGTATTTTCTTCATTTTGATTGTACCACCTCCTACCTTCCATACCCGCAGCCAAGATGGCGAGGCGAGACGGCCGCTAGGTATAAAAGCCTGGCCGCTGGAGTTGGCCAGTGGAAAAGTTGAGGCACGTGTGTAAACAATCGGGTATTATCTGTGTGGAGAGCATCGAACTGTTGGGGCCGCGCTCAGCTGGGTGCAGACATAAGAGGCGTTGTTTGCCCCTGCAGGCGGAAGTAGGGGGTCAGTCTCATTAGACAAACAGCTGTTTGTTGCTGTGGGGGAGGGGAGGATTGCCGTCTGCCTGTAAGACATCTCTGTGAGGCCAGATAAAAGTAGGTCGTGTGCCGCTGGCTGTGGCAGTAAGGCGCAAGTTGTGAGCGCTGGAACTGTTTACATTGGGTGGCGGGGCTGCTTCTCACTGGGAGTTGTACGACTGCTGCTAGTGTTGACGTGTGTACCTTTGTGCGCTACGGCCAGGTGTGGTCAGTGCCGGGATATTGTGTCAAGTGATGGTACAGGACAGGTGGACGTTGATGCGTGACCAGGCCATTGTTAGTATTTCTCTGTGTTCTGACACTATTCGCCTAGTTGGATTCTATCATAATTTATGTGTTTATATATTTGCTTACCTGTAATTTTGTGACCATTCTCCTCCAAGATGTGAATTATAGAATTGTAGCAGAATTCTACTGTCTTGTTTTTAAAAAAAAAGTTTAGACAGTACAGATTAGGAACATTAGTTTTTATTATGGTACTTTTAAATCCTGTTAATTAATGAGAAGTGCAATGTGCCAATTTCAGGCAATCCAGAGGGATGGATCCTTCCATGGCCCCCACAGTCCATCTCCCAACACACAAGCTGGACCTACACAGATACCAGCTAGTGCTTTACTGGAGCGACAGTCAGCCTCCATGTCTGGTCAGTACACTTTAGTTTTATAAGTCTGGTCAGTACACTTTAGTTCTGGTAGATTTGTTTAGCTTTTGGTTTTGTTAGATTTTATCAGATTATGTTAGTTTTTTGGTTTTGTTAGATTCTGTGAGGTACCCTATAGGTTCCTAACATTTTCATCAGGTAAGTGCAGGTGAACTAGCTTGTGCATGTCAGGTACCTGCAGCAGCTCAGTGTTACCCCCTCCCCCCCCCCCCCCACCCACCCTACACCACCACATTGTTTACAAGGGTGATATAATTGTTCTCAGGCAGCAACCAGTATTTACTTAGACAGTCTGTCAAAAGTTTTTTGTCTTTTCATCAACCAACATCAGAGGGAACAACATAACCATTGGAATTAATTTTCCCTTTAGTTACATCTATATTTGTACATGAACTTCTCTCACACACATGGTATTTATATAACAGAATTTGTTGACTGTTTTCCAGGCAGCTCCCTAAAACCTTCCAACTCCTTCAAGGACAAGAGATCTGTCTCAGCTCCAGTCAAACCTCAGGTCAGTCCAGATTATTGATAATCCTGGTAATCCCAGGTGTAGAGGATAATTACTAGATTAAGCAGTTGTTTATCCTGTAGAGCTAAAGAATGTTGGCAAGAATGTTGCAGTCAGCAGGAACAATACCCAAGTTGTCTAATGAGGCTGTATCAAGTTGCTCTACTTTGGTCTCATATTGTGTGGGCACTGTTTGTTTGGGCCCAATCAAGTTTGTAGGTCACATAGTTTACATACCAGTGCCACTGATGTTCTCCATGCCATTTCTTGGGTTTTTTCTTTCACATTTGATACAGTGATGGCCTCCCTTCAGCCACCCTTTACTTGGGTTGTTTACACACAATCAGATGATAAATTGTTGACAGAATCAAGGGTACATTATACATGTGATCTTTGACCTCTTGTCTTCCCTTCTTTATACCCTGGTTACATTGTCTGTAATTTGTCTCCCCCAGGCTGGCCAGTTACCTACCCCCTCCCTAGCACAGACCCACAGACACAGTCTGCCCACATCTAGGTGAGTACATCAGCTGCTCTGGCAGAGTTACTGCTCTTTGGTTGTGTCCTGAAATCTATACAGTCTTTATATTATGGGCACATCATTTCTAATAGAAAAATACTTGGCTTCAAAAAAACTTTTTTGTCACACCACTATACATGTAATAATGTTTTTAGAATATATTTTAATGTTTTAATTTCCTCTGAAACATCAATAAATAATATTAATACATAGTGAAAATCCCAGATGTAAAAATCCAAAATAAAATTTTCAGGCTTTTAAATTTTAGCACTTTTATTAATGTTAAACTAAAAACAAATTTTAAAGTAAAATAGTGTAAAGCTCAAAGATTGGCCTTAGAGTACCAGTAAAATCTCTTCTGTCTACTAGTAGTTTGATGTAGCTACATATCTGTTGACGTTGTATTTATTGTTAGACAGAAGCTGATTGTCTCTTTATTCTCTTCACATTTTTGATTAACATGTTGTATGGCATATGTAGTAGATACAGCTCTTTCAACTTGTATGTTAACGCCTTAAATACTTACAGCAGATTACATGTATAGTTTATAAATTGACAGAATAGCTTATTCAGGGTGAACATACACATTCAACACAACTTACAATCAACAGTCATGTATACTTATAGGGAACTTTTCTATCATGTAGTCATGAAAGATTAACTCATTTATCTCAGCATAAAATTGTATTTATATGTAAGCTGACCAGAGTCTAATGCTCATATTTGTTATGTATGCCACTAGCATGACCTACATTTCTGATATCTTGCTAGCTGCTTGGCTGTTAATTTTATCTAAACTAAAATTATAGTCCAATTCATAACAATGAGTTGCTAATCAAACTTTGACTAGTATTTTAGTTGTTTTTTTATATTCTTGTCAACAAAATAATAAATATACTAAATAATAGATATCTTACAACTCACAATGACTGTTTTGTGTTATTGAGAATGTTGTTACTGGCCTTAGAATGTTGTTACCTCCCCTAGAATGTTTGTTACTGCCCTTTAACTCCACCCCTTATGTTTCACCACCACCTGATCACTGCACCTATTGTTGGCATGATGACTTGTGATGTCCCCAGTCTGTATGGCAGTCCACCCAACAACACACTAGGCCTGTTACACTGGCAAGCTGCAAGCAAGGAGCGTTTCAGTGTGTTTGAGTAAGTTCTCTTCAACAACTGCTCACCCTAGCAAATGCTTTGTCCAGCATGAAATTATAATTATCCACATGGTGGAGGGATGGTCAGGGATAATGATTGTGTTGTCAAATATGTAGAGAGTTAAATTTGGATGTGGGATTTTTACTCTGGCTGTAATACTTTTTAAACCTGCTCCCAATTTAGATTGATTAAAGAAAAACAAATTGGTCTGCCGTGATTCTATACTGTCATGTCTAGCCTTAAAGATTTCACTTTCTGCTGAATAGCAAACAATGTTATTGTCAACAGTATTTCAGCTGCCATCTTTTTGAGATAATCAATTCAACCTTCCCAAATTTGGTTAGAAAATGTTAAAAATATCATCTAGATCCCATATTTGGTTAGAAAATGTAAAATAATCAAAACAATTTTCTAGGTCCCAAATTTGGTTAGAAAATGTGAAGAATAGGATTGCGTAGCTGTCTGAAGCAAGTAGTCTATGTATGTCTTCCTGTTGAGTTGGTGTTCACTCTTCTTGGTCAAATTACCTCAGATGTTTCCTCTGAAAATTAAAGACCTGAAATGGAGTTGTTTTCATTCACGTTAACCTTATCAGTTTTGACATTTTCTCGTTTTTTTATTTTTTAACTGCTTGTTAATTGTTTCTTATATTAATAGCTTTTTAATTATATGGCTTTTTCTTATATAAAGTCTTTACTAATTCTTTTAATATTTAACATTTCTTGAGCACACTAAAAGAGATTGCCTATTAATATCACCATGTAAGAGATTGCCTATGAATGTCACAATGTAAGAAATGCCTATGAATGTCACAATGTAACACTTAGTTAGTGTAGGCCTCTAGCACTACCACTGCACTACTCCATGTGATGTTTGATCAATGTCTCACTCTCCCATGTACTGTGTTGCTTCCCCTTACAGCAAGGCTATCACTGAGGAGTCAGAGAGTGACTGCACCAGTATGACTGCACTGACTCTGGGACAGACGCCGAGCAAGTGAGTAGTGCCGCCCCGCCTTGTGGCCCAAACCTTTCCTGCACTGCTAGCATCCATATCAAAAGGAAAAGTTGGGGTCACAAGCAGAGGTTCTTCCCCTTTGTCCACACTGCACTTGGTGTTGTTCTGTTAGCTTTACTTAGCTTCATATGTGTCATTCTTCTAAATGTTGTACTCAAGATTTTACCACTTTTTTTATTCTCCTAAATTATTAGTGAGATATTGATTAGCTCAATTGCCTATTGTAATTTGACACGTATAAAGGACATAAGGCCACCTGGCTAAATTTTTTCACGTTATAATTCAATGTCAGGTGACAGATAAAGAAATTTTTTTTCCCCTATCACCTTGCCTGCCTGCTATGTGGCATGTGCTGTTATTTACTTGTGGAAATCTGCTGTGAACTGGCATGTCAAGTACTCACTACAGCAAGTCATGGCAGAGGTCATGACTGACCAGTGCCAAAGTCATGACTGACCAGTCCCATGGTCATGGCTGATTGGTCCTTAGGTTAAGACTGGTCAGCCTACAGTCATGGCTGACCAGTCTTAAGGCTGAGACTGAGTACTTAACTCATGGCTGACTCAGACCAATCCTTAGGTCATGGCTCATGCTGACCTAAGGTCATGGCTCAATTTGAGTTAAGGTCATAGATGGCCAGTCCTTAGGTCATGGCTCAGGCTGACCAGTCCTAATCCAGTCATGACAGAGGCTGACCAATCCATTAGTTCATCATTGCCTAACTTTGTTTACATGACCAAAATAATCAAAAAGGAATATCCACATTCACTTTAAACATAACAATGTCACCTAATGCTTATGGGTAAACTAATATAACAATTTGTTCAAATGCTCTTTGACACTTGTAATCAGAATCCATTTTTGTTCACTCTTTAATTAGATTATCAAAATGGTTTAAATATATCTTTTTGGGAAATTAGACAGCTATTTTTATCTATTATTCTGTTGGTTAAGCTATTTTTATCTATGGTTTCCCGTTAATGAGACTGATAGTTTGACTAAGCACGGATCTAAACAGGTGATAGTGATGTAAGCCAAAACTGATCCGCCTATCTTAGTGTGTCACTCTTGCTGTATCTCAGCCACTTGCTCATGTGAGTGGTTAAATCTCAAGGGCTTTTTTTTACTCATACACGGAAGTGACTGGGAGCACGGTGTTGTTGTCATTCACAATGTGATTGCTGTCATTAGGCTTGTATACAAGGACTAGGGACAGGAGCAAAATGTCTAAACTAAGTTTTAGAAGGCGAAGGAAATACACGTTTAAAAAATCTTTGCTGGAAGCCGTTATCATAGAGCCTAGGTACAAATTTACAGATGATATGGACAGTGAGACCGGCTCTGAGATTGGGTAAAAACTTTTCCCGGACTTGATTTCTTCATTCCAGATCTTCAACTACATGTTCATGTGTCATAGGTTTGAGAGCTAATGTTTGACTTGTTTTTTCTTTCAGTATGGCAGATACCATATCAGAGTCTATGGAGTCTCTAGATGCAGGTATGTGTCTGTTAATCATTTAGTGTTAAATATCATCAGGTATGTGTCTGTTAATGAATAAATTAGTGTTTAATATCAGCACCAGCTGTTTTGTGAAATCTGACAGTCAAATTTATTTGATCGTTTTAAATTTGGCCTTTTCTCTATTGTGGATTAAAGTCTACCATATGCCTGTCCCCCATAAGTCTAACTTTACCTTTGCCTTTCCCCACTAATATTCCCCCCCCCCAACCCTAAATCTAACGTTTGCCTGTCCCCCTAAGTCTAACCTTTGCCTGTCCCCCTAAGTCTAACCTTTGCCTGTCCCCCTAAGTCTAACCTTTGCCTATCCCCTTAAGTCTAACCTTTGCCTGTCCCCCCTAAGTCTAACCTTTGCCTGTCCCCCTAAGTCTAACCTTTGCCTGTCCCCCTAAGCCTAACCTTTGCCTGTCCCCCTAAGTCTAACCTTTGGCTGTCCCCCTAAGTCTAACCTTTGGCTGTCCCCATAAGTCTAACCTTTGCCTGTCCCCCTAAGTCTTACCTTTACCTGAACCCCTAAGTCTAACCTTTGCCTAAGTCTAACCTTTGCCTGTCCCCCTAAGTCTTACCTTTACCTGAACCCCTAAGTCTAACCTTTGCCTAAGTCTAACCTTTGCCTGTCCCCCTAAGTCTTACCTTTACCTCTCCCCCTAAATCTTACCTTTACCTGTCCCCCAGTGGTGCCAGCAGAGACCTCGTGGTTGGATGAAGAACCAGACCTGCAGCTGTCTGTGGAGGAGCCAGAAGCCTGGAGTATAACAGTGGACAGGAAGGTTGGTGGTCACTACATCAGTCCCCTTAGTCTGTCTTAATCAAGTCATGGTTTTAAACATCAGTCACTTTATCCCATTTCTTGTGGTACTTAATCAAGTCATGGTTTTAAACATCAGTCACTTTATCCCATCTCTTGTGGTACTTAAGTCATGGTTTTATACATCAGTCACTTTTTCCCAACTCTTGTGGTACTTAATCAAGTCATGGTTTTAAACATCAGTCACTTTATCCCATCTCTTGTGGTACTTAATCAAGTGATGTTTTAAACATCAGTCACATTATCCCATCTCTTGTGGTAATTAAGTCATGGTTTTAAACATCAGTCACTTTATCCCATCTCTTGTGGTACTTAAGTCATGGTTTTAAACATCAGTCACTTTATCCCATCTCTTGTGGGACTTAAGTCATGGTTTAAACATCAGTCACTTTATCCCATCTCTTGTGGGACTTAATCAAGTGATGTTTTAAACATCAGTCACTTTATCCCATCTCTTGTGGTACTTCAACCAAGTACAGGGTTGTCCATCACTGATATTACACTAGGGGGGGGGGGGGGGTTACAGGCTTTTGTGATGATGTTGGATGAGTAGTGGGTTAAAAAAATGTGACTTATAGAAAGTAATTTGTGAAAGTAAATTTCAGCAGTCATTTAGCAATTTTAGCAGACTTTTTTGTCAATTGTAATTAAATTGACCAAAGTACCCATTGATGACCCAGCTCAGATAATATTTTAGATAGAAATGTTGTAACTAAATTGTGTTCATTAGATAGGGGGGGGGGGGGGGGGGAAGGTTAAAATGATCAAAGAAAGCTTTAAATAATTTATGTGTGACCCTTAATAGGTTTGTAATCATGTTACCCTACCTCTTTAGCTGTCTAACAAAGTATTAGGTTAAACTATAGGTGGCTTGCTCTGTTTGTCATTTTTAATTCAACCTAATGTCAGTTGTAATTTTTCATCAAACCCCTCTTAACAAAATGTCTATATTTTAACTTTTTTTTTGCTCCTCTAGACACTCAAGAAAATGGGCACAAAGGATATCAAAAGACAGGACACCATATGGGGTAGGTTGCTATATGACAACTATATTTTGTAACCTCAGAGATAAATAATATTTGTAGGGTTAGTAGAAATGTTTGTTTACATTAGGTTTGTTTTGTTATCTGCAGAGTTGATCAACACAGAAAAACAGTATGTCAAAAGGTTAAAGATTATGCAGAAGGTATGTTTTACTTGTGTTGTATTTTATCTTGTGTTTTTTTTTTAGTTCTTTTTTTTTCACTTAAATTTTAAATTGACAAAAATAGTGAACAATGTTTCAGCTAACTTGTGAAAAAAATTTATTAAAAAAATTGTATCTTAGCTCAAAGTATAGCTAGCTTGTATGTCACAATCACAAGTAGTGAAGTTTCCATTTGTTGTAAGTCAGAAGTAGTGAAGTAAGTTTCTGTTAGTTGTATGTCAGAAGTAGTGAAGTTTCCATTTGTCGTATGTCAGTAGTAGTGAAGTTTCTGTCAGAAGTAGTGAAGTTTCTGTTGTCCCCCATGTTGTATGCCAGAAGCTGTGAAGTTGCTGTTGTTTCCCTCAGATATTCACCCACGCCATGCTGCATGACATGAACTTCTCTGTGGACCAAGTGGACAGGCTGTTCCCTAAGCTGGATGAGCTGGTGGAGCTCCACTCTAATTTCCTGAGGGAGCTGCTCAAGAGACAGGCCAAAAATGAAGACCGTTCTATTGATGACATCGGGGATGTTTTAATTAGCCAAGTAAGTTGAAGTTGTCATTGTAGTTTCGGTTGGGTTCTGTTCTGGTTTTATGTAAGTTGTTAATAAAAGGTTTTAGTCCTGTCTTTAGCCTAAAGAAAATAAAAATAATATCAGAACCAACAATCACACAGCTGCTAGTTTTCATTGTAAATCAAAGATTAATAGGTTATATAAATGATGTGTATCAAACATCCAAACCTCACATAGTTGTTATCTTAGTCCCAGTATCTAGGTCTAAGTTTGTCAGCAGGTACTAAAGCCCTACAAGTTTTCTAGAAGAAGCTGTTTCATTTTAAATTTATCTCCATCACACAAATGAAACTAAGTTTGTCAGCAGGCACTAGAGCCCTACAAGTTTTCTAGAAGAAGCTGTTTCATTTTAAATTTATCTCCATCACACCAAGACGTTATGAAGCCTAAACACATAGTCTTGTCCACACTTTGATGATCTAAAAACACATTTTTGTTGACCACACTATGAAATTTAAACCCCTATTGTTGTTCACTGTTTGGTGACCTTTAAACCCCTATTGTCCACAGTTTGGTGACCTTTAAACCCCTTTTGTTGTCCAGTTTGGTGACCTTTAAACCCCTATTGTTGTTCACTGTTTGGTGACCTTTAAACCCCTATTGTCCACAGTTTGGTGACCTTTAAACCCCTATTGCCCACAGTTTGGTGACCTTTAAACCCCTTTTGTTGTCCAGTTTGGTGACCTTTAAACCCCTATTGTTGTTCACTGTTTGGTGACCTTTAAACCCCTATTGTTGTTCACTGTTTGGTGACCTTTAAACCCCTATTGCCCACAGTTTGGTGACCTTTAAACCCCTTTTGTTGTCTACAGTTTGGTGACCTTTAAACTCCTATTGTCCACATTTGGTGACCTTTAAACCCCTATTGTTGTCTACAGTTTGGTGACCTTTAAACCCCTATTGTTGTTCACTGTTTGGTGACCTTTAAACCCCTATTGTTGTTCACAGTTTGGTGACCTTTAAACCCCTATTGTTGTTCACTGTTTGGTGACCTTTAAACCCCTATTGTTGTTCACAGTTTGGTGACCTTTAAACCCCTATTGTTGTTCACAGTTTGGTGACCTTTAAACCCCTATTGTTGTTCACAGTTTGGTGACCATACAGCAGAAAAGATGAAAGCAGTGTATGGAGTGTTCTGCTCTAAACACACAGAAGCAATGCAGCTTTATAAGGAGTTTATCAAAATGGACAGGAAGTTTCAAAACTTTGCCAGGGTCAGTAGGACTTGGTCACAATTTGTTCATCATTTGATTAGTTCCTTATTGCACCATTTTTCACCTAATTGAATGCAGCAAGTGTCTAATGTATTGAATGTGTTTGTCCAGAAATGTACAAATTTGCCAGTGTGTGAGAAGCGCGACATCTCTGATTTCATCCTGGGGGTCACTGTCAGGCTCTCTAAATACCCTATTCTTATAGAGGCCATTCTCAAAGGCACTAAAGGTATTTACTCAACTTTCTTTTCTTATTTTCAAACTAAAATAATGTCATATTTTCAAGTATTATAGTTGATATGTTTGAATAACTATTCAAACTAAAATTATTCTTATATTTTTCTCACAGATAAAAATTACATTCATATTTCCATTGCAGATAAAAAAGATCGAGAAAACTTGTCGCAGGCACTTCTGCTCAGCAAAGATGTTGTACAGTATGTTGATGAGAAGGTGGCGGCCTATGAGAAGTTGATTGACATTCAAAGCAAGCTGGACTCTAGAACCACAATATTTAAAGGGAAAAAGTTCAAGGTCAGTCACCTTGGCAAACTTTACCATAACTTAAAGGGCTGAAAGTTTAAATATAAATTGTTTTATTAAAGTACCAATGGATCATTTGTTATAATTTTTTTTTTTTTCAGAAACAAGATCTGAATGCAGACAACAGAGAGCTGTTGCATTCTGGGAAAATAGGCTGGAAAAGTGCCAGAGGTCGTGTCTATGATGTCCTAGCAGTCGTCCTCACAGATCTGATTTTGTTCCTGCAGAAAAATGAGCAGAAGTACACATTTCTGCTGCAGGACAACAAGGTTAGTCACAGGGGTGGGCTTGTTTCATGCTCACAAGGTTAGTCACAGGGGTGGGCTTGTTTCATGCTCACAAGGTTAGTCACAGGGGTGGGCTTGTTTCATGCTCACAAGGTTAGTCACAGGGGTGGGCTTGTTTCATGCTCACAAGGTTAGTCACAGGGATGGGCTTGTTTCATGCTCACAGTCACAGGGGTGGGCTTGTTTCATGCTCACAGGGTTAGTCACAGGGGTGGGCTTGTTTCATGCTCACAGGGTTAGTCACAGGGGTGGGCTTGTTTCATGCTCACAAGGTTAGTCACAGGGGTGGGCTTGTTTCATGCTCACAGGGTTAGTCACAGGGGTGGGCTTGTTTCATGATCACAAGGTTAGTCACAGGGGTGGGCTTGTTTCATGCTCACAGTCACAGGGGTGGGCTTGTTTCATGCTCACAGGGTTAGTCACAGGGGTGGGCTTGTTTCATGCTCACAAGGTTAGTCACAGGGGTGGGCTTGTTTCATGCTCACAGGGTTAGTCACAGGGGTGGGCTTGTTTCATGCTCACAAGGTTAGTCACAGGGGTGGGCTTGTTTCATGCTCACAGGGTTAGTCACAGGGGTGGGCTTGTTTCATGCTCACAAGGTTAGTCACAGGGGTGGGCTTGTTTCATGCTCACAGTCACAGGGGTGGGCTTGTTTCATGCTCACAAGCTTAGTCACAGGGGTGGGCTTGTTTCATGCTCACAGGGTTAGTCACAGGGGTGGGCTTGTTTCATGCTCACAAGGTTAGTCACAGGGGTGGGCTTGTTTCATGCTCACAGGGTTAGTCACAGGGGTGGGCTTGTTTCATGATCACAAGGTTAGTCACAGGGGTGGGCTTGTTTCATGCTCACAGTCACAGGGGTGGGCTTGTTTCATGCTCACAGGGTTAGTCACAGGGGTGGGCTTGTTTCATGCTCACAGGGTTAGTCACAGGGGTGGGCTTGTTTCATGCTCACAAGGTTAGTCACAGGGGTGGGCTTGTTTCATGCTCACAAGGTTAGTCACAGGGGTGGGCTTGTTTCATGCTCACAAGCTTAGTCACAGGGATGGGCTTGTTTCATGCTCACAAGGTTAGTCACAGGGGTGGGCTTGTTTCATGCTCACAAGGTTAGTCACAGGGGTGGGCTTGTTTCATGCTCACAAGGTTAGTCACAGGGGTGGGCTTGTTTCATGCTCACAAGGTTAGTCACAGGGGTGGGCTTGTTTCATGCTCACAAGGTTAGTCACAGGGGTGGGCTTGTTTCATGCTCACAAGGTTAGTCACAGGGATGGGCTTGTTTCATGCTCACAGGGTTAGTCACAGGGGTGGGCTTGTTTCATGCTCACAAGGTTAGTCACAGGGGTGGGCTTGTTTCATGCTCACAGGGTTAGTCACAGGGGTGGGCTTGTTTCATGATCACAGGGTTAGTCACAGGGGTGGGCTTGTTTCATGCTCACAGTCACAGGGGTGGGCTTGTTTCATGATCACAAGGTTAGTCACAGGGGTGGGCTTGTTTCATGCTCACAGTCACAGGGGTGGGCTTGTTTCATGATCACAAGGTTAGTCACAGGGGTGGGCTTGTTTCACACAATATTGGGGATGCTGTGGTCAAATGGTAGAGTTGCTAACCCAAATGTATCACGGTTTCAAGTCTGTTGGACGTTTTTAGTCCATCCAACTCTGATAGGTACCTGACTCACATTAAGGAAAGTAAAGGTGGCTGCACATAGTACTAACCACACTATCCCTTCATATACCAAGGTCATTGAAATTGATGAACTACTTCATTTGCACAAAGTGTCTTAGGCAGAGCAAGGAAATGATGATGAAGACACAACATTGACTATATTGAATTGTATTGAGTTTTGTAGGTTATTTGCTGTATGAAGTTTTCTGAAAATCTATTGTTTTCCATACATTTTCCTTGATTTAATATTCGAACTGCAATATCATATTCATTATAACTTGTTTATTTTCCCTACAGTCATGTGTCATTCCCCTGTAAAGTCCCTAGTTTAACTTGCTTATTTTCCTTTCAGTCATGTGTCATTCCCCTGTACCGCCTACTTGTCCGTGAGAAGCGTGACGCCAAAGACAGCCTGGGGATCTACATGATCAGCCAGAACCGCAACACCCCTGAGATGTACGAGCTGGTGTGCCAGAGTAAGGCTGAGAGGGAGGACTGGATCAGGATCTTGCAGGACGCCATCAAGCTGTGTCCACCTGACGTGGAGCCGGAGCTGTGGCCAGCCTCCAATCAAGGGGCAATAACCTTGTCTCAGGAGGAAGACAGACGGAGAAAAGACGACCATGCAAACCATGTGAAAGAAATTTTAGGTACAAACTCGCAGCTTATGATTAGCAGGTTTTATACTTAAAAGCATATATTTATAGCTAATAAAGTAAAAAGTACCTCTACTAAAGTGAAGCTTTTGTCGCAACTTTGAATTCTCTGTGTAAAGTAAGACCTAGCTGTATAAACCTTGTATTGTCCTACTAAAGTAAGACCTAGCTGTATAAACTTGAATTCTCTGTGTAAAGTAAGACCTAGCTGTATAAACCTTGTCCTACTAAAGTAAGACCTAGCTGTATAAACCTTGTATTGTCCTACTAAAGTAAGACCTAGCTGTATAAACCTTGTATTGTCCTACTAAAGTAAGACCTAGCTATATAAACCTTGTATTGTCCTACTAAAGTAAGACCTAGCTGTATAAACCTTGTCCTACTAAAGTAAGACCTAGCTGTATAAACCTTGTCCTACTAAAGTAAGACCTAGCTGTATAAACCTTGCATTGCCTCCCCAGAACGTCTGCACCAGAAGGACGAGGTGATCAAAGAATGTTGTGATGAGAAGAACAAGCTGATGCTGGAACTGCTGGAGATGTCCACACCCAAAAATGTGCCAGGATCTGTAAGTGGAAGCTTCTCATGGAAGTCTTGTGTTGATGGTAGCTGGAATAGTCTGTCTTGATGGTAGCTGAAATAGTCTGTCTTGATGGTAGCTGGAATAGTCTGTCTTGATGGTAGCTGGAATAGTCTGTCTTGATGGTAGCTGGAATAGTCTGTCTTGATGGTAGCTGGAATAGTCTGTCTTGATGGTAGCTGGAATAGTCTGTCTTGATGGTAGCTGGAATAGTCTGTATTGATGGTAGCTGGAATAGTCTGTCTTGATGGTAGCTGGAATAGTCTGTCTTGATGGTAGCTGGAATAGTCTGTCTTGATGGTAGCTGGAATAGTCTGTCTTGATGGTTGCTAGAATAGTCTGTCTTGATGGTTGCTGGAATAGTCTGTCTTGATGGTAGCTGGAATAGTCTGTCTTGATGGTAGCTGGAATAGTCTGTCTTGATGGTAGCTGGAATAGTCTGTCTTGATGGTAGCTGGAATAGTCTGTATTGATGGTAGCTGGAATAGTCTGTCTTGATGGTAGCTGGAATAGTCTGTCTTGATGGTAGCTGGAATAGTCTGTCTTGATGGTAGCTGGAATAGTCTGTCTTGATGGTAGCTGGAATAGTCTGTCTTGATGGTAGCTGGAATAGTCTGTCTTGATGGTAGCTGGAATAGTCTGTCTTGATGGTTGCTGGAATAGTCTGTCTTGATGGTTGCTAGAATAGTCTGTCTTGATGGTTGCTGGAATAGTCTGTCTTGATGGTAGCTGGAATAGTCTGTCTTGGTGGAATCTGGAATAGTCTGTCTTGATGGAATCTGATATAGATGTTTTTTTTTATTTCTTGATTCACCTAAATTCAAGTCAAGTAAATTTTTTACTTCCCTGTTTGATAGGAACCAGCCAACCATGCAGTTATCTGACTTAGTGTTTCTCATTTTTCAGAGACCCAGCTCTCAAGAGATCATTACAGGCACAGAGTCCATGGAGATAGTCCAGGCTGCCATGCAGGAAGGTAAGTCTCTCCAGGTCTACTAGCCAGACACTCTCCAGGTCTACTAGCCAGACACTCTCCAGGTGTACTAGCCAGACACTCTCCAGGTCTACTAGCCAGACACTCTCCAGGTGTACTAGCCAGACACTCTCCAGGTGTACTGGCCAGACACTCTCCAGGTCTACTAGCCAGACACTCTCCAGGTCTACTAGCCAGACACTGTCCAGGTGTACTAGCCAGACACTCTCCAGGTGTACTAGCCAGACACTCTCCAGGTGTACTGGCCAGACACTCTCCAGGTCTACTAGCCAGACACTCTCCAGGTGTACTAGCCAGACACTCTCCAGGTGTACTAGCCAGACACTCTCCAGGTCTACTAGCCAGACACTCTCCAGGTCTACTAGCCAGACACTCTCCAGGTGTACTAGCCAGACACTCTCCAGGTCTACTAGCCAGACACTCTCCAGGTGTACTAGCCAGACACTCTCCAGGTGTACTGGCCAGACACTCTCCAGGTGTACTAGCCAGACACTCTCCAGGTGTACTGGCCAGACACTCTCCAGGTGTACTGGCCAGACACTCTCCAGGTCTACTAGCCAGACACTGTCCAGGTGTACTAGCCAGACACTCTCCAGGTGTACTAGCCAGACACTCTCCAGGTCTACTAGCCAGACACTCTCCATGTGTACTAGCCAGACACTCTCCAGGTGTACTGGCCAGACACTCTCCAGGTGTACTAGCCAGACACTCTCCAGGTGTACTGGCCAGACACTCTCCAGGTGTACTGGCCAGACACTCTCCAGGTCTACTAGCCAGACACTGTCCAGGTGTACTAGCCAGACACTGTCCAGGTGTACTAGCCAGACACTCTCCAGGTGTACTGGCCAGACACTCTCCAGGTGTACTGGCCAGACACTCTCCAGGTCTACTAGCCAGACACTCTCCAGGTGTACTAGCCAGACACTCTCCAGGTGTACTAGCCAGACACTCTCCAGGTCTACTAGCCAGACACTCTCCAGGTCTACTGGCCAGACACTCTCCAGGTGTACTAGCCAGACACTCTCCAGGTGTACTGGCCAGACACTCTCCAGGTGTACTGGCCAGACACTCTCCAGGTCTACTAGCCAGACACTCTCCAGGTGTACTAGCCAGACACTCTCCAGGTCTACTAGCCAGACACTCTCCAGGTGTACTAGCCAGACACTCTCCAGGTCTACTAGCCAGACACTCTCCAGGTGTACTAGCCAGACACTCTCCAGGTGTACTAGCCAGACACTCTCCAGGTGTGCTAGACAGACACTCTCCAGGTGTACTAGCCAGACACTCTCCAGGTGTACTGGCCAGACACTCTCCAGGTCTACTAGCCAGACACTGTCCAGGTGTACTAGCCAGACACTCTCCAGGTCTACTAGCCAGACCCTCTCTTATACTAATACCTGGAGAAACTTGCTATCTTCTCTAAATAACTTTTACATACCTTCAGGTGTGGGGATTGGATTTTACTAATGAACAAAGTCTGATAAGAAAAAAAAAAGTCATAGAAAATAACTTATTTGATTACAAACCTGGTGAAGTGATTTAAAATGCAACAAATGTATTCTCAGGCTTAAGGTTGAGGGTTAGGATACTACTAATGTCTTGACTGAGGGTTAGGATGCTACTAATGTCTTGACATGCCTGTGGTGCAGGGGCTGGCTAACCCAATTGTTCCCTTCTCTGAACAGCATCTCGCCTGACCACCATCCTCCAGGGCTCGGGGACGCAGCTCAGTCGTAGCGTCAGCAGCGTGGGTGAGCACCACAGCAACACTTTTGTTGCCACGCCAGTTCCCAAGCGGGCGGAAACTTTTGCAGGTTTTGACAGCAACCACGACTCACCAAAATGTAGGCGGCCATATTGTTGCCCTAATTACATGTTGTTTAGCTCTCCCCTTCATTTTTGTTTTATTTCATTTTAATCACTAGCTCTTTTTTTACTAATCCATGTACATTTTACCCAGTTATACATTCACTAGTGTGTACTAATTCATGTACATTTCAACCAGTTATACATTCACTTGTGTGTACTAATTCATGTACATTTTACCCACTAACCTATTCGCTTGTTTTCCTCTAATTTATAATTTTATTCTGGGTTTGTTCACTAACTCTCCTCAACTATTATTTCATTACCAATTCACTGCTAGATCTTAACCAATACAAATGTTTAAAAAGTAGTTTACTTGTATAGCTATTGTGTTCATAAAGCTTCTGTTTAGATGTATTTTCTCTGAGTTTTATTATGAACTTACATAAATCATTGCATAGATTTCCCTTTTATTGTGAATCAATGTTTATGTTTGAATTATTCAATTGATATTAAATATTAATAAAATTGTTAATTAGAGACGAATTCAATGTTTTGTATGGTTTCAGTGAGTACCATGAAACAGAGGTACATTGGCATTGGTGGTGAGCTAGGGGAGGGGAGATCACCCAGTATGTTGAGTCTTGATCAACAAGAGGGCGACACAAGTCTAACTGATATCCCAGAAGGCTCTCCTACTGTAAATGTAATTCACTCATTTTATCATCTATTATGCCAGGATTATTACTTTTTAAGTTTCCATATACCACAATACAGATCACATAAATATTATTGCTTAAACCATGTAGTAGAGAAAGGTCTGCTGATGCCATTTTTTTTTTTAATTTGTCACATCTTCACCTGCCTCTTCAATGTCTGTTAAACTTTAAAAAAAATTCTTTGCAATTTAAAAATGTTTTTATCTTTTAACACCATCAGTTTTAGATTTTTTTACCTTAAAGACTTCTAGCCAAACTTGCATTCCAAACTTGATGTGTCTTGTTCCACAGGAAGCTGGTCTTTCCGAAACCAAACAAGCCACAGCCCCACCCTCTCACCACACAGCCTCACCCCTGCAGCATGCTGGACACGCCCACCTCTGGGAGGAGCAGGTCAGTTCTGACCGGTCAAGTGATAGAGGATCTCTGGGGGAACTATCAGCAGCATCCGTCTCCTCACTGGTCCCTTCTCCCTCCAACCATGAGCAGATGACGTCCATCCTGAACCTGGTCCATTACCTAAATGCCCTGATGGTAGGTCACACCAGTGGAACTTTCAGTAAACAGTTGGATTTTATTATGTGAAATGCTACATTTTATTTGTAAACAACATTTCAATCACATAAAATCCTACATTAAATTTTTAAACAATATTTCAACCACATAAAATGCTACATTTAACTTTTATTACAAAAAATTCTACATTTATCTTCTAAACAACAATATTTGAACCATATGAAACATTGAGCTACATTTAACTTTATAACAAAAATTTTTGAGCTACATGAAATGTTGCATTTAACTTTATAGCTACAACACTTGAACAACAAAAATGTTGCATTTTTAACTCTATAGCAACAATATTTAAACCACATGAAATACTGTATTTAACTTGATCTTGAAGTAATTGTTTTTGTATTTTGTTTAGAATTTTACTGCCAAACAGAACACCAGGGTTGAAAGTTTATGATCTTGAATTAATTGTGTTTCCCTATTTTGTTTAGAATTTGACCGCCAAACAGAACACCAGTGTTGAAAGTTTATGATCTTGAAGTAATTGTGTTTTCCTATTTTGTTTAGAATTTGACTGCCAAACAGAACACCAGGGTTGAAAGTTTAAGGGCAGAACTTGCTGAGGCCAAGGAAGAAATAGCCAAGTTGTCAGCAGAGATGCAGCAAGGTCGCAGGTCAGTGTATCGCCATGACCAGCTGGAGGAGCTGAGGAACATCCAGGAGAACATCAGCAGAGAGAGGCAGGAGTGGGAGAGGACAAAACTACAGGACAGGGCTCTCCTGGAGCAGGAGAGGGAGAGGCTGGATAGTGAGAGGAGAGATCTAGAGAGAGAAAAGGTAGGATCAGCTTGTTGCTTTAGTTATGGTCAGGTTTGTTGTTGGTTTAGTTATGGCAGGATTATCTTCAAGTCTCTGTTGTTAGCTATTAGGCTATGGTAAGATTATATTATCTTCAATTAAGTTACTGTGTTATTTTTGGTTCAGTTAAAGAATGATTGCTATTTAAGATTTAATTTTATTATAAGTACATTTTAAAATTTCTTCCAGTCTGAGATTCGGAATCGTAAAGAGGAGCTGAAACGAGAGAAGGCAGCACTGCAGCATCAGATTGACATGATGAAGCAGCCTGACTACCTGCTGGTGAACCATGAGCATGGTGCCAAAGAAGATCCAGCAAACACAGGTCTGCAGCAGAGGCCAGCGGTACACCGGCGATCTGCCTCTGCTGATTTTTATAACACGGTTGTTGCCAACGATGTTCAAAATCTAGAAAACTTTGTCCCCGGAGACGGGAGGGGCCTGGGTAGACAGACCAGGTTCTCTGTGGGAAGTGCAAGTTTAAGTGCCAGCACCAAACAGCTGAGGCAGCCAGATCTGAACCCGGCTGCCAGTCTTGGGGTCAGCGCCAAGCAACTCCGCCTGCCTGACCACCTACTAAGTGCACGAAATGAACAAAGAATAGGGTCGGCAAATGTCCAGCAGCTGCCCAGAAAACTGGCAGAGTCCAGCCAGCACCACGGGATGTCTTCTTCTTCTCTGGGCGCTGGCGGGCAACAGACACACCCAGTTCGAGCTGGCTCGACTTCAATCAACCGCACGCAGTCCATATCAACGCCATCCAGTGCTGCGCTGGCGCAACAGTTAGAGAAAAATTCCAGAACTCCATCCAACCTTGCTTTAGTTATGAAATTAGCTGACCCAAAAGCTAAGCCTGGTCCAGCTGGTCATCCACTGCCCCCATCCAACAAACCCCCAGCCCCCCAGCCCACTGGATTACCCATGGCAAAAGGTGGAGCAGGATCTGATGGTACATTCTATTGTTAGCACAGAAGTAAGTAGCCTCAAGCTTCTCTAATGGGTCACTCATATCACCTTTACTACTAGTTGGATGTTTAAAAATTACAATTTTATTTATAGCTCACTTAATGTTCTTTAAAAAAATGTATCCAGTTAATTAAGGACTTTAACAAGATTAATAAATTGTTTTTAAAAAGTTGTGTTGCTTTTGAAGCAATTTAGTTGTGCCAGGACATCCATGGCCTGTATTAATATGTTCAGCTGTAGATGTAAAATATGATTAGTTTTAATGTATTGAGTGGTTTAAAAGTAGGTTGTAATTTTTGTACCGTGACACTCAATGCTTTGATGTGAAGTACTGTGATTTGATTGACTTTACTTTTTGTTAGTGACACTCAATGCTTTGATGTGGAGTCCTCTGATTTGATTGACTTTACTTTTTGTTACATCAGATGTTGACACAGAAGTGCTGTGGATGTGACACAAGGACTGGACTGATGATGTGTCTATACTCAAAATAATTGTGTTAGGTGGAAAATTTAACTGTATAAATTCTTCTCAATGACTTAGTTCCTACCATTGCATAATTTACCTAGAGTGGGATGGTTAGATGTACTACTATAAAAACTGAATTTAATGTATCTATTAGCATCATTTGCAGTGTACATACATTTTATTTAAATATGTAAGTAAATATTTGTTTTATCAAATTTTGGGGTCTAGTTTTTAACTTGGTTTAAAAAAAAACAAGAAAAAAAGTGTAGCATGTACTAGGATACATGAAATTTTGTAGTGTGATGTCACTTGTAAACATGGATGGACTTTATTGATATTTATATAGCTATGATATTTGTGCTATTTTAAACTGCATTTAGCTCATTATAACAGTGCCATATATATACTCTATAATTTTAGCCTATCAGTGGAGCAACTTTTTGATTTGTTATGATGTGGGTTTGTTGCTGTTTGGTTGCATGCTATCAAAACATTTGATCTGAAGATAAAAAATATGAATAAACTATTTTTTTTTCTCTTATGAAAGAGGAAATGTAAAAATTAATTGCTTAGGTTTGTTAAGCTTCTTATACTATCCATTGTGCTTAGTACTTTTGTACTGCTGTGCTGAATATACTATACTAATGTCAGGGTGGTCACATGACCAGTAGGCTGGACATGGTGACAGGACATTGGCAACACCTGGCCAGTCAGGTGTACAAAGGTCATGACCTGCAGGGTACAAAGGTCACAAGCACTTGATCACTGAAGTAACTTGAAAATGTAACAGATCAGTGAGCTAACCCAGCCCTACAATGAAATGTTTGTCAATAAAAATCAACTGTTGTAGATCTAGCTATGTTTAGCACTGTAGTCCAGTTGTTGTGACCTTCACCTTGAGAAGGTTGTTGTGGTTCTACATAAAAGCCTTACCTGTTGACCTACCTGTGCAACATAACGTCTATGTCAGTAGCTAGGTGCCCTCCCTGCACACATCCCATCCCTTGCCAGTGTCTAAGTCAGAATGGCTTTCTTCTTGTCTCACAACACAATCTCCAGCCACAGGGCATTCAGGCCAATGGTACCTGGCCAGTGGCTGGGTCTGTTGTCACGTTGGCCAATGGTACCTGGCCAGTGGCTGGGTCTGTTGTTGCCACGTGGGCCAATGGTGCCTGGCCAGTGACTGGCCCTGTCAAACTTTGGTGTATATGGCATTATAACTGAGATTATTTTTCTCTCCCTCAGTTTTCTGTTTGTGTTAAAATAGGTTGTAGTGATCCAACTGTGTGTCGTCTAAACATGGGTCAGTATAGCCAAAGTGATCCAAATATAGCCAAGTTGTGATTGTCTTGTGCCTTGTACTAACTTATTATCAGATCTTTAAAGTGCGACACTCAACTCGTGCAGTTCGCTAGGAGACTGAACGTCATTTACCAAAAAATAGAGTCTTGTATACAGCGGAGATGCCAGATTAAAGCTGGCCTCTTCTATTGAATGGCATTCCTCTGGTCTAATCACGGTTATCTCCCTGCCCTTCATTGTTACCTCCCCTGCCCAATCATATGCACACACTTGACTAAGTTCCTGTACCACGAACTTTGATGTTTTCATAAGAAAAAAATCAATAAATTTTCATGAACACAATTCTCGTTTGTTTGTTTTCTAAGTGTGTTTATTTCACAAATGTGTGTGTTGGCTGTAAGGTAATCTATGCCGGAAGCTAACACGTTCTTGTGTTTGCTGTATTATGCCACGTTCTTGTGTTAGCTGTATGTCACGTGCTTGTGTTAGCTGTATGTCACGTGCTTGTGTTAGCTGTATTGACGTTTTGAGCATGATGGAAACAAGAATAACAAGAAAATTCGGGTATTTCGTTTGTATCTCCAAATGTGGGGCCAGCATAACTTTAGAACCCTCCAAACAGCATGCTATGGTTTCCTCGGTTGTTTTGATGTACGGTGTGAATAAAGTCAAAACGATAACCTGTAGCAAGTTTGGAAGTAAATGTGTACTCTGGCGCACAACAGTCGTGTTTGGGAAACACGGATTGATATTTTACTGCTGAAGACTACATCGCACCTGCTGTTTGTTTATGTCGTGTCTGTAGGTAGGCCATCATAGAAAAACTGGGATACGGGGTACAGAAAATATTGTGTTAGTTAAGGCGACACTAGAATTAGATCTATAGCGAGGGACGGTGGGCTACTTCAAGTGATAGGAAACTTGGATACACAATCTTAATGTTTTTACTGGTCGCAATAGATATTTATTTCTTTATAAACACGTAGTTCTTTAACATTGAATGTGTATTGCATTCCTGCCGGTTTTACACGTTTTTTAAAGAAATATTTTAGATCTAGATCTCTATATTTATTAGGCAGTTTGATGAAAAAAAAAATTTTTTAAAGTATCAGTAATAGCTAGGAAAATGGTAAACTAAGTCAATTTAGTTGAATTTAGCATATATAAACTTTCTGTGCAAAGTCATTATGACTGAAAAAAATTCCAAAGTCAGGGGTCCGTGTGGCATAGCTAATGATGTCTATTATATTTATTTAGATCTAGATTCTAGTAAAACTAGAGAGAGGTGAAAATATGAGAGGGAGTAGAGTTTTGGTGAATGTGAGATTGTGGAGGTAACTGTGGAAGAATGGGTAGAAGTAACAGAGTTAATGAAATGTAAACTACGACTTGGTTCAGATAAGAAAATGAACATTGTTGATTGTTTAGTGTTGTCTACTGACTGGCACAGTCATCTTTCTTATTTAGAGCCTCTGCAAGGTTTTTGTTTTTTAGTCGAGAAGACCTATACAATTTTCTCATCTTCAAAGATTGAAATAGCCAATATAGAAGTTCCATGCAATAACTTTCAATGAAATGTTTCCATTTCTGTATCGAAATCCTTATATGCTGATATCACTAGCCTAACCCTAACAGCGATACCAGCAAAAGATAACAGATGCGAATCTGTATCGCCCTGTAAAAAACGCATCACCATTTACGTCTATGCTGGATAAAGTGTTTTATATAAAATCTATTTATCTCCAGTGAATCGTTCAAGTAGGTCCTATACAAGCAGTCATGTTAAAACTTGACATGGTTGAGATCGTCTGCTCTTCCTTTGAGTGCTGGCTCCACGTGGTTGGGTGGATCCACGTGATTGGGTGGATCCACGTGGTTGGTCACGGCTGGCTGATCGTCTGGTGGGTGCGAGGAGCTGGGGGTGGGGTTGATGCTGGTCTCTGTGCACGTGCTACCCAGTCGAGGACACGCGCATCTTCTGAAGAGGCGGACTCGAATCTTTCGTGTGAAGAAACAGTACATGACGAAGTTAGCGAAGCCTTGGGCGCTGTCTCCGGTACCCTGTGGCGGGGTAACAAAACAACACGTTAGAATATGGCAATCGTCAGGATAGAATACGGCAATCTTCATCCGCGCTAAAACATGTCAGTCTTTGTTACGCTAGAAATAATCTACACCTCTCGTAAGTAAAAGTAATCTTCATACACGCTAAAACTAGTTAGGGCCTATATTTTTTTCTAAGCTAGGGCAAGAACAAAAACGATACGACAAGGTACCTGTAAAACAACGATACGACAAGATACCTGTAAAATAACGATACGACAAGATACATGTAAAACAACGATACGACAAGATACATGTAAAACAACGATACGACAAGATACCTGTAAAATAACGATCCAATCCGAGTCGGACGAGCTGGCATATTCGTGCGCAAAAGTGCCGAGAAGGAATCTGATGGTCCCCCAGATTCTGATGACGATGAAGACGAGGGGTACAAAGGTCAACTTTGTATTGGCCTCCTCCACGTTTCTGTTTGATCGTGACGTCATACCTTGTCGACGCTTTGCCTGAAATTTTCAGTGAAAACCAACTTTAAATCTTTCAAAAGCTCTGGTTAGTTTTCGTTATTTCATATTTTTCTATACTGCACAATATTCTTAATTTTGGGAAGAGTTTCATCTCTCCGCGCCCACCCCCGTAAAACGTCTATATTTTTACTAATGTCCCCCCCCCCCCCCACCCCCACGGAAATTTTAATCCGCCCCCCCCCCTCTCCAAACCGAAAAAAAAACCTCTGGAAGAAACTGATTTTGGGCTTGTGGGGTTGGATGGTAGAGCGCACGACTGCTAACTCGAGAGTCTCGAGTTAGAATCCCGGACTCGACTCCTTGGGAAGTCCTTGAGCCCATTCAACTCTGATAGGTACCTAACTTAGTTAGAAAGTATAGACGGCTGGGCATGGAACCTATGCTTATTCATGTTGTTTATAGGCCGATATTACAGAAACAGATTAAATCTACTCCATCGATCCTCATGGCCCGAAAGGGCAGTAGCGTAGCGAGGGGGGGGGGGGGGGGGGGGGGGTGGGCGGGGGGACGGGACATATGTCCCCGGGCGCCGAGCTTAGGGGGCGCCAAAATGGGTTGGAAAAATAAATTGAAAGGTTGAGGGGGGGGGGGGTAGAAATTGAAAGTTTGGGGGGGGGGTGGGTGCACATCGAAAGTTTGAGGGGGGGTGTGCAAATCGAAATCTCGAGGGGGGGTGCAAATCGAAAAGTTTGTCCCCGGGCGCCGGGAAGGGTCGCTACGCCTCTGCGAAAGGGTAAATACATTCTAAAAAAAGTAATAATACATTTAAGGTAAACAGTACAGTTGAGTGTGTGTGTGTCAGAGAATTAGATGATATTTCTCCAAGATGTCCGCACAAAGGTCTCTGTTTACTCATATGTGTCAATGTTGGGGCTAGAGTGCGTCAACTACTTGTCTGTTTGAACCGGTCTAAAGAGCGTCAACTACTTGCCTGTTTGAACCGGTCTAAAGAGCGTCAACTACTTGCCTGTTTGAACCGGGCTAGAGAGCGTCAACTACTTGCCTGTTTGAACAGCATGACCTTGACAGCCGTGTACAAGCAGACGGTCAAGACGCACGCCCCCACCTCCCACGCCTTGCCCGTGACGAGCATCCAGGCCGTGGCGTGGCGCGTGCTGGGGTCGATCCAGCACCAACTGGCACTGGCCAGACTCTTGTCGTAGCCGAGAACGTCAAGACCGAGGGCAGTCAGGGCTATAGTTGCTGGGGGGGGGGGGGAGACAATAGACAGCCGTTAGTAGTGCGAGTACCCTACTTGGTACAGTGAAAATCCTACTGAGACTAGGTTTGTTACACAAGACGTATTTGAACCATCTTACGACCACTCGTGAATGCCATGGGGCAACGGTAACAATAATAACAAACTGAATCCCCGAATGCTTGGGAGAAATCAAATATGATTTGATTATAAAACAAACATAATTTTCCAAGCACGAGTTTCTTTGGCATATATATATTTATGATTATGAGGAACCAGTATCTGCTGTATTTGTTAAGTCGAGATATTGAATTGGTCTGTGGTGTGGGGGTGGACATTCTGAGGCCTTAACTCCTACAGTAAAGCTTCACACACGACTTAGCATGATAAACACCAACAAACAAATATCTCAGCCTTTACTTGGCAGTCGCCAACAATTAAACCCCCAACAAACTCACCTCCAGCAAACTGACCCCAAGAAAAACCTCAGCCCTTCCTTGGCAGACCCCATCAAGCAAACCCCAACAAACAGACCCCCAGCAAACAGCGCCCAACAAACAAACCCCAACAAACGACTTACTCGGCAGCCCCCAACAAACAACTTACTGGGCAGCCCCCAACAAACAACTTACTGGGCAGCCCCCAACAAACAACTTACTGGGCAGCCCCCAACAAACAACTTACTGGGCAGCCCCCAACAAACAACTTACTCGGCAGCCCCAACAAACAACTTACTCGGCAGCCCCCAACAAACAACTTACTCGGCAGCCCCAACAAACAACTTACTCGGCAGCCCCAACAAACAACTTACTCGGCAGCCCCCAACAAACAACTTACTGGGCAGCCCCCAACAAACAACTTACTGGGCAGCCCCCAACAAACGACGCAGACGACCAGCTGTGACGTCTGACGGCCCTTGTTCATGGCCGGCTGCATCTTGATGAGGATCCAGAAAACAAACCAGGCGATGACCACTGTCCAGAGGAAGGATGCGATGCTGGACATGATGGTCAGGGCGCTGTGAAACTTACAGTAAACCATCTTATAGTCCAGCAGCTCCACGTTGATGTACCTGTCGGGGAGAGTTGTATGGCGACTAGATAGGTGTTTCAGTGGGTCTTTTGCTGGGATCAGGGAGAGTTGTATGGCGACTAGACACGTGGTTCATGGGGGTCTTTTGGTGGGATCAGGGAGAGTTGTATGGCGACTAGACACGTGTTTCAGGGGTTTTTTGGTGGGATCAGGGAGAGTTGTATGGCGACTAGACACGTGGTTCATGGGGGGTCTTTTGGTGGGATCAGGGAGAGTTGTATGGCGACTAGACACGTGGTTCATGGGGGTCTTTTGGTGGGATCAGGGAGAGTTGTATGGCGACTAGACACGTGGTTCATGGGGGTCTTTTGGTGGTGTCACAGACTGTATTATTATGTATCTTTATTATATTGTGTTTTGCATGAATGAAGAGTACCTGGCTAGCGGAAGGACTGTCTGAGCGATCGTCATGTGTTTTTCCGTGTTTTGGGTGAGATCGCTCATTGACGTAAGGGGAGAGAAAGTGGTGAATAAAAGGGAGAGCGAAAGGTGAACGGGTGTTGTGTGCTAGGACTTGGGACTGGAACAATGGCAGTAAATGTAAGATGTCTCCATGACTTGGAGTCGTGATTATTATTTGTACCTATATCAGTTGATCTTCAAATATGGATGTACCACGGATTTATCTGTACATAGTGTAAATAAAGTTGTCATTTGAAGTTGCCACTGATACTCGTGTTCCTGTATGAAAGCTAACCCACAACAACAAAGAATACATGTTGTTACATATGGTGTCAGAAGTGGAGGCAATAAAGTGATGTTGCTACATTGTATTACTGTTACTTATGATGTCACAAGTGGTTGAAGAATTGGTGCTACATATGTCAGAAATGGAGATATTACAGTCTGTGGTCTTCCACTGTTTACCAAGTACGTCAAGTTCTTGAAAGTCATCTATCTACACTCAAGTCAGAAGGGTTGCTGTAGTCAAGTCAGACGTTTTGTTCAAGTCAAGTCATCAACGTGATAATTTTTATCACCTTATTTCGATATTGTCTCACCAATGTCGAGTAAATATCGTCTGTGTGTTTTTTCTGTTTGGATTTAGCCGATCAAATCTTAGTGTTTCTTTTCTACTGTTTGGATTTAGCTGTTCCAGTTTTTTCTATATGGATTAGCTGTTCAAGTTTTTCTACTGTTTGGATTTAACAGATCAAGTTTATTTTTGTAACTGTTCCTAAACTGTTCCTAAAGATGTCTTATCTAAAACTGGACTAATTTCTACTCTGTAACAGGCTACTAGAACTATTTTGAATTTTTTCAACTTTTTGGAATCAACAAAGTGAACTATTTTTGTACTATATATGTACTATGAACTTTTCTTGGATTACTAGATGTCTCTAATCAACTGAACAAAGCCAGAATACAAGAAAGGGTATTGTAAATTAATTAACATTTATCTATTGTCAACTAATGAATTCATATTTTATGTCATAGAAAATATATCAAAATGTCATGTTTTGAAGAATATCTAGCACTAGCGAGGGCGCAAGGCATTAAGAAGATGAATAAGCAGATAGCCTGGGCAACCAATCGACTTGAAAAAGACATAGAAGAAGCAAAAGAAGCATGGGACGAAGTACCAGAACAACCCCGACGAGCTCATGGAAATGTATTGAGAGAACTAGATGATATGATAGAAATAGTGTGTAATAGATCAAGAGCTATTACAGACATGCATAAAGAAGAAGACATTTCAGAATTAGATAAAGTAGAAGAGACTGTACAACCAAAAGGAAAGCGGAAAAAAAGAAACAGAAAACAGAGAGCAGATAAAAGGGCTGAAACTATGGAAAAACAAGTTGGCCTACATGAACTAGCATATGAACAAGAACTATTAGAAATGAAAGCTATAACAGACACAAATGAACCAAAATTAGAAAGTGAACAGACAGAATTTAAAGCAGAACTTGAAGAAGTAAATATTGGCAACCTTTGGAATGAAGAACAGAGTAACATAGTCCAGGAAGAATTGAAACCCAAGGATAAAACAGAGGGTGAACTTAATAATGATTTAAAGGTGACAGATACATTAGAATGTCTTAAGATTGACTCTTTATTAAATGATACGCAGGTACACGAGAATATTATTGAAAGTTGTATCACAAGTCCATCAGAGAATGGCAGTCAAAATGATTTAATAAGCCCATCAGTGAATGGCAGTGATGATTTAATAAGTCCATCGGAGAATGGCAGGAATCATGATAAACTAATGATGATTAATGAATCAGTGAACTTAATAAGCCACAATGAAGAGAACGTACCAATTGAAGATTTACTTCGAAAATTGGAGTCAAACTATAAAGAAGATATACTAGAACTCAAGGATAAATTTAACAAAGAAATGGAGAAATTAACCCAGAAATTTATGTGTGAACTAGAATCAATAAAGAAGCACAAGGAAGTTAAGAAAGATGAAAAAATATCTACAAACTACAATGTTAATAAAAATGCACAGAATGAAAGTAAAAGAAATGTAGCAAACTTTGAATACAGTCACCATGTTAATAAGAATGTCATTAATGTCATTAATGCACAGAATGAAAGAAAAAGAAATTTAGCAAACTATGAATACAGTCACCATGTTTATAAGAAGCCAAAATCTAGATGTTTTTACTGCGGAAAAATAGGTCATTACCAAAATCAATGTTGGCATAGGTTGGCAAATCAGAGAAGAAACAATTATTATGTACAAAGAAAGTCATGTGAAAAATACAGTAAGTTAAGAAATAAGGTATCAAGTTCTAATGGAAGTTACCGACGCAACACATATTATGAGAGGCCAAAGCAATGCCATAATATTTATATTGAGTTGGTTGATGAACCAAACGAACGTACACAAAGCAAGATAACAACTGACGTTGTTCAGAAACCAGAAGAGAATATTAAAACAAATGAAGTAACACAAGTTACACGAATTCTAGGAAATAATTATGGTAACAAAGCTAAAAGATACACATACAATTTGAGGGAGAGATGGCATACAGGTCATCGTCAACTGCACGAGAACGATTACTCATGCTATAAAGGATGCTAAGATTAAATTATCAATTGACAGTTTATTAATATTATACAGTCTGTAACTGTAATATATAAATATCAAATAATGTGTTTGAGTAAACATAAATTGTGTACTATATCTAAAGAATGTAAACTGTATTATGTTAAACCTATTCTATACTATTAATTAACAGTGAATAAAGTAAATCAAGTAAAAGTTAGACTATTTATTCCGCATAACAATAAGACGGAAGTCTCAATGATGAATTGTGTATTAGTCGATACCTGTGTAAGTCAAGAATGTTGTGTTGTGACCTAGATATGACTGAAATGGGTCGACTAGGGGAGACAATAAGGTATATGACTTATGTGTAGTAATAACATGCCTTGATGATAAGGAAGTTTTTTACTACATAGGATATAATTATTTAATTCATGAGTTGAATTAAGTCTTTGATAATTTCAACTATGTATTATAGTTTGGTAATTCACTAAACTCATTTGTCTTGTTTATACAATTACTTGGTAATTGAAATGTTTTTCTTTCTCATATTTGAATACATTACACATAATGCTTGTGCATTAGTCTACAAAGAATGTATTTTTCCATGTTTTTTTGAGATGTATAAAAATTTTGTTGTCTGGCACATGATCCTGCCCTACCAATATTGTATTTATAAATTTTGTTACACAAAATTTTATTCGAAGGGGGGACGTGTCACAGACTGTATTATTATGTATCTTTATTATATTGTGTTTTGCATGAATGAAGAGTACCTGGCTAGCGGAAGGACTGTCTGAGCGATCGTCATGTGTTTTTCCGTGTTTTGGGTGAGATCGCTCATTGACGTAAGGGGAGAGAAAGTGGTGAATAAAAGGGAGAGCGAAAGGTGAACGGGTGTTGTGTGCTAGGACTTGGGACTGGAACAATGGCAGTAAATGTAAGATGTCTCCATGACTTGGAGTCGTGATTATTATTTGTACCTATATCAGTTGATCTTCAAATATGGATGTACCACGGATTTATCTGTACATAGTGTAAATAAAGTTGTCATTTGAAGTTGCCACTGATACTCGTGTTCCTGTATGAAAGCTAACCCACAACAACAAAGAATACATGTTGTTACAGGTGGGATCAGGGAGAGTTTTATGGCGACTAGACACGTGGTTCATGGGGGTCTTTTGGTGGGATCAGGGAGAGTTGTATGGCGACTAGACACGTGGTTCATGGGGGTCTTTTGGTGGGATCAGGGAGAGTTGTATGGCGACTAGACACGTGGTTCATGGGGGGTCTTTTGGTGGGATCAGGGAGAGTTGTATGGCGACTAGATACGTGGTTCATGGGGGTCTTTTGGTGGGATCAGGGAGAGTTGTATGGCGACTAGACACGTGGTTCATGGGGGTCTTTTGGTGGGATCAGGGAGAGTTGTATGGCGACTAGACACGTGGTTCATGGGGGTCTTTTGGTGGGATCAGGGAGAGTTTTATGGCGACTAGACACGTGGTTCATGGGGGTCTTTTGGTGGGATCAGGGAGAGTTGTATGGCGACTAGACACGTGGTTCATGGGGGGTCTTTTGGTGGGATCAGGGAGAGTTGTATGGCGACTAGACACGTGGTTCATGGGGGTCTTTTGGTGGGATCAGGGAGAGTTGTATGGCGACTAGACACGTGGTTCATGGGGGTCTTTTGGTGGGATCAGGGAGAGTTGTATGGCGACTAGACACGTGGTTCATGGGGGTCTTTTGGTGGGATCAGGGAGAGTTTTATGGCGACTAGACACGTGGTTCATGGGGGTCTTTTGGTGGGATCAGGGAGAGTTGTATGGCGACTAGACACGTGGTTCATGGGGAGTCTTTTGGTGGGATCAGGGAGAGTTGTATGGCGACTAGACACGTGGTTCATGGGGGTCTTTTGGTGGGATCAGGGAGAGTTGTATGGCGACTAGACACGTGGTTCATGGGGGTCTTTTGGTGGGATCAGGGAGAGTTGTATGGCGACTAGACACGTGGTTCATGGGGGTCTTTTGGTGGGATCAGGGAGAGTTTTATGGCGACTAGACACGTGGTTCATGGGGGTCTTTTGGTGGGATCAGGGAGAGTTGTATGGCGACTAGACACGTGGTTCATGGGGGGTCTTTTGGTGGGATCAGGGAGAGTTGTATGGCGACTAGACACGTGGTTCATGGGGGTCTTTTGGTGGGATCAGGGAGAGTTGTATGGCGACTAGACACGTGGTTCATGGGGGTCTTTTGGTGGGATCAGGGAGAGTTTTATGGCGACTAGACACGTGGTTCATGGGGGTCTTTTGGTGGGATCAGGGAGAGTTTTATGGCGACTAGACACGTGGTTCATGGGGGTCTTTTGGTGGGATCAGGGAGAGTTGTATGGCGACTAGACACGTGGTTCATGGGGGTCTTTTGGTGGGATCAGGGAGAGTTGTATGGCGACTAGACACGTGGTTCATGGGGGTCTTTTGGTGGGATCAGGGAGAGTTGTATGGCGACTAGACACGTGTTTCAGTGGGTCTTTTGGTGGGATCAGCTGGACATTTCTATTGGCGTCTGATCGTTTTCTTTAGTTAATTTAAACTTTGTTCCATTTACTTAAGAAAATCTCTTGATACTGTTAATCTTTAGTTTGACAACTTAATTTTTTTTTGTTTAACAGAAGTTAAATTTTTTTTCTTTGACTAATTTTTTTTTTCTTTGACTAATTTATTTTTTTCTTTCACTAATTAAATTTTTTCGTTTGACTTATTTAATTTTTTCGTTTGACTAATTTCATTTGACATTTGCTTGACTAATAAGTCCAGGACTTACCACGTGACTCCCATCAAGTTCCCCAGGGCCGTGAGCAGGTCCGCCACTGTGAGGTGGACCAGCATGGTCCGGCCAGCGGTCCGCAGGTCAGCGTACACCCAGTGGACCAACAGGATGACCAGAGAGCCCAGGATGGACATCATTGACATCAGCAAGGTCAGCGTGACATACGCGATGTCCAGCGCTGACATCTGAATACCAGGTCTGGTGGTGTTGTAGAGCCAGACACCTGGTGGTGTGCTGGTGTTGAACATGGCTTGACCTGTCCAGTTCATAGTGTGGTCTCAGTGCGTATCCCTAGTATCTATACCACGTGACTGAGGTTAGTTTACCCTGTCACCATGTCTTTTCTCTGTGAAGGACACGATTGTGTTATTTTAATTCCACCCACTACTTGCAATGTCCGTTTACAATATTCACTTTTTCACGTTTAATTCTCAATGTCAACTGACGGTTTTATTTATTAACTATTGACAAAAAATACTGACATTGCCATATCACACTTTGGATTCACAATGTTGTTCATTTAACTTTTGCCATTTTGAAATAATCGTTGAGTCTCGGTAGTTGCAGCGACCCGGCCAATCCTTAAATACCGTCTGCATGTCGGTCCTAAAAGGCCGGAAGTCATCAGTGCCGGCTGATGTAGAGTTGATGTAGGAAGAGACCTGAACATGCCACAGCGAGGCTAGTCCTGGCTCGTTGTGTTTGATATCAGAAACAGGATATGCGCATCAAGGCAGACGTTGCTATGAACAAATAAAACAGATATTGATTGACTTCCAATATCAATTTGTTTGGGTTTTTTTTTTTCGAAGGTCATTGCATGAATTTGTGCCGTTATTACCCATTTTACTAATTTTTACATTACGGGAAGCATTTTACTTTTAAAACAAAAAAAAAAAAATTGTAATGGCTGGTTGCATGCAGTGTTTTTTTTTAATTATTGGGCGCCCTGTATTGACTGGTGTATTTGTCATCAAATTAAAAACAAATTTCGCATTTTTATCCGATATTAGTAATTTATTCATTTTCATAACGTGATTAATTTCTGTGGACCTAATAAAATTAACCATACGTTTTAGTCTTGGTCTTAACTCAAACACAAGTCTTATGACTCAATGTTTGGACTACTTTCTTGCCAATCAATGTCAACCCTCTAGACCTATTTTTACATTTTTAAAAACTTCCTGGAAAAATAAAATGTCGCCTCTACAGATCGAAATCTTGATTATATCTGCTTTTATCTCGCGTTAATTATTTATAGCTTGGGAAACCATCAATGAAGTCTGAATTTCTCTTCTTTTTAACAACCGCGTTTTAATTAAAAGGCGAAATAAATATTTGACAAAGGATTACCAGATCGTAATCAAAACACGAGCATCGATACCACGCGCATGACAGGGCGTTCTATCTCATCCGATTAGCTATTACACAATGTGTTGTTTACATAAGGGGGGGGGGGGGGCGTTATTGGCAGAATTTTTTAAAATAATTGAAAAGGTGACGTGTTTGTCTAGTAATCGGGTCATCTAAGATGCCTCATTTCCGTTAAAAAAAAAAGGGAGGTGAAAGGTTCAAGAAAGACCGATCGTCTTCACCATGCACAAATACAGTTTAACGCTAGCTAGTGTTAAGTTAAAGTACATCATTACATTGAAGTACCGGGCCAATACGATACATCAAATTACTCTTTTTAATCATTTGTTATATGGATATTAAAAAGAAATCACCGAATTATTTTTATCATAAATAAAATCCAAAGCAAACTATTTGACTACTCCGTTTCAATATAAATGCAATATAGCGTCTGTGTGAGTTTTTAAGTAGGCCTTTATTTCCCAATACATAATCTATCAGACAACGAAGAAGCTGCTTTACACATACCTCGTTCATTGATTCTGTCCCCGCTAATTATGTAATTATTTTTTTCCCAACACCAAAACAAAGTATTAAAAAGTAAATTCTTTTCCATTAATGCAGGGGTCTCCAAACTACGGCCCGCGGGCCGGATGCGGCCCGCGAGGTCCTCTTCTCCGGCCCGCGGAGATCTTTTTGTCCACGGAAAAGATTTTTGTTGGAGGTGGCTGAGGAACTTTGCCAAGAAAATTCAAAACAATTTGAAAATGTAGCTTTGGGTGCAACTAACATTGCCCGCCGAGTTGCAGACATTGTTAAAAACATCGTGACTCAAATAGCGAAAAATGCAAGCAAGTTACGCCATTTTTCAATTGCAATGGATGAGTCGCTGGACAGCTGTTCCACCTCTCAACTGCTTGTGTTTATTAGAGGTGTGAATGAAGACATGAATATTACACAAGAGCTGGCTTCCCTACACAACATATATGCCACTTTTACAGGAGAGGATATATTCAATGAGTTAAAAAAAAATGCTGATTATAACATGGACTGGACTAACCTCATCTGAATGTGGATGGAGAAAGTACATGAGTGGCATAAAGAAAGGCTTGGTTAGACAAGCGAATGAGAAAAATATTTTACAACCAATGTTCCTGCACTGTATTATTCACCAGCAAGCTTTGTTTGCTAAATATATGGACATTAGCAGTGTACTGAATCCTGTGTTTAAGATTGTGAATTTAATAAATTCCTCATGGGCTCTACCATAGATAGTTCAGAGTCATGTTGAAAGATACAAACACAAAAACGCAGAATTTACCATATTATACAACAGTAAGATGGCTAAATTGTGGGAAAGTTCTGAGCAGAGTATTTAAGTTAAGCAAGGAAATAGGTGACTTATTGAAAAGTAAAGGCAAGTCACAGCCATTAATGTCTGATGAAGAGTGGATATGGAAATTGACATTTGCTGCAGACATAACTAGTCATAACTAGTCATTTAAATTTTCTGAACCTAAAACTACAATGAAAGTAAAATCTAGTTTCTGTTCTATACACCCACATAAAGGCCTTCATATCCAAATTGGTCTTGTTTTTAGAACAAGTTCAGGCCAACAACTTGACGAACTTTCAGCAGTGCAAGGTCTTTACGGCTGAAGAAATAGCTGAGTCATTTGCTTGTGAGATCAACAAGGACCTCCAGCTGCAGTTTCAGTGGCGGTTTTCTGACTTGGATTCAATGGCAGAAGAAGTGAGACGGATTCAAAACCCATTTGAAGCAAATGTGGCTAGTTTTCCAGATGAACTGCAGCTGGAGGTCATTGAATTGCAAGCAAATGACCTCCTTAAAGACAAGTTTAAAGAAGGGCGGGTGGGTTTTTATAAGGTTTTTTTATGTTTTTTTGACAAAGGAAGACTTTCCTAATATTAAAACTTTTGCATAAAAGCACCTTTCAAATTTCGGAACAACATTTTCAAGAATGAAATACGTAAACAACAATTTGAGAACAAACTTGGACCTCGAGTGTGTTGCCGGCCCCCAACAGTGTTTCGTTCAGAAATGTATATATATTTCTATAAAAATTTAAAAAATTTACTTCGTTGGGGGGGGGGGGGGGTAGACTTTCTTTGGTGGGGGGGGGGGGGGAGATTCGCCAACTCGGAGAAATTCCTAGAAGAAACTCTGGCCCCCGAACTGATATTATATAGTTAATGCGGCCCTCGGGCTAAAAAGTTTGGAGACCCCTGCATTAATGCAATGGTTTTATAAAGGGAAGTAATTGTGTTTTCCTAATTTATCAAAGGGAAGTAAGTGCTATAGGACTAAATAAAGACATAATTAGAATGTTTGTAAAAGATATTTTTTTAAAAACTTGTGTTTAATGAACATGCCGAAAATTATTACTTTCAGTTTGATAAATGAAAATTATATCCCAAAACTTTCAATATTTATTTTTTAACTCATAAATTTAGACCATAAGGACTTTAATTATCTAACACTTAAATCCATGGAAGATCCACGACAAACATGTGTTACATACAGAATTGAGCTTTATATATTAGATTTAGACCCCATTGCTTGCTTGTATAGAATAATGGGGCTTACATCTGTTACATTGAAAGGATTTAACTTTGTGACGTCGTTTTATGGAGGGGGTGCCTTAGTAATGATAGAAGGAAGGTTGAAATCTTGTGGCGTCGTGTTGTAAAATACAGGCAATATTTTTTTTAAAGAAGCAGACAACCTACCATTTGAAATTTGTATTTAGCTATCCCAGCAGGCCTTTAATTGAAATATCAGCTGAGATAACATCCATTTTATACGTGCCAAAAATTAATTGAAAAACATCCATTTAATATACGACTAAAATTAGCTGAGAAAACATCCATTCAATACAAGCACAAAATTAATTGAAAAACATCCATTTTATACAAGCCAAAAATCAGCTGAGAAAACACCCATTCAATACAAGCCCAAAATTAGCTTTAAAAAAACAAAATCCGTTTATACTAATGCCCTGGTTAGAAGCATCCAAGAAAACTTTTCTGAACAGCTAAAAAAACGAGAAACGATCCTAACACTTCATCAGTCACGATCAACTCCAGCAAGAATCAAGTATAAAACCCATGTCCAGTTCTTATTTAAACCATCATGAAAGTATCGATATCTTCTATGTTCTTGTCAACAAAAACAATGATAGTATCGATACCTTCTGTCTTTGGCGAACTGAGAATATCGATATCTTCTGTGTCCCTGGCAACGTGCTTTTGTTTGGCGACATCTTACTGATAATCTGAAGAAAGTAAACACAGGTTCGCTCCCTTCTCTCAACAAGGTCATGTCAAAAACTGAGCATGATCGTTGTAATTGTAGTCGTGCACCAACCCACCCTGCCCCGGCTCTACTTCATCATTCAGAGGCGTAGCGACCCATTCCAAAATAGTTAGGTTCATGTTTATAATCCATCGCTACTTTACAATCTTGAATGTAATACATTATAATTTATATAGTTAATTCATAAGTTTCGTCAAACAATGTCACAAAATTAGCAGAAGTCGGTTTGTATCGTGATCATAAGCCATGACCGGAGATATATCACTTCGTTATCAGCCCCTAGCAAAGTGCTAAGTAGCACCAAACTTGATGGAGGCGTTAAATAAAGTTTTGAGTTACACAGGACCAGACATGTCTAGAAAAGACAATTCCTGCACAGATCGTATCAGCACTCAAAGAATTATCAGAGCTGGAAATAGAACACTTCACTAGGCATTTGATAGTGAAGTATTGCAGCCTATGAAGCACTATGAAATCATACATACATTGTTTCTCAATTACTCAATAACTAGTCAATAACTAAACTAGAATTCAGAATTCTATGTGATATACAACAGCAAATTATTGTTATCAGAAGTACAAGTGAGGCAAGGTGCTATCACCGTTGATATTTTACTTGCAGTTGATTGGATTAGGAAACAAACGAACAGGAATCCAATAACACAACAACTTGAATACTTGGATTTCACAGATGACCTATGCCTGCTATCACACTCACAGTCACAATAAATGCCGAACTAAAAACAAGTGTAGGCCTACTGGCTGAAAAAGCATCAGGTCTAAATATGTTAAAATATTAAACAAAAAAAAACATGTGTTTAAAAAAACCCAAAGATAAATGAAATAAGACTAGAAGAAGTGTCAAATGATGGCGACACCAACCAAGATGTTCAGGTTGTGTCTGCAAGAAATTGTCTTAACAGGCTAATCGTCATCAGCTTTTCTCGTTCGTGTGGTCAGCACTATGTCCAGCAGCCTTAGTTTCCCAAACGTTGATCAGGTATCAGCCTGAGCTGGGTGGACAGTGAGGTCATACAGACTAGAGCCCTGGATCCGAACTCGTGACTTTTGGGTTAGGGTCATAAGATCAACCATCCAACCACGCTAAAGCCTGTGTGGAATTGAAATGCATTGTAAATAAACAATAAACTCAGAATCTTTACTACAAATGTGAAGTCCACAGAGACAGGTCTTTAAGTACAAGACAAAGTTTCGAATCTCCGCTTCTGGTAACAGACCACCACCAATTCAGAACAAAAATGAGAAAAAGTAAACAGGGGTAAATAGGGAGCACTCTCAGAACGACATTTAATTACGCGACGACTAGACAGGCTCACGCAGATCTGCAGGAAAACATAAAAGGAGGGGAGACCAACAATGTCATGAATGGATCTTTTGAAAGGGAGGTGGGGGAGGCTGAATTCTCATGGCTACAAAACAAATCTTTTTCGGTGTGTTGCCTCGGGCTCTATGCTCCGTGTGGTACCGTAGTTAGGTTGATTGTTTGTTGTGTTGTGGGTAGGTTGATCGTGTTGTACTGTGGGTTGGTTGATAGTTGTGTTGTACCGTGGGTTGGTTGATCGTGTTGTACCGTGGGTAGGTTGATCGTATTGTACCGTGGGTAGGTTGATCGTGTTGTATCGTGGGTAGGTTGATCGTGTTGTACCGTGGGTAGGTTGATCGTGTTGTACCGTGGGTAGGTTGATCGTGTTGTACCGTGGTTAAGTTGATCGTGTTGTACCGTGGTTAGGTTGATCGTGATGTACCGTGGTTAGGTTGATCGTGTTGTACTGTGGGTTGGTTGATCGTGTTGTACCGTGGGTAGGTTGATTGTTGTGTTGTACCGTGGGTAGGTTGATCGTGTTGTACCGGGGGTAGGTTGATCGTGTTGTACCGTGGGTAGGTTGATTGTGTTGTACCGTGGTTAGGTCGATCGTGTTGTACTGTGGTTTGATTGTTGTGTTGTACCGTGGGTTGGTTGATCGTGTTGTGCCGTGGTTAGGTTGATCGTGTTGTACCGTGGGTAGGTTGATAGTGTTGTACCGTGGGTAGGTTGATTGTTGTGTTGTACCGTGGGTAGGTTGATTGTGTTGTACCGTGGGTAGGTTGATCGTGTTGTACCGTGGTTAGGTTGATCGTGTTGTACCCTGGGTAGGTTGATCGTGTTGTACCGTGGGTAGGTTGATAGTTGTGTTGTACTGTGGGTAGGTTGATCGTGTTGTACCGTGGGTAGGTTGATAGTTGTATTGTACCGTGGTTAGGTTGATCGTGTTCTACCGTGGGTAGGTTGATCGTGTTGTTCATAAAAGAAACAAGCGCGTCGGTTGTTTTTTTTGATTTTTTTTTGTTTCGAGGTCCAAAATCATACACTTTCTCATATTTATAAATATCTAGATACACCTAGATATTTTTAAAGATTATTATAATTTTAAATATTGCCTGTTTCGTAAAGGGTCGATACTTTTGATGAACTAGAAAAGAAAAATAATTACATTGTTATTTCCCTTAGACTGATATTTCTTTTTCCATAAACTATTTCTTCTACTTGTTAAAGTTCATTACAAGATACTCGTATTTTATTTATTTTCGTTAAAACATATAGGCTTATCCAACGATTTTTAAATTGTATCTTTTATTTTACCCTTTATTTAATTTCTACAAAAGAAATGAAAATTTGATAATTCTTAAAACATGATAGAAATAAGGGAGGTAACTCTAGACTGACTTAATTAAAGCAACATAGTTTACCTTATTTCCCATCTAACAAAATAAAACAAGACCACTTCAAGTGGTGAAATGAGTTGGTCTTGTTATATATATATATATATGGAACATAATTATTTATTCTACTTCATTCACAGGAAAGGGGGGCAGTAAATGTGCTCCAGGAGCTTGGGACAGTGTCACTCTGGAGAGATGCCTAAAAGAAACAAATTAAATATATTTCTCCATTTAATGCAGCATAAAGTAACAGACCTTTAATTCCCTGCAAATACAACTGCTAATGGTGCTATGGTTAAACTTCTTTACTGTATTGTCAGCAACTGCTATCTAACAGATCAATGTTATAATGATCACTAAATATTTTTATGGCAACACTTTACATGTTAATTAGTGCAGGAAGCTAGTAACAAAAATAGTGAACTTGTTTATCAGCACATTCTATACTATTAAGCAAAGTTCCCTCTAAGGGGTAAAAAGCTAGAGTGCAAAGAGTATTTTATGTGCTTGTTCTTCAAATATTAAACTAAGATTTATGTATTTTACAAAATGACTGCATGGGAACATAGCTATTGAGTTGTTGAAATCTGCTTGATCAGGCAGAAGTATTTTACAAAAATATTTTGATCAAAAAATAAAAATAAACAAAGCTCATGCGAGAACAAAAAAAATCTTTATTGACAAATATGTAACAGACTCACACAAAAATTCCTTACACACACAATTTTCTGGGCTAGTAAAACTGTCATAATTTATATTTGAAATAACAAACAATATAAAAAGTATAGAAACCTCTGGGAAATCCAAAAAAAAAAACAACAGAACACTATGGTGTAATAGCTAACAATTACGACCAACTTTACAATAGAAATAAAGAGAGATGGTTAGTGATTTTTATCTAATCGAATGGGTAGTAAAATATCTTTTCCAGTTTGGAACAATTTAATCTTTTCTTCTGTATGCACTGATTATTTACTATACAATTACAGTAAAATAAAATAAAATACATCAGTAGATAGTTAAAAAGTTTAATCTAGTTTTTGTTTAACAAACAAGAATCTGTACACAGGTGACTGGCTTCAACAATTATTACACAAACATGTCTGGTGTCCATGTGGTATAGTTTTTATATAAACAAAGGCAGGGGCTCTTAGAAGGCTAATTTAAACACTTCCTCATAGTTCTCAACAAAATGGACCTCAATACCATCTGTGATAAATGTGGGCAGGTCAGAGTAATCTTTCTTGTTTTCAGCAGGTAAAATAACAGTAGTCACCCCTGTTCTTTTGGCCTAGGGATAAATAAAATGAAATGATGATGAATGAATAAGTCAACATAAAAAGATAAAGGAATAGACAACATGGACTAGTGAGACAATAGTCAAGTTGGACTGGTGAGGGAATAGACAAGCAATTATGAACATCATGTTCAATTATGAACATCATGTTCAGATATAACTTTGCCTATAGCACTGAATACAGTGGATAACTTACAGCAATAATTTTTTCCTTGATTCCTCCAACAGGTAAAACCTTGCCTGTCAGGGAAACCTCGCCTGTCATGGCCAGGTTTTGTCTCACAGGTTTGTTTAGCATCAGTGACAGAAGTGCTGTTACAATTGTGCACCCAGCACTTGGTCCATCCTTGGGGGTGGCACCCTAAACAAAAACATTGCACAAAATGTGTTAGTTTTTTTATGACTGTTATTATGGGTTTTTGTATACTAAGAGGATCTTTAACACAGTTCAAATACTAATGAGTACATGTACCACTAATGTGACCACAAGTAGATGACAACTGTCCATTTCTTACCTCTGGTACATGCAAGTGTATACTGGCTCTCTGCATAAAGTCATTCTCAGGATACTTTGAACAAGTAAAAGCTTTAGCAAATGTGTAAGCTAAATGTGCACTTTCTTTCATCACATTGCCCAGACTTCCAGTCAGTTCTAGAGAGCCAGTCTCAGGAGTGGCGCCACTGCTCAGGTTCTGTAGAGGTTTCTTGATGGCAGTTTCAATAAATAATGTTGAACCGCCTGCACAAAAAACAGAATTTTTTTATTAAACAACTCAATCTTGTTTATAGAACATAAAAATGGAAAAAAATATTTTGCAAAATGTAACAAAAACCACCAACTTTTCAGACTCCAACTCTGCCCCAAACCACTGTATCAAATAAAAAATAACCACCCCCTCTAGAGAACATGACAAAAAAACCACCTACCCATGAAGACAAAAACCACCTACCAATGAAGACAAAAACCACCTACCAATGAAGACAAAAACCACCTACCAATGAAGACAAAAACCACCTACCCATAGCAGTCCAGGCCAGCCCAGTAACCACACCTGGAGGAGTTACATCATACATGCGATCATGTGTGAACAAAGGTTTGCCGACATACTCGTGAAGATTGTTTTGGTCAACCAATATGCTTTCAACTTTTTCTTTCACCACCTTCAATGCTGCTTTTCTGTAGATCTGTCATAACAATTACATCAAAACTCAACACTAAGCTACTTTTTTTTTTGTAAAAAACATATACTACTTATGGAGGGGGATAATCATAGTTAGGTACATATAACAAAAAGATAAAAAACTAACCTTTTCAATATGTTTTTGAAGATTTCTTACTCCACTTTCTCTGCAATAAGACTTAATGAGTGCACTCATTGCCTCATTTGTAATCTGCATCTTGTTCTTATCTATTCCTGTATTCTCTATTGCTTGTGGTACTAAATATTGCTAGAGTGAGAGAACAATAAAAATCATTATTAACATTAATTAACAACTGTAACATTAAGTTAGTCAAATAAAAGTATATCTCTCTCAAAGTACAGTATAGAACTATATTGTAAGTATTGAATAAAAATTACATTAGCTATATTCATCTTTTCTTCAGCTACGTAGCCAGATACATCAATCATTTCCATTCTGTCCCTCAAAGGCTCTGGGATGGTCTCTATCACATTAGCTGTGCAGATAAAAAGTACCTGGAAAAAGAATGGGACCACTCTATACATAAATTACATCAATAGCAAAAAAATGTTAAAACTATCAACCAAAATGTGCAAAATAATATTTCTATTAACTTAAATTAATAAAACAGAAATGCCTGATAATTCTGAAAGGAAGACTGTAGCCTACCTTGCTGAGGTCGACTGTTACATCAAGATAATGGTCCAAAAAATTATGGTTCTGTTCTGGGTCCAGCAGTTCAAGTAGAGCGGATGATGGATCTCCCTGGTAGCCCCGCCCAATCTTATCCACTTCATCAATTAGTACAAGTGGGTTTTCTGTCTTTGTCTTCTTTAAACACTGGATCATTTTGCCTGGCATGGCACCAACATAGGTTCGTCTGTAAACACAAGTAGCCAAAATTATTTCAAATAATTTTTTTTTCTTTCAAACTTCCTTAATGATATTAATTCTTCTCCATGATCCAAAAAAATAAGACAGAAAATGCAAACCACTTTAAAAATAACATGATAAATATTATTACATGAAAGCAAATTAAAACAGATAAACAATAACTACAAGATTCCTGACTGAAATAAATATAGCATAAACTGTCTTTAAAAAACTATCTACAATACCAGTGTATGACTAGCTACAATTTTAGTGTCAGACAAACATACCTGTGGCCTTTTATTTCAGCTACATCTGTCATACCTCCCACACTAAATCTAAAATACTGAAATACACAAAAACTTGTTACAATGTTTGACAAATAATAGCACATGCAACAAATAAAATGTAACACAAAAAATAAAAGGCAAGAAATGTTTGTGATCACATACCTTCCTGTTCAGCGCCCTGGCTATGGACTTGGCAATACTTGTTTTACCCACTCCTGGCGGACCATAGAAACACAGTATCTTCCCCTGCGTGTGACCTTTCAGTTGGCTGACCGCAATAAACTCCTGGAATTTATAGGGTCATTAATGTAGATTATGGAGTGAATGTGTTGAATTATAAAGTTACCTAAAACGTGATAACAAATAAATTCAATGTTTTGGCCACCTATGTATAGTTTACCAGGATTCTTTTCTTCACATCTTCCATGCCATAGTGATCCTCATCTAAAATCTTTTGTGCGTTCTCCAGATTCAGTGTTTCCTCACTGTACTTTCCCCAAGGCAGCCCAGTTAACCAATCCAAGTAGTTTCGAGTGACACTTGAATAAAAGGAAAAACAAGAACGATTACATTCAATATAATTTGTCAAAATAAAACTAAACACAATGCATCTGCTCTTGAATTGGGCTTTGTAATGTAATACTTTTTAAAAAGAAGCCTCCTGTAACAATGTATTTTTAGCTTAAAAAATAGTAAAGATTTCTTTGCTTTTTTATTAGTCAAGAATTGGTACTTTATTTGTTTGTTATTAAACATAAAAACTGAGATTGTTCTCTTGTATAGTGCTCTTTTGCTTTACTTTTTTATACAGAAAGTAAAATCATATCTAAGCCAGACAGTATATGGTTAAAGAGAAATAAAATAACTTTTGTTTCCACTTACTTGAATTCAGAAGAATGATTATCAAGAAATGAAAGTTTACTAAGCTCTTCATCAATCACTTCTTTGATATGTGCTGGTACAACCAAATCCTAGAAACAACAAACACACTCTCAATACAACAATTTTAGCAATATGAAAGCTATTAAACATATACAGCAATATACGATAATATAATTTACCTTAAGCCGAGAACGGAATTTCTCTTCAATAGCATCCTTATCATCTTTCTCAAGACCCAGCTCTTTCTTGATGATTCTCAGCTGTTCTCTGAGGATGTATTCTCTGTGCTGTTTTTTTACCTTTTCTTCAACTTCTTTACCAATTCTCTGCTGCAACTTGCTTAGTTCAAATTCTTTTTTCAACAATGACAGAGCCAGCATCAGTCTCTTTGCAATCTGCGTAGCATTTAAATAACACATGTATTGCAATATAATTACTGCCTGATAATAAATCTTTTAATGAACAAGATGCGAGGGATAGAGTTTCTACTATATAAAATACAGGGGCATTAAAAAAAAACGAATACAAAAATAAAGAATACAATTAATATACTCAATACAGCCAATAGTTTGAGTTACACTAGATTTTACAGAATTTTTCTCACATTTCTTTCTTCCAACACTTCCTGCAACTCTCGAGGTTCCCCAGCAGTTAAAGCAGCACCTGAGTAAACAGAGTCGTACATCAATATCTTGTTACCATAGTTACTTTAAACAATTCTGTTGCCATAATTACATTAATCTATGTTAACACAAAAACTATTGCTATACAGTCAACCTACCTAAATCACTGATGTAAACTGGGTTATCAATCACCCTCTGGCCAGCCTGAATGATCTGGGCAAGATTTTCTCTGCACATGAGGAAACAAAATGACCATACATTGTAAAAAAATGAAGGCCAAAAATAAAAGTATGTAAAATTTAGCACAGTACATGAGCATGACTAAATGTGGCACAACTAGATAACCTGCAATAAAAAAATTATTTACAACCCTTAAACTTAAAATGTGATATTACTAACCTATACAATGGATTCATTGCAATTATATCTCTTATTGTTTTTACAACTTCTGAGGTCAATGCCTAGGAGAAAAAAAAAATTATTTTTCATAAATTGTGATTTTAAACATTTTAAAACAATAGTTGTGTAACAAGGTCTAAAATTGTTTGTACCTTAATTTCATCATTGCTTTCATATGGCTCATGAGTGATGTTCTCTGTCTTAACAAGCAGCACATGGGAGGGTGTCTTGGGAACCTGTCTTGGGCTTTCTGTTGAAGATTCTTTATCACTGCCAAAAAGGTTTCCCAGAAGAGATGATCCTGTACTAGATGAAATTTCTGGAGCATCATCTTTTTTATCAACATCAGATTCCTTTTTGCCATTTCGTCTTCTTTTTCTTTTTACCTTGTCACGGGCTATCGATGGTAAAAAAAATAGTGATAATTACATGTGAAAACAAAAATTTAGTTATAATAGGCAAAAACTGTTGTGTTTTATGAAACAAATAAACTCTTTTATGAATAATCAGGTGACCCAGCTACTTTGTTAATGTTATGGTACACACAGCATTTGTGATGTTTGAACTAATTCAAACACTTACTCTGATCTGGTAGTAAATCTGCCTCATTTTCAACACCCAAGCCAACTATGTTGATTCTTTAAAAAAAAGAAGAAGATGCATTTATAGTTACAAATAGATACATTAAATAATAAAAGGATGATTGCAAGTTAAATGCTAACACTTACTCTATTAATAGTTAAGAAGGTTTATTTAAATAAAAGTAAATGTAATTAAGTAATCACCGTCTGTGAGCCATTACAATCATGCGCAAACGGTCACCAAGATCATGCATTTCAGTTATGTGGACAAAGGTTCCAACCTTATACACATCATCCAATCGGTCAACAACATCAGATTCATTTCTGAAGAATATGATCAAACGATAAATAAAATACATGAAAATAAATACTAGCCTTTTTTTAAAAATTAACAGCAGGGTAAATTTTCTGTGTTATATCATATAAAATATATGTGATATGTAAAGAAAATAAATTGTTTTTATGTCCACTTTAATAACAAACAATGTGCTAGATCAATATGCATTTTTTATTTAAATGTTAGGCTCTTTGTTTCTCTACACTACTAATCTAAAATCTCTACTTTAGATTGAAGCACAGTTAGTATTACTTATATGATTCCAAAGTCAATCTAGGCTGAAACATATAGGGCCCTAATAACATAATATTTATCAATCGATACTCACGATTCATCTTTTTTTAGAAACACACCAGCATAAGGTAAATTGAATTTAACTTTTCTTCTGATCAGTTCCATTAAATCTGGATGGGTAACCTGTTAAAGTATTTTTTAAAATCAAAACGGATGGTTCTACAAAACAAAATACTTTTTAACTAGTGACTACATCCAAAATTTGGCAATATTAAATTAACAACTCAGTAATAAATCATTTTATGTAACTTCATTAAAATCAGAAAGTAAGGAATATGGCCTTTTGGTACCCTATTATATTATGAACATGCAAACATTTGAAAGTGTACCACTAAATATTTAAGGCAATGTATTAGGTTGAATTATGGATTTTTTAAAATAAAATATTCTGTTATTTCAAATACACCATTAACTTCCTTACCCCTTAAGAGAACATTTGACACCACATTTAAATATCTAGCTTACTCGGTTGACGAGAAAAAAGAGAATTTGAAAATTAATCAAAAGTGGAAAATGAATGACAAAACAGCGTTCTTGGCCCTCGACCGGCATAACATGACGTCGTGGACTTGTGTACACGAGCTTTTAATTCCCGCCATGGTAATTGCATCAGCTTAGGTAATTTACTCACCGGAAAATAACAAAAAGCAACTCGTTGATAATCAAACTAGATCTAGTTATTTTATTATTTATTAAATTCTACTCCACATGATATTCATACCAATTTAAGAAGTAATGAACACCTGCATATATCAAATGACCATAATAAATATTTTTATTTCAAATTCTAATTTTAAATAATAAATATGCTTAAAATAATATGACAGTAGGCCTAATAGTTATGATAGTTTATAAATACAAATACATTTTACACTCAATTCACATTATATTGAGTCAACAGCGTGGCAGCTGAGGTTCATACATGGTATTAGTGTCTTTTTTTTTTTACATTACATTTTTTTTTCATCTTGAAAACATGACGTCTGTGATTATTTTTTAAAAATAAAATCTCCAAACATCGTCACTCGCGTGATTGCTTGCTTACATTTACTATACTGTGGATGAAAAATCCCACCACGGTCGCGGGTCACCGTGAGTTCAGCAGGCCTATAGTACACGTCATAGAATGAACACGCGTACACGAGATGGTCGGTGTCTTCACTTCTCTCTCTCTCTTCTCCCCCCCCCTTCTTCAAGCAAATTGAAAAACAGACCTACTTCCCTACTTCTTGTCATTTTTTTTAAAAGTTCGGTCATTTTTTTAAAAGTTCACATATCAGGTATGCTAGACGGCCAGCTGCATAAAAAAAATATTTTTTTAACTAGATCTATGTCTAGCTTAAAAAAATAAATAAATAAACGCTTAAAATGCCCGTAATCAGATTATTTAGCGCCAAAAAAAAAAAAAAGGCAGCTGAACGAGCATTTTTTTAAAATACGCAGCAATGAAAAAGGCTAACGGCCGATCAATTAAGTCTAAAAATCGCCCGTAATTAGGCCTAGCTCTGAAAAAGCCCACTGAACGAGCATCACTGATTATATAAACGAATAGGCCACGCAGCGTTGACGAGGTTAACCACCGGTCACGAATGCAGCAACTGTCGGCCCACAGTGAAGAAAAAAAATCAATATACTAATAAAATTACTAATACAATAATAATGTCCATAATTTTACTTTTTCCGCACATGCTACAATTGAATTACAATTAAAATACTAGATTTAACAGTTCATTCCGCAAAAAACAAAAACTAGTTGTTTCTGTGAGGTAACTAGCATAACAATGACGTCATGATACTAAAAATAGCGGATAGAAATGTCAGCGTGGGTACCTCATCCTCGAGTGAGATTTTGGAAAAAGTAATAAAAAATACTGTACATATACATGATAAATATATCAATTATATATTAATGTACAGTTAGTTGAGCCGTTTTCCCCGTTAGTCGGTCGTTTTTGGCGGCGGTTCAGTTTTTACGGAGAGTGCTCCACTAAAAATCCTCTCATTATTTACAACCACGAATCTTGCGTTTTTTTTCTGGCATTCTAAGGCATATTATCCATTTTATTAGTAATTTGCATTAAAATAATGATGAGAATTTGCGATATAAACAGTTTTTTCATTTGTCGTGGATGGGACCCCTAAAATAAACGTAAAAACCGTCAGAAAACGACGCGTGACGTTTCAGGGTCAGAGGTCAATCCTACCATCTAAGCAACGCGCCAGACTACAATGTATGCCTACAGCATTTAAATCTACATTCCCCATTGTACATTTCATAACTAGATTTACCATCTCTAAAACATGGATTTACATACCTCAATCATTTTTACAAATCGAGGGAATACTGGGTTTCTGCTAATTGCTATGACAGGAACAACAGGAAGAAATTCTGGTACTGACATCGTAGTTAAAGCAGCAATAGGTGGAAAACCGCTGACTATTTCAGGTGGTTCTTCAGTTGTTTCATCTGTTTCATTTTTTTTGGATTCTTCACCATCATCATCATTTTTCTTTTGCAAATTAGCAGATGAGGTGGTAAATGGTCTTGAAATGCAATATTTTGAGTTATTTGTTGACAAAAGAGGCAAAGAGGCAGTGGATGATTGAAAATGAGAAAGGGATCTCAAATGTTTATGCAAAAAATTTGAAGAAAATTTTGATACAAGTCTATTTGACATAGTTGTCTGGTGAGAATTTACAAAAACATCTCCAGGGTTGTGTAATGAACGTGTGGAGATTGAGTTAAATTTAAAAACGTTTCTGCAGTTATGTTCCAGGCGAGTCCGAGACGGCTGATGCAACGCACGACCGAGAGAACATTTCGAAAACATACCACTTTTACTTAAATACGAGCGTAGAAATGGATGTGCATGGCACATGCTTGAAGCAGTTCGTCCCTCGAGTTGATTTATTGTGTTCAGTGTAATAAATGTATTGACTTTTCGGGTACTTGTTGATATCACTTTCATTCTAGGGTTTCGCAGGAGGGCTGCCATCTTGTTATTTACTTAAAACTAGATTATAATCAGTCAAATAAATTCCCAAATTCTGAGATTTATTTATTTTTAGTTTTCAATTGTTAAAATTTAACAATTTTAAAACTATCCATAAAACACTAATTTCTAAACTGAATTTCAGCAATGGATTATCTTTGTTAGGCCTATAATAAAAAGTATTAAAATAATTCCGTTATTGTGCCGAAATTTTCATCAATTTTGTTATATGTCACGTGATAAAATAACAAAATGGCCGTCACAATGGTTTACACCATAGCAAGGCCAGTTTCTTATAAAGGCGGATTTGATAGCAATACTTTAAGGCTTTATTATCTTTACCTATGACAAAGGCAATGAAGAAAAGAACTGAACCTAGCAATGGCTCTAAGTCAGATACAGATAGAGCTAAACGGGTTTATCGGTAACTTTTATTTTTGTGTTTTTAAAAACAATTTCCAATAATTTGTAATTTTGTTTTGAAGTGGCTATTCCGACCAGGGTCCAAGTATACTTTACTTTAGTTTAGTATACTAGTATAATGTAATAGTACTAATAAAAATAGTCTAATAGCCCCAGCCGCTATTAGGGTCTGGGTCCCTATACCAATGGGCGCTATTTGGACCCAGCATTAAGTTTGGTCTGTTAAGTACAAACTCGTATGTCCTGTAGTAGGGCCTATTAAAATTATATTAATTTATGTTTATTTTATTTTTTCTTGTGGATTTGCTTGTATTTTGTTGTTTTATTGTATTAAGTAATTTGTTTTTTTCTAGTGTTAGGGGCTACTATTTCTAAATACCTTATATTTAGCTCTATAGGCCAATACAAAATCATTAGGCCTGCCTAAATATTGGATATTTAATGTAAGATTTCGTGGCCGAGTTTGCTTGGCATAGTTGTTTTTTTTTTAAATTGTTTTTCTTTATCTTTTCTAGATTTAGATCTTTAAATATGCCAATTCTAAACTTTGTTGCTCCTATGATTTCCCGCTCACGTTTTCTTGTCAGCTCGAAAAAAAAATACAGACGGGGCCTAGATAAAGTCACTGTGATTCCATATTGGTTTAGATATGAATAGTGTAGGCGTATAGCATACGTCAAGATTTGTCTCTTCCCCCCCCCCCCCCCCCACCCAACCCAGCAAGATGAAAAACATTTGGGGTCATTGTGAGTTAATATGTTATATATTTCTTCTATTATAGCAAGATCTCAAGATTTCATTTAGAATTACCAGAAAAAAATCACAACATCAGAAAAGATATATTCTGCATCTTAAAAGAATTATTGTTTAACTAAATCTTAACACGTTTATTGGCTGGTCCCAATAGTGGCAGAGCCTATAAGTATAAGGACCCAGGTCCTAATAGCCAAGTTCCTAATAGCCGTCGTGGCTATTCGACCCTGGTGCCAAATAGATGCAGCCATTTGTTTTTCTGTTCTGAATGTCACATACAAATAAAAAACTTATTTAGATAGGTCTAGATCCATGCATAAGCCTAAGTGGCCATAAGATTTAAAAATCTGGATCTACTAAAATCCCAACTAAGTATTATTATAATCTCACCATTTGTGTGCATTTATTATACTATCAGTTAGCTGTTAGGAACAATTAGGCCTAATGATTGATGAATTATATCATTGTCCTCTTACTGAATGACCTCTTGGGTTGTTCACGAGTTTCGGATTAGTCTGTGAAGTAATGGTCCTCACTGGGACGAATGTTACATATTCAATTTATTTGTTGGTAGTACAAACAATAAAAGTGAAGATCTTTGTGACAAGTTTTCTATGAGTTTCTAATGATTTACTAACTGTGCGTGCCTTGAAACATCTTTCACTTTGAATAGTAGTAAAACTATAATTATGTTTTATACAGAACCAAAGCCTTGACAGTATATCCATCAAAAATTAGTTGCGTTGAATGGGTAATTGAAAGTAACTTGGTGTATCAGCGGCCAATTTTATATCACACTGATGACCTGAGGTTCAATCCTGGCTTAGTGCCTTATTTTAAAGCAATGTTAGATTTATTTTAACAAACTGACTAAAACTGTATATGATATATGATTGAGAAAAAAAGTTTAGAGGGTTGTCTGAGGCTAGGCTGAAAATATTTGTTCTTGCACATCCTTTAACACCCATTGTAAACTGTAATCCTGTTATCATATAAGCACTTTTCACATGGAAAGTTGTTTCCCCTTTTTATTTTTTCATTGCTATAAATTATATCTTACCTGACTTTTTAAAATTTGCACATAAACACCAGATACAATAACTACAAAATGTTAATTAGTTTATTTAGTTAATTGAGTTACAAATAAAAAGTAAAAATCTAATCTGTATGAGGAAAGGAAGGACAGTGAGAAGTGAGGAAAGTGTTCAATGTTTGGACAGTTTGATCAACTCTTTTGAATTAATATATTTAATAGTTATAATGCAAATAAATAAAATACATATTCTTATTCTCTATTGGCTGAAGATTATTTACAAGCTTTCCTTTTCATTCTGTCAAATAATAACAAAAGTAGGTGTCACAAATCAGAAGTTATTGTCATTAGTGTTCAAGATTGGTTAATTTAGTAATTAGCATGTAATACATACTTATCAGTAACAATTTTTTATCCACATTAACATAAATTGTGTGTATGTATGTGTGCGTATATATTATTTTGTTTTACAGAGCTGCTTTGGAATCCATTAAGCGTCTTGATACTATCAATAAAGGGACAAAAGCTTACCGTGAGGTGTTCAGGCAAGACGCAGTTGGGCTTCGCAATAAGTAAGTATTTTAAATATTAACCTTTACTGCAGTGGCGGATTAAGGGGGGTGCTGAAAGGGCTGCAGCCAGGGGCCCCCGATTTTTAGGGGCCCCCAAATTTACCGCCTAATTGTTGGTTTTCACTATAAAAACTAAAGTTTGCATCACAAGCTTCATTTCTTTTTTTTTTAATTTCTAAAACCTGCACACATGTACGTATAAAAAAGTATAAATACCACCTGTCATCAACTCCTTTCCAGACATTGTTTATATAAAGCCGAAGCTCCCTAAAAATAACATAGTCCGGACCAGTGATCGCTGACAATAAAATGAGTGGTTTTTAGCGTTAAAAATCACAAATAGCAGCCGAATTGTGTTAAATGATTAGCTCATCTTTTTAAAACACGCAGCAATCAAAAGTTATTTCATCAGATCGCATCAGATCGCGTCACACGGTGGTAGGCCTAACAAAAATATATAAAATGATACTGTATAGGCCCCTTGGGTTTACAGTGTGAATTATTTCTCTCTCTTAAGCATTCAGACAATCAGATTTATATGCTAACCCTAGCAATCAGTGGAAGCATTCCTAACCATTCTTTAAATTGTGTTAAAATGACAAGCCATTTTATTTACCAAACAACGGCCACAAAAATGAGTTTTGTCCCATGAAAAAAACAACTTCAAAACGCCCCGCCCGTCATAAGCTGTCGTCGCTTTCTGCTTACAAAATGTTTACATAAAGCGATGCTCCCTAGCATATTATACATTTTTTGCACACATTTCGGTTGATCAACTAATTTCAGGAAATAAAACACTGAATCTTAACAGACTAGAAAGACATGTTTTACTTGGAAATGTGATTGTATGAGTGATCCGTCTAATGGCTTACAAATGGCGCTTTAATCCAAACGTTTTTAAAGGGCAGGAAGTAGCCTGTTTTGAATATTATTTATTTGAATTGAAGGGTAGGTTGTTGCGTTATTTGCCGTATAAATGAGAATTTAAACAGAAACTAGACGCAGGTGGGAGCTACAAAGGATATGGCAAGGTTTATCTCACGAGTACAGAAAAGTTTCTTTTAAGGCCATAGCTCATTAGCAATGGCAGATTATGGATTTGAACATGAGACACCCTAATTCGGGGGCTCTGAATAATTTTCTTATCAACAACAGTAAAAATAATTTTCCTTTTGATTTTCTTATAAGCTTTTTTCTTCTAAATTTACAAATACGAACAAATGACGTTTTTTTTTCTCTCATGAAATATACTTCTGACACTTAGTCGGACATCAACCCCCATGCTCTACAGTTAAAACTTTAGCTGTCATCGCTTCATGCCAACCTAAATTTATTTAACGTGAGCTCTTCCTAAAATAATAATGTGTTTCTGATTGATCTTACTTAGTCTATAAAATATGATAAGTAAGTATATTCGTTTTTCGCTTCATTTCACACACACACAAATATATATATATATATATATATATATATATATATATATATATGTTGGGCCCCCAAAAAATTTCAGACGGGGGCCCCGCTCAGCCTTAATCCGCCCCTGCTTTACTGTATTAAGTAGTTAGCTTTACATTCTTGCATTTTTATGAATCTTTAGTTGATGTGCTTATGTAATAATAATTTTCTATTTTACAGGTTGAAGGAACATTGTGAACGTCTCATGTTTTTTAATCCTATTGAGTATGGTCGTAAAGCGGAAGAAGTTTTGTGGAGAAGAGTGTTTTATGATGTTATCCAAATAGTCAAACACAGTAAAGATGTAAGTCCAGTTATTTAATGTAGATGTAAGCTTGATCACTCCTCTGAAACTACATATTGTGATGTTTCTTGAACTGTTCTACAGCATGTCAGACATCATGGATCAGTTGAGACTGCTTATCGTACACATTTGGCAGCAGCAGCAGGCTACTATCAGCATCTTGTTTTCAGGCTTCAGAAAGAATTCTCTTTACGTTTAGCTGCTGTCATTGACTACCATCAACTGCCAGACCCAAGAACAGGTTTTTTTCCCTTCAGTTTTTTTTTTAAATGAAAATCAAATTGTGAAATTTTATAGTAGATCTTTTCTCCTTTTTTTTATTTTAAATTTTGCTACAATTATTACAGTCTTTATGCATGACATATTATTACCTTTGTTTCTAATAGGGCGTAGAAATGACACAATTGTTAAAACCATCAATCCCAGTGTTCAAGAGTGGGCTCAGAGAGCATGCCACAGGTGTCTTATTTGTTTAGGTGATATCTGTAAGTGTACAACTTTTATGTCAGCACTCTATATTTGAACTCACACACCATAGACTATTGGTAAGATGTACTATTGTGCTGTGTTTTTCAGCTCGTTACATCTGTGATGTTGATCCCATGTCAATACCAACAACTGCAGATCGCTACTACCATCAGGCTTTCATGCTGTTTCCTGAAATAGGTACCTTTTACTGATCACTATATCCCATGATTTTATAATTTATTTCCCACATCACTTATCTAAAATTGTTAAAAACATGTTCATTTTTTCAATTTTAAGGAAATGTTTTCAGAATACTAACACATGAAATCTTAAAAGAGGTTTGATGATGTGGTAGTTAGTCATTGGTAACATGAAAACTGTTCTGCATTTCACATTTCCTGTTTAAATACAAAGTAAATATCAATTTATATTGAATGGTTTGTTTTTTTTTGGTGTCAGCTAATGTTGATGTTTCTGATCATTTAACAGGAATGCCTCATAACCAGCTTGGCACCTTGGCAGGATCTCGATATTCTGGTTGTGAGGCAGCTTACCACTATGTACGATGGTAAGTGATGATAGAGGAAAATGATGTGTGTTAAAAGCTAATTAGGTTATGATTATTTGGACAAAAGCATATCAGATTTAAAAGAGAAATACGTGGCTCTTTCCAATTTTGTTTGTGTTTAGTTGAAAGAATTTTTTCTCAATTTAGTCTTGCTTGTGAAAAACCATTTGAGGGTGCAAGAGGAAATCTGACGCGGCTGTTTGAGAAAAATACAAAAAGATTTTATGAGCTAAACAAACCATTGGCCAGGGACCTTCCACCAGATGAGCAGAGGTAAACATATTATAATGTTTCTCATAGAAGATCTCTTATTTCTGCTATTCTCTTTTTATGTGTGTTTTTTCTGCTTAGTCCAATTCAAACTTTTGTCTTTTTGTTGAGATGTAATTGCTTCTTACATTGGAGCTAACCAACATTTTCAATTAAGTAACAGCTGTTGTATAATGTAATAGTATGGACATGTTTTCCCAGCATAAATTTATTTACTTAAAATTTGAGTGAGCTTTAAAACCTTGACCTCACAAGTCAGCTCAACAAAACAAATATGAAAGGCTGAATAGACTTACTTTCCTAGCTACCTAACATTTAGTTATAATGTGTGCTTATCTTTTGCAGGCATCAGGATATCAAGAGGTTTTTTACACGCTTTTTGAAATTACTGGAGATTTTTCATGGAACTTCTAGCAAGTTAGTTTCATGTTTAACAGTCATATGTTATAATTGAGTTCTACTCACAAGATTACTAATCCTTTATTTAATTTTAGGCTGTAAATTATTTAGAAGGATAAATATACGGGTAGTAATTTGAATAGGAATCAATAAACTATTAAGGGATTTAACTAAAATACCCTAGTTGATTGTATTTAATCATATACTAACTGGAATGAAATTATTTTCAGTATTGAAATGAATGAACTCCAACAGCTGTGTCAGCACACACTTCAAGATTTCAATCTATGCATGTTTTATGAGCCTCAGCAACACTCCAGAGACCTGTCTGGGGACCAGGACTTTGATCAGGATGAGGAGGATGGGGAGGAGTTCGCTGACCCTGGTGACCCTGCATCTTTTCAATACCTTGACAACGGAATTGTTTTTAAAATTGTTTGCTGTCTGATATGTACCATACATCTTCTTGAAAAAAATGGTAATAACCCTATCTGTATTGGATTAACCAAGAAAAATATTCTCATATTTGTCATGCTCCAAACATAAATATATTGCACCAGTTTCTCTTCTAATGTTTAGCCATTGTCTATCCTTCTGTTTTTCTTTTGTTTCAGGTTCCAACAACATCACAGCTGCCACAGCTTTTCTCCTGGCTCTCTTGTCTCATATTTTAAACCATGTTGTCATCAGGCTGCAGGGCAGTCTGGAGGAAATGGAACATCCAAATAAAATTCTTATTGCAGGCTCATCACTTTCCAGTAAGTACACCATGTCTGTCTGGCTTACAAGATCTTATATTTATTATGCTCAGTCTAATGATCAGTGGGAGAATGTGTGACCTAGCAGTGACCTAGTCTTGAGTTCAAATCTGGGTCAAGTCAGTTGAACATCCCTGAGTCCACCCAGCTCTGATGGGTACTTATGTTAATGAAAGTAAAGGCAGCTGGGCTTAGTTCTGACCACACTATCTCTTCATATGCCGAGGTCACAGAAACAAGTGAACTCTACTTCACTTGCCCCATAGATCATCAGGTTTGAAAGAGAACTTTTTATTATGGTCTAGATAGGATTACCTATCACCTTGCTGTCATTCATTTCAGCTGAGAATGCTCACTTAGAAGAATCTTCTGGAAGTGAAGATGAATCTCATCAACAAACCGCTCAGGACAATGCAGCAAATAATGGCAGCGCTGGTACAGCATCTAAGGTGAGGAACTACAAAAATTTTTTTTTGCAAGTCTTTGCTTTAGTTGTGTAATAGCTTATTATTTGCATTTTAACCCTTTACAGTATGGGCGTAAAAAACAATTTTACTTCCCCTATGGCTTTGCAAAAAGAAGACATATTTTTTATTCAAGGCACTTTATTAAAATTTATTATTTAAATATCCACTTACAGTTTTAAAAATAAAACAAAAACATTATGTAGGAAAATGGTAAAAGTTTTAAAAAGTAAAAGTGGCTAAATAGCTAATTTACTAATAATAATATTATTTCAATTAAAAGAATATTTTCAATGTTAAAAAAAAATGTAACTAAGTCTCTGGACTACTTTCTTTTTCAATATTACTGTATTGGTTACTTTATAAATAAAGCCAGATTCAACTGTGGGGGCATTTCAATTAGTTTTAAGTGCACTAATTCTATTGACAGTACTTTTGAAGAAAAAAATTGTTGAAAATGAACTGCTAGTGATAGAACAAGAAAACAGTGTAAATAAAATTATTTTCCACTTCCATTTGTAGCCTCAGTCTCATTACCAGCGAGATTTCCATTCCTACACATAAATAAATGTACTATACATAGCTTGGGTCACAAGCGCATCTGACTGTACCATAATAGAAAATTCATTAATACCATTAAAAATTCAAAATTGAAAGCAGACTTTTTTAAATACCAAAAAATTGTATAATACCCACTCAATTTTTTTTTTAAATGTTACTATTTAGAACTAGTCTTGATAACAGAAATATAATTGCAATTTTAATTAGTATATTATAATATGAACTTATTTCAGAAATCCAGAATATCAAATTTACGAAATCTAAGAAGACGTCGGCGGAGACGACAGTTAAGTGAAAGTAGTGAAGCCATGTCAGACCTCTCTGATGCGTCTGACTTAAGTGAAGGTAATTTTTATTTTCAATACTATTGTATTCAGAATTACTTACTACTTAATGTTAGGACTAAAAAATTCTAAATTAATTTTGTAGGCAACAAAGAGACAGAAGACCATTTTGTGTCCAGTGATTCTGAAGACGATGCTCTAGCAAGTTACTTTGATCATGGATCAGACTCCGAACTATCAGATTCAGAGGATGTGGCTGATGCTGATCTCAGAGCCAATACAAACAATGGAAATTCTGTTACAACAGGTTCTCTTTTTCTATGTACATTGTTTCTACTACTTTTTTATTAGACTTATCTGTTAATATTTTTCTGTTTACATTTCACAAAGTTATTTGATAATAATTGATATTTCAAGTTGTAAAAACCTTATCTGTTGGCAGATGACCAGTCCAAGTGGCCACCTCCTGGTAAAAGTTTGCCCAATGGGGACATGAAACACATTTGGTCTAATGGTACTGGAGACAAGAGTCTTGCACATATTTCTTCCGAGCTTTTTTCTTCTTCTCTCATGTTTCTGGGTCAAGACCTGGCCAACAGCAGTCAAAGCACTGATGTGTTACATGACAAGGATGTTCCCATTCCTCCAGGTAGGCCTACACCTGCAAATATTTCAGTTTGTAAAGATACAATATGTTAGAAAACATTATCTTTTCCTGTTATTATTATTTTTTACATTTTTTCCGGAATATTTTTAAAGGTTTCAACTCATCTGAAGAAGCTAAACATGTTGCAGAAATAACTGAAAAACTTGCCAATTTCGATATAGAAACTGATACAGAAACCAACTTTATGCCAACTGATACAGGTAATTTACATCAGTATTTAACCAGTCCTAATAAAACTTTCCTTTGATATAAACTGTATTAACAATTATTGATTAAAAAAAAAAACATTTTTTAAAGCAGTCTGATACTCTTTGTTTTTTTTATTTAAACTAAATTAATAATGATTGTTCAAAAAATATTCCATTTACAGAGCAATCTGGTTTTCTTAGTTCTTTGATGCAAACTGATTAAACAATGATTGATAGAAAACATATACAATATTTTTCAGAGCAATCAGGTACTCTCACAGAGACAGATGAGGCAGATAATGAGCACAGTTCTTCTAGCAACACTGAAAAGTTTGTATTTTTACTTTTTTTTTAATTTACAAAACTGTATTGCACTCCTCATTTGTTGATCACACAGTCCATAGTAATGTTCCTCACAAAAAACTGAAAGAAGTAAACACAATTTAGAATTTAAAATGCGATCATTATAAAGATATCATTACCCTAGATATTTTATTAAAAAATTTGATTATGACAACTCATTTAAGCTGCGTGGAGTAGTAGTCTGAAACTAATTTTTTATCATTTTGTTAAGATGAATATTTGATGCTTTTAAAACTAATTCATCATTTCATTATGATGAATTTCTGATAATCAAAAGCTGCAATGGTTTATATATTTTTGTCAGCAAGTTTGCGTCAATCCTGATCACATTAAAATCTTATACAGAGATGTGGTGCTTTTTACATGACATTAATAGATTATTGGAAAAATTTACTCATATGCCCTTAGCAGTACTGATAAATTTAACTGTTCTATATTTTAAGTAATTTTTTATTGTGTAAAACAAATGAGCTTTTGTTAAAATTATTCTTTTAGGTCTTGATGATTTCTGTTGTTTACATAGTGTAAGGGAGAGAACTTTTAGAATAGTTTGTGGCTATGTTACAGAAGTGCTTTTTTCCCTTTAGGAGTCATAAAATGATATTGAGACCTAAAGAATGTAGGCTGTAATACAGCTTCCTCGTGACATAAAACTGTTTGCTGGAAACTAGATATATTTTTACAGCTTCACTCTCATTTCTTCTGATAGCGTCTTCTTTTTTCATTTTTCTAAGGCAAGAACGCGATCGGAGATTGCAACAAACATTGGAGGTTGTTCACGGGCAAGGTCTGTTGTCCACTGTGAAAATAATGTGTGATTGGATGAGGACCCAAACAGCAATAATTTCTGTTTGTGCACAGGTCTGTATCTATTGCCAAGTATTGACAATGTTTTAATCAGACAGACATTTATTTTATTTGAGTTGTTGTGGACCTAAGAAATATAGAGCTTTTTTTTTCTTGTTCCCAGAGCTCTTACAGTTTATGGCAGCGCCTGTCAGTACTCCTGAATTTTTTACCCCATGAAAATGATATTGTACAGCATGGTGAGTACTTTAGAAATTCAACTTCTAGTGCTATAGTTGGAATTATTATAGATTAGGTGCAGTTTGAAAAGCATGCACATAACTACATCATTGTTTAATTGTCTCGTGTCAAATCCATAAGTTGTGATGTACTGTTTCCCCACCTGTGATAGGTTTTAATTGTTCCCCTCAGGCATGTGTTGGGTGCAGGAGCTGCAGGTGATTGTCAACCAGACCAGGTTTTCAGACTGGTCCCAGGTGTTCCCATTGACAGAGGACAATGAGATGTGTCAGCTTCCTCCATTGGCGGACATCCACTCACAGATAGACTTTACCACAAGACACAGGGCTCAGCTCAGTGATATGCAAGAGGTACCTCAGTAAATATTGTATAAGATACGTTATCATAATGATATGCAAGTGGTACCTCAGTTAATATTGTATAAGATGTTATAGGCAGAGGCGTAGTGAGCGGGGGTTGTACATATGTCCCCAGGCACCGACCCTAGGGGCGCAAAAATGTGTTTAAAAAAAATTAAAAGCTCATTTTAGCTGCAGTTTTGCATTATAAATATAAACAATATATAGAAGGAGGGGGGCGCCCAATTGAAAGTTTGTCCCCGGGTGCCAGACAGGGTCGCTATGCCTCTGATCATAGGGATATGCAGGAGTTACCTCAGTTAATATTGTATATAATAGAGAGTACCACATATAAATTCAGAAATAAATTATGGTATTGATGTACAAAAAGTTGTACATCCAAATGGTATTAGAGTTTAAAAAGTTGTAGTGAGGATATGCTTAAGTTAGCAGCTTTCTTATACCATAAATTCTATTTCAGACATTTCTAAGAATTTGCTGCCTGAGGAGGTTTGGTTACTTCCTGACTACTGTAGACAACATAGAGTTCACGTATCAACCTGAGACAGCCATGTTCCTTGGGCCAACCAAAGACACTCATCTCAGTAGTAGTAACAGTCAGGACACATTGGCCAAAATGGTGAGTTTAATCTAGTTTCATTTAGAAAAGGTGAGCAACATTTTGCAGCACATAAATCATGTAGGTGAGCAGCATAGGAGTAGGACATACATCATTTAGGTGAGCAACATAGGAGTAGGACATACACCATTTAGGTGATCAACATAGGAGTAGGACATACATCATTTAGGTGAGCAACATAGGAGTAGGACATACATCATGTAGGTGAGCAACATAGGAATAGGACATACACTATTTAGGTGAGCAATATAGGAGTAGGACATACACTATTTAGGTGAGCAACATAGGAGTAGGACATACACTATTTAGGTGAGCAACATAGGAGTAGGACATACATCATTTAGGTGAGCAACATAGGAGTAGGACATACACCATTTAGGTGAGCAACATAGGAGTAGGACATACATCATTTAGGTGAGCAACATAGGAGTAGGACATACACCATTTAGGTGAGCAACATAGGAGTAGGACATACATCATTTAGGTGAGCAACATAGGAGTAGGACATACATCATTTAGGTGAGCAACATAGGAGTAGGACATACATCATTTAGGTGAGCAACATAGGAGTAGGACATACATCATTTAGGTGAGCAACATAGGAGTAGGACATACATCATTTAGGTGAGCAACATAGGAGTAGGACATACATCATTTAGGTGAGCAACATAGGAGTAGGACATACATCATTTAGGTGAGCAACATAGGAGTAGGACATACATCATGTAGGTGAGCAACATAGGAATAGGACATACACTATTTAGGTGAGCAATATAGGAGTAGGACATACACTATTTAGGTGAGCAACATAGGAGTAGGACATACACTATTTAGGTGAGCAACATAGGAGTAGGACATACATCATTTAGGTGAGCAACATAGGAGTAGGACATACATCATTTAGGTGAGCAACATAGGAGTAGGACATACACCATTTAGGTGAGCAACATAGGAGTAGGACATACATCATTTAGGTGAGCAACATAGGAGTAGGACATACATCATTTAGGTGAGCAACATAGGAGTAGGACATACATCATTTAGGTGAGCAACATAGGAGTAGGACATACATCATTTAGGTGAGCAACATAGGAGTAGGACATACATCATTTAGGTGAGCAACATAGGAGTAGGACATACACCATTTAGGTGAGCAACATAGGAGTAGGACATACATCATTTAGGTGAGCAACATAGGAGTAGGACATACATCATTTAGGTGAGCAACATAGGAGTAGGACATACATCATTTAGGTAAGTGACACATACATTATGTTGGTGAGTGACATAAAACCACAGCAGCACAGACATCATATAGGTAAGTGACATAGTTGTAGTACATATATCATGTAGGTGAGCAACATAGTTGTAGTACATATATCATGTGAGTGACATAAAACCACAGCAGCACATACATCATGTAGGTGAGCAACATAAAGCAAGATAGCTGTAACACATACATCATGTAGGTAAGTGACATACTTGTAGTACATATATCATCTAGGTGAGCGGCATAGCTGTTGCAAATACATTATGTAGGTCAATGACATAGCTGTAGCACATACATTATGTAGGTGAGCAACATGGCTGTAGCACATACATCATGTAGGTGAGCAACATAAAGCAAGATAGCTGTATCTCGTACATTTTGTAGGTGAGCAACATCAAACCACAGCAGCACATCCACTCCCCGGCATCTCACCTGCTATATCCCCAAATCACCAAGAGGACCCTATTTATTTTGTGAAAAATATCTGCTAGCCTGTTGTACTACGTGTTTCTATGACATTCACATACTAGGAATTGTGTTCAGATTTATGTTCTGACACCTTAACTTTCCCTAACTGTTAATCTTGTTGATTATATTTTCTTTGATCTATTTAAGATTAAGTTAATAGTTATGAATACTGAATTTTTTAAGTTAGTGTTTAAATGATTACAGCACTTTTCAAAACTTTGTGGGTAAATCACACAAGTATTTAAGCACAAACATCTATTTATTTAAAGATTTGATCAATGCTGATAATTTTTAACGTGAGAAACAGGTGTTAAATTAGTTGTTGGTTTCAAAGTTGAGTTATGTGCCAGAAATATGTTGATGTAGATGCCAAACTTGTATTTTCCTGTTTCTGTGGTCTCCTGAAAATGTGTGTGATTGTGATCTCTCTTTCCTATAAGTTATTGGTCTCTCATTCATTCTTTCTTTATACTCTATCTTTGCTGTGGGTGGAGCTTTGTGTTTGCTGTGAGACTAAATAACACAAATTTATTGGATGTACCTTTTGTTCCATTGCTTTCTTCAATCCATTTTTTATTATTGGGTGAAGCAGGATATTTTAAAAAAACTGAGTTCAGACGAATGTGTTTCCATGACAACGACGTGTGTGGCGTCTGTGGTTATCACCCATCATGTAAATTTTCTCCACCCCTGTCGACACCTCCTCCTCCTCCCCTATCTCCTCCACGGGAAGATCACGTGACTACCTGCATGTTTTATTTTCATTACCTATCAGTTTACGCTGATGGAGATAGAAGATTGCCCGGTTTTAAAGCAAAAAAAGTTTGATTTTAAAACGTCAGCATTACACAATACACAGGAGCAGTTGGTCCCATTAAATATTTGTCATTTTCCGACTGCCGTCAACTGGTTACCTGCCTAGCAAACTTGCCCATTTACTTGTCTCTGTATACTTAAGATAGCGTCTGTTTTATCTTTACACGTGCTCGAGTTTTTCTCCTGGATGAGCCGAGCAGCAGTTCTCCCCCTTACACAGCTGTCACGAGGATCTATTTATAGTGGAACTTAATATTTATTGCATTAGCCAATCGCTATTTAAGTTTATTTTGTATACTTTGCCGTCAAATTTTCCGGTAGACATAATGGCACCGACCAATCAGATAAAAGTTTACATTACAGGAAGTGGATTGGCTTTTCTGGAACCAACCAGGAAGCGTCGCCGATGCAAGTTGTTTGATGAAGAAGAGGGAGAGCAGCGGTATTTTAACCGTTAATTAACGGGGTGGTTTTTTTTTGTTTTGAGTCACGTGTGATTAGCCATAGACGATTAAAGGTTCGCCACAGCAGCTCTGATTTGAATACAACATCACACACATGCCTTGATGGCGTCGTGTGCTACGTTTGGTATCTGTTGGGGGGGGGTGGATGCCTAAATCAGCGGTTAGCACGTGTCTAAAATTAATTCTTAGCATTCAAACGTGCAAGCATGTTGTTTTACAAGTTGAGATAGGTGATAGAGTGGAAGTTGAAGACTGGGACATTAGCTCATCTCCCCCCCCCCCCCACACACACACACACACACAGATGCACGGGCTAATACCATTAGCGGTCTGGTGCGGGAATAATGGCGTGGCGCAGTCCCTCGTGTCGAGACAAAATGGAGTCCAGCTGTGTTCGGCCTAGGTGTGATCTGCGTGCAGTCCGGGATTTCCTACCCAACGGGAATTCCCATTTTAATCGCCTAACTTACGTAAATCTCGCGGTCAATATCCGTACAATTTTAAATATTTAATTTCTAATTGCTTTAAGTGAGGATCAAGTTTTGAGTTAATCTCTCTTTATGTCCGTTCCAGTAGTTTGATGTCAGGGCAGATGTGCCAGCTGCATCATTGAGATTAGCGTCGTGTCCTAGGTGCTCAGAAACCTCAGTAGTATGAAATCTGGCATAGACTTCCCCATTAGACATCTTTATAGACATGCCGGTGCTGTTAACTTTACACTAATCTCTACGCTAAGACATCAAATGTATATATGGAATAAGATCATTGATCGCTCCTCCAGCATATTTCTTTCGCTTATCGTGTTGTTTATATATTTAATTATTTTAAAAGGTAGCTCTTGGTGTCAAACCTATACCCTAGAAATGACCTCAGTTTTTTTTAGCGGGGGGGGGGGGGGGGTGTGTGTGTTGGTCAGCAGTAGACAGCAATTACCCTACAGTTGTCACTTCCTCTACTACGGCAATACTGGTGTATTTCCTTTTCCGTTGACTCACTTTGGCTGTGACCTTACTTTTTACTTGACACACTTTAATATCCATACCCTCCTGCTATTCCCTAGTTTTTACTTGTTTAATTTGCAATGTGCAATAGCCAAGCGGCTTATTTTCCAGGCTGATACAACCAGTTGACTCTAGCTATTACGCTGTCAGAGTTCAACTTGTCTGTCTATTTTTACGCACTATCACTTTTTCTGTATCTCCTGCACGGAAGAGTCGTGTCTGGTTGTGGCTGGCATTTCTCCGTGTTTGATCATAATGGTTCTCCCTAGCGACCACCGTCCACGGTGTCCTTCATGGCTTCACTTTCGATCGTCCTCTTTGACCCCGAGCGTTTATTGTGTTCTCATTAGGAATGAGGCAAGCTTTTATTTGCCCGTTAGTCCATCAGTTCGTCTGCTTGTCATTTACATGATGGGACAGAAAATACTGTCTCTGTGGGCGTTTCAATTAGTCATTAGCCCTGAAATCTGCCTGTATATTTCATCTCACCATTAAAGTAGATATTACCGTGGTTATTGATTTTTTAAAAATATGTACTAGTTTGGAAAGGGGGGGGGTATTTGGTTTCAAGATGGTTGTAGGAGAAGTGGGGCTTGTCTTATTCTCTGTGTGTGTGTGTGGGGGGGGGGGGGGAGTTGTGTGAAAGTAGTGGGGGTTGTCTTTTTCCTATGGGGATGAGGTGAGGTATCTAGGTTGGTTGGGGGGGGGGGAAGGGTATTTCAGTTTTTCTTGATGAGCTTGTATGTGGTAATGATGTGTTAAAAAGGTTAACTTGAGGCTGTTTTAGATTGTGCTTAACCATAGCTTAAGTTGTCACCTGCAGTATTTAATGTATTCTCATCATTTGATATTGTGATGTTTTGTATCATCCATGGTTTGATGTATATTGTGGGTTTCCCTTTGTTTACTGTTTGTTTAAACACATTTGAACATTTTTTTTTACAGAAAGATTCTGAAAGTCGAAGGAACCAGCTGATGAGAGATATGGCCCAGTTGAGGCTACAGGTAAGTTGTTTGTCTACAGAACAACTGAAACTATCCTCTAACCTACATTAGCATGTAACCATATCTTCTTCATGTACCTACACTAACAAAAGCTTAACTATGTGACTCCACTTTTATACATATGCTGTGATGTAAGGTAACTAGATGTGAGACAGCAGTATAAAATTTTACTCCACTTTTCTAAATGTGCTGTGATGTAAGCAAGCTGGATGTGAGACAGCAGTATAAAATTTTACTCCACTTTTCTAAATGTGCTGTGATGTAAGCAAGCTGGATGTGAGACAGCAGTATAAAATTTTACTCCACTTTTCTAAATGTGCTGTGATGTAAGCAAGCTGGATGTGAGACAGCAGTATAAAATTTTACTCCACTTTTATAAATGTGCTGTGATGTAAGCAAGCTGGCTAAGTGTGAGACAGCAGAATAAAATGTTACTCCACTTTTATAAATGTGATGTATGCAGGCTGAGGTGAAGGAGCTGGAAGGAACTCTGAAGACAACTGACCAGCCTGTTTTCCCACCCTATGTTGTACTTGACGACTCAGCCCTCTGTAACTACCTGACAAAGGTCAAGGAATTAGCAGCTACAGCCAGGTGTATACTGGTCATACCTCTGGCAGGTCAGCAATTTTTTTAACTGCTTGTCTTTTTAGTGCTTCTTGTCTGCAGGTGTAAAAGTATTGTGTTAAAAACTGCACAGGTAGTCGTCATGTTTTTACACTTGTACTTAAATATTTCCCAAGAAATTTTTTTTTCTGTGAATGTTTTCTTTAAACATCACTCCCCTTATATTCAAAGACAGTAAACTAATACCAGTATCCAGTGACAGCTTCCTACATGTGTTAATGTCATTTCAGATTTCATTCTGATATGAGATATTGAACTAGTCCAGATTTAACACTCCAACTGTTTTGGTTCTCCTCACATTTATTTCTTGAAAGAAAAAAATTGTTTCCCCACTCTCAGTGTTTGAACCTTTGAATTTATTTAAATCTAAAAAATGTTCTTGTTACTTTACTAGTTGTTGACAACCTTGACATTCAGAAAAAAGACAGTGCCAGTGCTAGAGAAGTCATAAGATGGCTTGAGGTTCAGTTTCGTAAAGGAAATAGGTATGTTGTTGGTTGAAATATAGGGGCACTTAGCAGAGATTACATATGTTTATGAATCAGAAATAGGTATGTTGTTGGGGAGTTTAGTAGGGAATACATATATTTTTATGTAGAGCTTTTTTGTATGTATTTCATGTAATCCTGCATGTATTGTACACAGTGCTAGTTATAAATAATATTCACTGCTTTATTTTGAAGTGTGGTGTGGTGTTATTTTAATATTCCACTCCCTATTTATTTTGTTCAAATATTATTTGTAACTGAAAATCATGTTGCTTACTTTTGTTTTTAAATTTAAAGAAAATGTATGCTTTGGTTGTAAGCTGTGGAACATTGTAGATTCAGAACTTCTTTTCATGAACCTTTTTATTTTGATGTTAAAATATACTAGCAAAATAAGTATTAAAAAAGAGAATACAATAGTTTCAATTTTTGTAAGGAGATAGTTTGAAACATGTTTTTTTTGTATCTTACAGATACATCAGAGCACAGAAGCATAAAGAGACGTTAGCTGCTCATCAGCATGGAATGTTGAAGAAAAGAAACAGAGATGCCTGGTAAGTCATGTGTCCCACACCCTCATAGTCCACTTGGTTGTCTACAGATCTTAACATGGTACATTGATCTTGTCATAGTTTGATAGCGTTCAGCTTGAGTGTAGTTGAATTAGGGTTAACTTAATGTTGCTGTATATTTTTTTATTATGATTCATCTGCTTTATTGAAAACCACATTTCAAATGTATATTGTTTGATGTATATTGCTAAAGTCGTTTCTAAAATGTATTTTGTTTGACCCTCATCTCAGGTACTTGCTAGAGTTGCTGGGCTGTGCACGTTACTTATCCCAGCAAACTGGAACATTCACTGGTCATAATGTGGTAGCCATTGTCACAGGTCATCAAAAACTGCTGACCCCTCCACTTCTACCTGCCATTCAACAAGTTCAAGCCTCCTCAGAACAAGAAGGTTTGTCTGAACTTTCTCAAAGTTCACTAACACTTTTATTTTTGTCATGCCATCTCATAACTATTGTTTATAGTAGTCGCTAAAGCTGTTTATATTGATTTGCTATAGGTGTAACAATTGAAACTGTGTTGGACTTCAGTCGCAAGTGGAAGAATGTCCTACAGCAGCAAGGGAAAGGATGATCAGAGCACTAGACTGACAGGATGTATTGTAGGTTAGACCCAAGGGACAGGTTTGGGCCTCATGGACACTACTGGGACACCCAGTACTGGACAAACTCGAGCGTAGCACTATGCTACTTTGTAACAAAAAAACTTATGTGATACTACTGCTACCAATGGGAACATGTTGTGGCTATCTCTGCACAGCTGTCTTTCATATTCCACATAACATTGTGAAGGGTGAGGGATAATGAAAGTCACAAGCACCACTCTTAGGATCCTGACCTCTGTTGCTATGGTGACATGGGAAAGCTGTACAAAGAGAATGTTCTATATATTTGAGTTTTAGCAGTTTTTAGACTGTGACAGGATGTTCGATATAATTAAGCAATTGACTGACAAAATGTTCGATATAATTGGGGTATAGCAGTTGGCTGACAAAATGTTCTATAAATTTGGGATAAAACATCTGATAGACTGAAGAAATGTCAAAATGAGATCTAGCAAAATACAACTGAGCTAATAACATCTGTTTATGTAATGGAGTACATTATTTGTGTGCACTTGGTCCATTTTTTGTGCTTAAGCAATCAAAACAAGCCAAGATACAGCCATTAAATGTTCATATTCATGCAAGATACAGCTCCTGTTACCATTTGTTGACTGTCTAAAAGCTAAAGGAAGCAATCACTCTTATAGTCTTGACCTCTACACTTAGTCTCTGAAGTTAAATGATAGTGAAGCTGCAACATTAGTTTATCATACCACTAGCGCCAACATTATTTTATAAGCTTAATTGTAGTTACTGAATCTTAACATTAATTTTAGCTAGTGAATCATAGTTTAACATTTACAAGTACCTGTAGGTTGAAGGGCCATAGGTTTAGCTGGCTCATTAGTAAATCACTATTGTAATTTAAAATACATTAAGTAGATGATAGCCTAACCGGTACATGGTTTAGCCATGTGTCATGAAAATGGTCAAACAGGTCTAGAGCTGAACGAGTAGACCTGTCACATGATATCTCGCTATAGGGTGGAAAGTTCTAGAAGAGTGAACAATCCTAACTTTTTTAAACAGTAGGTCGAAACAAAAGATAAAAAATTCTTCATAATGATGGTCAGTTAACTTGTAAAATAAATCCATTAGAAAAATATTTCAATAAATCCTGTAATTTAAAAACTAATGAAAGTAGGTTTCACTTAACAAATTTCATCAAAAACAAGATTAAATTTTAGATTTTGAGTAGCAAGTTGTATGGTCTTCATATGGAATATTTAAAACAGTGATCCATTAAAATGACAATTTGAGAAATAAATGAAACAAAGAAAATATTTCTACTGCTATGTTTTAAAGTTTTCAATTTCAGCAGATCATTTTACTGTAATCCTAACATTTCCATTATGAACTCAAGTTTTTGTTGTATTTTTTGTTGTTTTTTTTAGAGAGTTCTGTTTTCATTGATACAGAAATAGATCTGGTATTTCTAAAAGCTTCTATCCAGAATTAATTTCTGAACATCACAAGTTCTGATTCTTTTACACTGAAAATATACATATTTTTTTTATTTGATTATTTACATTTGTATTGGTGTAAAAGAGTTATCTTTCTTCCTTTACCACTAGACTGAATACCTGTAGGGAAGTAGGTAGACAATTTGCTAGCAATAATGAAGTACTTTGACACTAATACAGACATACAACAGGTGGGTTGCAACATGCACAAAACAGGTGTATCAAAACATGCACAAAACAGGTGTATTAAAGCATGCACAAAACAGGTGTGTCAAAACATGCACAAAACAGGTGTATTAAAACATGCACAAAACTGGTGTATTAAAGCATGCACAAAACAGGTGTATCAAAACATGGCTAATCTCTAGCTTGAAGATGCTGGTGACAGTGTTAGATTCCCCTCTTGTAATAGTGTGCTAAACGCAAATTAAACTTTGATTTTAAAATTATGAACCCAACATTTTATTTGTTTTTGTCCTGTGAATATGTGTATAGCTGTTCAGATGTGTGTGTTTGTAGTTATGGAGGTTATTTTTACACATGATGGTGGTTTCTACAAGTAATCACGACGGTTTTATTTGAAACTTCTGAAACCAATCAGATGCCTCATTGGCAGTAAACTATCAGCATTTAATCTTTATGGGAACAAGCTGGACCCTAGGTTTCTAATGCTAGGCTTGTGTGTCCTGCATTAGCTGACTGTTAGTAGTAGGTCTGTATGTCAGCTGTTGACGTCTAGTACTAGACCTGAGTGTCAGCTTTTGACGTCTAGTACTAGGCCTCCATTTGTTGGCTTCTAACGTTAGGCCTGTATGTCAGCTGTTGACGTCTAGCGCTAGGCCTGTATGTCAGTTGTTGACGTCTAGCGTTAGGCCTGTATGTCAGCTGTTGACGTCTAGCGCTAGGCCTGTATGTCAGCTGTTGACGTCTAGCGCTAGGCCTGTATGTCAGCTGTTGACGTCTAGCGCTAGGCCTCCATTTCAGTTGTTGGCGTCTAACGTTAGGCCTGTATGTCAGCTGTTGACGTCTAGCGCTAGGCATGAATGTCAGGCATGGCTCTCTATGCTAGGCCAGTATCAGCCATATATTGCGAAATAATAGAATCTCACATTAGAAGCATTGGCAACATCAGTGCAAAAAACAAAATTTTAAGTTTAGCTGCCCATTTATTGATAACTAATCGAAGTATGAAACCAATATTCAGATTGCTATGCACTGGTTCTTCGAGGGGAAAAAATATAGCGGCTATTGCCCTTTAATCAGTTTGGCGCCTGTTTGTACAGCCCCTTGCCCTGAAAACCATGGCTATTTCACGGCGAAGTCTGAATTCTTTTTGTTTGCAGTTCTCCACTTTTGACCGATGGTTTGTCTCCCTTTGCTAGAAACGAAAAGCGAGGGAGACGTTCCACAAACGCCGTCTGCTTAAACACGCTCGCAGCCCCAGAAAGAAAAAAAAAGCGTGGGGTCGCGGGTAAGGGGTTGGGGGCGATTTCATTATTTATGAATAGGAGTCAGTGAGGTTTTCTCTAATGGGTACGATATTTCCACTCCACTGGAACTTCTCCATTTTAGCTTGTATTCACGGAGCAAAAGCCCGTTGGGATTCCCACCAGCACACACCCACCCCCAGTTTTGATTTGACCATATCCAAAGTTCCAGTAAGGCTATTGAGTGTGATACAGAGCCGAACTATTTGATATTTAACACTTGCCTTGGCTTTAGAAAATATAAGATATAAATTGTAATAAATATTTATATAGGCTTTACATGTGTATACAATGTAAGAGTAATTAATTATTATACGTTCAACGTATTCGGCTTAGGAAAGTGGTTTATGTTATAGCTGGTCTCAATGGTTAAAAAAAAACAACCTGCCCGTCAAACTGCTTTAAGGCGTCGGCAAGTCGTTGCACTAGCTGATATGACTGCCTGCAGCTATTTACCCAGCTTAGGACCCCCGAGCACAGGTGTGTCCAACTCATCTTTCACCTAACTGTCCCTTTTAGCACTTGTCCTCTTCAGCCTGACCTCCCCCACCCTGTGTCCGCAAAAAATACCCCTACCCACCCCCCCCCCTCTCCAATGTCCGCACAACACCTCCCCCCACCCTTCCCTTATTCATACACACTCCAGCAGACACCAATCGATGAATCATGTTCCAAGATGGCCACCTCCTCAGCGTCTGTGATTATCTCCCCTGCCATCTCTGCAGAAAAGTGCGCGACCACTCGGAACAATGACTACCACGATATGGTATAGAAAAGCTCCGGCCGTGTCATTAGATACATCATATCAGCTTCACGTCTGCTTGACTGCCTCCAATTCCACGAGCTAGCCCGCGCTAATCATGTCCGTTGGATTGTTGTTAGCGGATGCTTTGTTTTTAAGAATTGAGAACCTTGGAATTAATTAGGTAGTAGTAAGGGATTATTTAAATACAACATCATACACGAATATAGTAAAGGATTATGTAAATGTACAAAAAGAACTTACTTAATTATACAAATGGGGGGAGGGGCCCGATTGGTTCTTTTATTCTGTCTGTGATAGTAGACTAATGTTTGTTGGTCATGTTGCCTATTCCTGTTAATATTATACAAGATAAGTCAAGTAAAGTAACCGCCTTTCCAAAAGTCATGAGATATGTACACTGAAGTGCATTATCTAAACTCAATATGGCAGCTGATTATAAAAGACATCTCCAATACAGGTGGTCCCACTGGAAATGGGTTGTTGTATTTCTCTAGGCTGATGGGGTTGTTAAGTTTCTCTAGTTTGATGGGGGTTGTTATGTTTTGTCTAGATTGATGCGGGCTGTTATATATCTCTAGACTGATGGGGGTTGTTATGTTTCTCTAAATTGATGTGGTTGTTGTATTTCTCTAGACCAGTGTTTCTTCCAGACTTTTTTCTCCGGGTGGCACTTGATATTTTCGGGGGGGGGGGGGGGGGGGGGGCACTGTTAAAAGTATGTTTTCTATATAAATTCAATTTTCTTGGTGGGGGGGGGGGGGGGAGACTTTCTTTGGGGCTTAGCCCACCCCCCCCCCCTCCCCGACCCGAAGAGATGCTTGGAAGAAACACTGCTCTAGACTGATTGGGTTGTTATATTTCTCTAGACTTATGTGGTTGTTGTATTTCTCTAGATTGGTGGGGGTTATTATTTTTTGTCTAGATTGATGGGGTTATATTTCTCTATACTGTTGGGGTTGTTATATTTCTCCAGACAGCTGGGGTTGTTAGTTTCTCTAAACTGATGTGTTTGTTATATGTCTCTAGACTGCTGGGGGTAGACTAGAGGAGCCATGTTGGCAAATTTAGCAAATGAATTGTTTTTCCCATGCTCAAGTCTCATATCCTCCCTTGGCCGTTCTGTTGAAAGCCCGTGAGGTGATGTCTTGGTTTTAAAACAAAAACCTCTTAGAGGTGGGTCGATGTGGACGGGTACAGGGTGGCAGAGTTTCTTTCAGGCATCTCGCCTGAGTCATCCCTCCCCGGACACAACAGGAAAATATATTATATTAAAATATTTTTTTTTTAAAAACAGTATCCGTCGTCCCCTTCCGCGGATTGATCAAGTATCCTCCTACCCCGGAGAAGGAGAAAAATGTCCGAAAGAAACTCTTTAGGTTAGCAAACAAATAAATCAGGATTATTTTTTTTAGTTTAACTCCTGTAGTTACCAGTTATCTATGGATAGGGTTTGCGTTAACTTAAGCTTTAACATATGCTTGGTTTTTAATAAACGCTGCCTACTTTTCCACGTGGTTTAAACTGATGTTTATAATCATAGGAGAGAACTGAATATAAATATATTGGTTCTTAAGCTGACCTCACTGGTCAGAGCGTTGGTCATTTTGTTGGCCTGGCCTGTTGACAAGTACCGACCCTTGCACGGACGCCTTAGAAAACAAGCTATTTGAAATATTACAAGTTGCCCTTGGGCTCACGAACGATATTCAATAGAGGAAGACGGAACTGAGTCAATATTTTCACCACGGCTCAACAAAAAGGAAGTCTCAAAGTCTCACCCCCCCCCACCCCCCTCAGCACGCCTTGTAATTTTCCTTTGACTTTGTCAACATCTGCTTATAGTTAAGCTTCGAGTTCTTACAAGTTTTTACGCACAATATATGTATGTTTTTTTCCTTCTGATAATAAAAAAAACTTAATTGTGGGTAGGTAGAGGCACTGCTGAATGTAAAGGGTCGGTGTGGTGGTTGACTACATAGAGAGCCTATTAGGTTTCATCACCTCGTAGCCAAGAAAACGTCCTTCAGATGTAGGGTTAGAACGATTCGTTAAGCTTTCTAATCCATATCAGGAAAACAGAGGGTTGAATCGCAACACTTTCAAGTTCAGCCAAGCGTGGCGCAGACGCCAGTTTCTCCGTCGCGGGCAGACGATGGCAGGTGAGAATGGTGAACAAGGCCTCTCAAATTGGACAGTGTCAACATGATTAGGGGGAGGGGGAGGGTGGGAGTGAACAGATTACTTTTCAAACGGTGTGGTTAGTGTGGGGGATCGAATAAAGACCCACATACAGTGTGGAGTCTGGGGGTCAATGGCGGGAGAGGGGACATGCTGGTATTATAATAATATGGGAAAGGTAGTTATAAATTAGGTCACTCATGCATTCAGAGCCCCAGTCACGCCGGAGGCGCGAATGTCAACAATGGATTTTTAAAAATATTCTTCCGGCTCAGGCAATAAATGTGGAACAAAATTTGAAATATTTATTTGAAACGTGTGTTACGTTCTCAAATTGTAATATGTTTATATGGTAAATCTCATTGTTGTAGGCATAATATTTTGGACGTGGTTACTCTACAGTTGGAGTTTCAATGAGAGGAATGTAAACTGGTGGGAGAATGTTTAACTTAGCCACCCTTAGAGTAAGGCTGTTGAGACTCAAGTCTGCTCTAGGTTATACAAGATTTTTTTTACACCCCGCCCCCCCCCCCCTCTCCCCCACTACACACACACACACCTTCCATTCGGCCTCGTTTGAGCAAGTTCAGTGAGTACTCTGGAAATACGCAGCACATGGTGGTCGTCCGTTCCCTGACTTCTGCCAAAGTGTCTGCTGATCATACACAGACGTGTTCAAGTTTGTTTGCTCGCCGTTGTTGCAAGTTCCACACGCCATCTGCTTAACTCTGGCCCAGGCTTACGTGGCCCAATCGGATGTACACACGTCTCAGTGTACGGCGGCTTCATTCATTTATTTGTTTAGTATTCCATTTTTTATTAAGATTAAAGTATATAAAATCTTATAAAATTAAGTAAATGTCTTGAGATGACTGCTGACTTAAAAATCTAAATTGAGTGTCTATGTTGAGTTATTTTTTTTTCTAATAAGACACTTTTTGTATTTGCCTGAGTATTTTGACATCTATAAAAAAACGTATTCGCGCAATATAGATCGAGTGGGATATAATTTAACTGCGGGATGGACAAACAAAGAATGGAAGCAGTTTTCATAGAGTTATCGTATTTGTTGCTTAAATCAAATAGTCAACGATTTCCGTGGTGCGGAAGATTCATAATAATAGAGCTGTTCCTCTCACCAGTAGAACCTTGTGTACGCTTTGCGCATGTTTCAAAACCATGCTTTTTTGTTTACAATGACGTGAATATAAATATAGACTAGATGATTACAGAGGGGAGGGGGGGGGTAACTACGATACCATTGCTTCTGTCGGGTCAAGGACAGATGTAAGCGAAACATTATAAAAATGTTATGTCAATCAAGAATGAGAGTGGAACTATCGCAGACTGGCATCGTGATGGTAAACACATGATGGAAAACAGGTGCCTCATTCATTATATGAGAGAGAGGCGGAGATAGACATCCATGTACGCGAATTACGACCGCCATAACTAACAGCAACAATAAAGATGCTGAATACAAAGCCTGGAGTGACCAATTTGAAGAACCAGGACATCGCTGTCACTATCACCCACTGAAGGCAACACAACTGCAGCTGGCAAATGCTACAGAGGAGTTCCAGTACAAACATCAGTGGATATGTGCATGACAACAATGAGGTACTAGTACGACTTGACATCATGTACAGTGTACACTATTGCGGGTTGACTAGTATAACCAACGTTTTGTACAGAGCAGGCATACTCTATTCCTATAGGGCGTTGTTTTTACTAGTTTTAAACCTTGTTGTCATATTGTATACTGCTTACGTCGCTCGCCGTACAACAAATAATTTAACAAGGAACGTAAAGTGTTGGTTCTAGATCTACTTCCCCTCACGTTGGCAAGGGTGGGAAATAAAGCCTACGCCGCTATTGAATCAAGAATAATATTGACAAGTCTACCACACGGAATATGCGAAGTCCGCCCAGCTTTTCAAAGACCCGGTGTGCCTTGCTTATGCCGTCTACTATGCTACTTCTCTTTTAAACAGACCCATTCATAAAGGAATCGCAATGACGGTAATCGTTAAAAGAGGGGGGGGGGGGGGGGGGGCTATCAGCAGAAATATGAAATCTTGTGAATCCTAGATATCTATAAGTGAATGGCAATTGACAGATGTTGCTGGTAACGTCTAGCACCTGGCGGTTACATTTACGTGCTTGTCATTGCATGAAATGCTTCATTATACTTAAAGCTGAATATTTCAACAAGACAACGTCAAAAAATCTTTTATGCAAAACATGCTCCTAAGGTCGCTCAATATGTATTGTTTGATTGCATCTCGGCGGTAAATAGGGTTATTGCGCTGATTAAACAAAAAATCCCAGACAAAAAGTATGATTAAATAACGAACATAATAAAATTCATTTTAAAAAAGTCGTCTCCTATTCTAATGCTGCCCTAATGCAGACATCTGCCCTTCTGAATTTCTTCACCAAGCTGCACCATGAGAAACGCTTTGTTGACTGTCCCCCGTCTTGTCTTGTCATACCCGCGAACGGCAAGTTTCCTGCCGCGCGACAAGGTCAAGGTTCTGTATGAAAACGACAAAAGTGGATCCCAGCCAGCGATACCGGGTGACGTGGCGCGCATTTGCTGTTGATCGTTCGTTCCGCTTTACGGTGATCGATAAGGGCAAAGTTGACATAGATTAGATGTCCGTTACACTATAGATTTATTGCCGCCACACCACGAGTTGTAATTGTCTTTCATTTAGCGTAAAGGATTTTATATGAATGATTCGATGTTGAAACGAGAGCTGGGGGGGGGGGGAGAGGGGTGTAATAATGTGGTCGGGGAGGGGTTGATTATAAAAAACGCGGACAAGATATTGAAGCACTATAAAAAAAATGATACCAGTATTGCAGCATAAATATGTTTATGCCAGAAAAAGATGACGCGTCCTGTAGGAATTTATCGAACTCAAATCAAGAGGACAAAATGTCCACTTGTTCCTGAACAAATGAGCAGGCTACACAAAGCTTAGAGTGGCATTAGAAAATTTCATTGCATGGCATGTGGGGAAGTTCGCTGTTAAGGTTGAAAGGTTTTAAATGAAGTAGAAACCACTAGTCTTCGAGTGAAATGTGTAATGTGTAACTGAATATATAACGTGGGAAGCAACACATGAGACATCCAGCTACACAGCTCTCCTTTGTGTATAAGAAAAGATGGCTGACCAACAATAATTTAATGGTTAGTCTATGTAAATATTTCAGCTCTTGGAAGATCACACTCTTTCTGCTGATTTTTTAGATTCATCACCCCCCCCCCCCCAATCTCTCTCTGTCTCTCATGTCGCAATGTTTTATGGTGTTGATAAAACAGTCTAAAGTTAGTAATTTATTAGTAAATTTATTTTGAATCGGTTTAACTTGAAGTTTAAGCTAAATAGATCTACATCCATCTTGAGGATAAAAAGTTGTACAACATTAAAATAAATGAAATGGAAATAAATAATTGAAACAGATTTGACTTTAGGGTAAATACGAAGCAGACCGGTGGACTTTAAATTGGTATGTACTCGTAGTGGACTTTAAATTGGTATGTACTAGTTCCACAAAGCAGTACAGTATACAGACTCTGCTGACAGATGAGCAGTGTATGTTCGTGCAACATACGCTGAAGAAATGGGTCGAGATTCTACTGCAATCACTGCAAACGGCTATTTAGACAATCGCGCGTGCTGTTGGCCAAGATAATCGCCATGTTTGCTCCCAGTATTGACCGCCTCCCCCTGAATTATTAGTAAACCCGATCTGCCTTTGATACGGCATTGTTGACTCAATCTTTGCGACAGCTCGACAAATATTGGCCCACAGACTCCACTGCAAACATTATTTTGTATAATATTTATCTTTTGTCGGAAGGCCATGCCTGGAAGGGTTTTGTCCTTCTATTTAAGCCCTGTGTAAATACTGAATAAGACACGATGCTTTATCAAATTATTTAGTTGCTGTAACATTTCTCACCATATTTGACTTTAAAGTATACAACCTTAATTGACACGCAATAATAATTGCTTTTACTTTTAAGTCATTTTGTAAATAAACCGTATATAATTTATAAACATACATATTTATTTTTGTGCTATTTAATTACATTTAATGATATACACCCCCCCCCCCGCGCTACAAATATTATGTCTTTAAAAAAGACCTCTGTGTGGGAAATGTTGGGCGATTAGACATTAACTTTTGCAGGGCTGAATAGGAGGCATGGATAATTTTAGCACCCCCCCCTACCACATAGGAGGGGCGGCCTTCTGTCGTGTAGGCCTTTAAAATGTGTTTTCTTTAAAAAAAAAAGGTAATTAGAAAAAAAAAGAGGATTCAGGGACATAAGCCCCTGCCCACGTTATTGAATAAGTCTCTTTCTGTCTGAAAAAAAAAAGGATAGGGCCTACAGGTGAGGGGTTGTTACTGGACCAATACCTGGCCAACGAAACCTACTTTTCTAAAATGTGTTTGCAGTTTTTAACACAGAAAAATAAGTTGGCCTATCTGTAGGCATATTTGATGAAATATTATTTGGCAGGCCTATACTAATTTAATTAAGCCTGCGTGTATTATTCAATATTTATTTAGTAAGCTTATGGTCAAGTAGGTATTGTTTTTAATAAGTATGAAAAGATATTAATTAAAAATCGTTTTGTATTTCAAGTTCTATAATCGTAAAACGAATAAGAAGAGATAAATGGGGAGGAGGGGGTGGTGGTGTGTAGAGACAGATTAACTCTGGTTATTGAGGCTTAAAGATTTCCATACCTCTCCCCCCGCCCCCCTTCCCCATACAACACACGAAATGCGCACCCCTTGACATGCAAAAAAAAGTGATGCAATGTTATCTTTAAAATATATGGATAGGCCAATGGGGAGTGTAAGAGGAAAGTTCTGTAACTAATCGTCAGAGTATAAATTGATATGCGGTCAATTACATTGTTAAATTTGACACTTCTGCATCAACAACAAACCATTTTGCACACACAAATAGCTTTATGACATTTTTTTTTCTTTAATATGATTTAACCACCACTTGAGACTTTTTTTTCCTCTTGGTTTTTTTCTTCGGTAGAGATAAAAAGCTATATCAACACTTCACCTTCTCATTTCAATCGATTCACTGTTTGTCGAAATGTCGTAGGAGGAGCTATCCTCTGCATAGTGTGGTTACAATTTTAAGGGTCGAAATTTCACGCTTTATATGCTAAGCATCGTGAATTTTCATTGGACAAAGTTGGCACATATTTAATGAGCCCACGTTGGAAAAGTTCTTGGTGACTCTACTGGATTGTAGCCAATCAGAATTGAGATTAGATGACAGAGCTGTTTGCCCTTTCCATTGTTCCCGCGAGCTAATACGCTGTGTGGCGTGTTGTATTCCGCGCAAGTGTGTGGTTCGAGCAACTTGTTCTCACGGATCAAATTTTTCTTCTTAAAATATAACACATGAAATAACACTTGTCTTGTTTATTGGAATAGATCATAAATACTGTGTAGTGTGTTGTAGTAGTGTTTATTATAATTCATTGATGCAGGATATACTTATTTCAGTATTCTTGTTGGAATAGTGTCGACCGAGTGAGTCATCCAACATTATTCTGTCTGGTGTAGCCTTAGCCCTAACCTTTCTTGGCGGGATTTTACGTCTCTGGTTCATGCGTGTGTTTTAAGTTTTCACCAAGAGCGATGGGAAAATTGTGTGGTGAAAGAAGTGTGTAGCACTCAGTAATGCTTTTTATTGTTTTATTTTAACCTTGACGCCCACTGCTTGAAAATTGATTTGTACTTCGCCAAACGTGCCAACATGTATCCGAATCGACATCCGGTAAGTTTTATTTTTAGCTGTCATTAATAATAAATTAATTGCCAAATTGCCCGTTCTATTATTTTTTTTATTTTTAGTCTCGACTTCAGTTCTTTTATACAATTTAATAGATCTAGATCTAGTTCTAGATCTAGAAATCTAAATCTAGATCTAGATCTAGATCTAGACTTGATTTAGAAAAATCTAGAGACTAGATTTAGACTCTAGATCTAGGATTCTAGAGAATGTTGAATGTAATGGTAATGTGTAGGCCGGTAGGCCTAGAGAGCACATTTGATTATCATTAAGTAATAAGTAGGCTAAGTGATTAGTTATTAGTTAATTAAATAATTAATAGTTAGTTTTAGTTTATAGTTAGGCCTAGTCTAAGTAAATTTAAAAAAAAACCTGAGCATTAGGGCAGGGCCTATTTTATGTGCCCTAGCTATAGCTAGCTAACTAGACTAGCTAAAGAAGACTCATCCCATGATCTACCAGTAGCCTAGGCTACCATAGCTCTACTATACTTAACTAATAACTATACTAGATCTAGATCTAGACTATACTAGATCTAGATTCTACTAAGACCTTAGTAACTTCTAGATCTAAATCTAACCTAACCCTGCCCTAATTTCAGTATAATCTATAGGCCCCTACTGACTATAATTATTATATAATAGATCTAGATTCTAGATCTAATTACCTCGAGATCTATTGTTTAGGCTATTTGTTAATTCTAGATCTATATCTAGGCCTATTCTTAATTTATTTATCCTAGTTCTATTAATACTGTTATGAATGATTATCCAAAGATTGACACTAATGACTTAGTCTGACAAGAAGGAAAATCTAATTCAAATTCAGAATAGATCTGCATGTAGTCTAAAAGATCTTATCTAGATATTGATTTAGAATGTAGTATTGTAGATCTAGCTTAATTCTAGATCTAGGTCAAGCCAGTGTGGTCTAATGCTCTAGATATTTAAAACAGTTTACTAAATTTCAGTAAACGAGCTGGCCCGCTTTGTACTTAGTTGTTTTATTTCCTATTTTTCATATTTTGTGAATTCAACACTATCAATGCTGCGACTGAAAATAATTTGCTTTAAAACACCACGGGAGAATGCTTACACCGGTGACCGATAATGGAATCTTCTTTTAAAGAAAGGGATGTTAGGTTACTGGTAGTTAACTAAATACACACATGGCTGGCTACTGTCAATGCTAACCCTGTCTCTAACCCTAACCCCAACCCTGGTCCTACCATACGCCTAACCATAAAATTGGTCGAGATTACAATACTACTAACAACCCAACACCCCTTTTTTAAAGAAGATTCCATTATCGGACACCGGTATCTATAATCATCCTAAATCACTATCGATAGCTAGTGAAGGACTATTATCCTCCCCTCACTTTCTCCCCCGCCCCAGTGAAAAAAGCAGCCATCCGTGACGACAGTTTACAGACGACAATGAAAAGATCAAGCAGAACTTATTATCTCCGCTTAGTTTCAAATAGTTTAAAAACTAAATTATCTGCCCTTAATAGCCGTCACTAATTCGATCTGATAGTAAACAGCTCACCATACTGGTGGGGGCGGTAGTGATATGGTCTGTTGAGCTTACGTCTTGGTGGTGTCTCGCTTGGTCACCATGTAGAGAATTATATCTATGGATACCAAGGCTATGTGAACTGTCTATTGCACCCTCACTTTATGAGATTAGATTTAGAATGTCTTGATCTACATAAAAATCAGCAATAAGTGCCAATAAGTTGTTGAAATTCTACATTGTTATTTAGATTGTAGATTTAGATCTTAATTCTACTTTATTAAAGCCAGACTAGGGTTCTACTAGGTATGTCTATAAATAGGCTGTTGTTCACATGACTAGCTTCTAAACCTATTAGGATTCTTGTCCATATAAGCCCAGCCACTAATGTGAAAAGTCACCACTTGTAACCTATTTCTGATTTCTAGAAATTAGAATTTTTAAACACATATTAAAAAAAACTCCTTATCCGCCTTTCAGGTTTGGGTTGAAGGTACCAAACTACTCACCTTTTCGTGCAAATTATAAATGACATGTCGCAATTTCACCCTCTTCAATAGAATCTCAAAGCACAAGTTTCATATCCTGGACAAGATCCCCCCAATACTGTCCGGCCAATTAGGATGAAGCATTTTTTTCTGTGCTTCTGTAATTTCACTGTTTATGCAATCGGGCAGAAGAGAATAGAACCCACACCTTTAAACAAATGCCCTGAAGTGCAACCATGTTAGCCACAGTTTTTACAACTGATAAAAATTGAAAGTCATGCACAATGCAAATTAAATATGCATGCAAGCGCAAGAAGTTTTAGGTGCCTGATAGTTCTAGTGAACTTAAATAAACTATTGGTAGCCATTAAGGAGAACTGGAGACTAACTTTTATTGTCCAAACTATCAAGCTGGAACTGAATCTAAGTACAGTGTAGGAAACATAGCACCTGTTTTTGAAATCCTAGACACTGGTTTATAGAAAAAGAGTAGGCAGCTCCATACACTGTTACTACTGAATGTGTAAAACTGTTTCTACTGTAGGTGTCTACTTCTACCTTAACCATTATTCTATTTCCATTCATAATTAATAACATGTAAGCCAGAATATTACAAACTACTTCAGTAGGAAGCAAGAACAGAAGTCACATCACATATCAGCCATATGCAAACACAAATACTTATTAACCTTTTTAAAGTAAACACAGCAAAGCACCGAATGAATATGGAGGTTATAGAAAAGGTCTTTTTATACTTGAACTTAAAAACTGTTAAACACTTTACCAACCCCCTTTAGAAATCTTACTTTGTACTGTTATCACATTTATTATTGTTGTATTAAATTACTTTACTTACTGATTACCAAAGGATTAGACTGTCGAGTATCTAGTTATGCCTTAATTAATGGCTGGTGGTAAAGATACAGATTTTTAAAATTATCTAAAAGACCAAATTGGAATAAATATACCATAAGGATAATGTATCTTTTTTTAAAAATGTTACTCTTTCTAACCTTGTAGCCCAAGGTGAATTTTTTGTGATCTCAGCATATTAAGGTATGCCCAGCTAAATTGAGTCACATGGCCATTTGAGCTGGGTGGATTCAAGGATATCTGTGAGCTCTAGCCCTGTATCCAAATTGCAAATTTCATGATAGTATTCTCTACTATTTGACAATGCCATCCCATTAAATGATAGTACTGGCCTAAATTACTGGACAAATCTGCCCGTTTGTTTCAGCTTAAGAGCTTAAGTTACTTCTTAATTTAGTGTAAGACCGCCAATGAGCCATGGTTCACCACATAAATATACCTGTATTAAGGTTTTATTGTTTAAGAGCACTGAAAATGACTCTTGACTAACCCCTTTAAGGTCTCTGAGGAGCAAAGAGCTGCAACTATATTTTTCAGCTGGGCCCACGGAGGTCCTGCAGCCCTAGTTTCACTTTCTGTGGTCCTCCTCCAGGATGTTCTTGGTCGGCCAGCATTCCTTTTCCCCTGTGGGTACCAGTGCTTGGTCCCTTTTTGTTCCTTATTGTATTCCATATCCATTCCACTTTTTAGTTTTGATATCTTTTTCTACTGTATGCTTCCTAATCCTTTACCACAGCTGTTCGCTGGAAATTTGGAAATTATTTCTGGTCGTCTTGTTTTGTGGATGCACCCTGGACATTTCTTTGTGCTGGCTCTGAGCCTTTTTTTTTTTTTCTTAATTTTGTAGCCATTCAGGTGTCTTAACCATATAGTAGAACTGCCTTAAGTTATGAGGTTTTTGCTTTTGGGGGGGGGGGGTGGTTGGAATTCCATATTGGGTGTAGATAATTCTTCCAAAGAATTTTGTCAAGTTAACTGACAGATACTGTTCGTAGTTGGTATGTGGGTTAAGACATAAAAACAATGCAACATGACATTAAACTTGACTTAATTGGTTGCCTAATTAATTTTTTATGAATTGATTAAAATTTTGTCCAAATTAGTAGGTTGTCTCATCAAACTATTCCACACTATTATACAGCTTCATCACATTCATTAGGTGCACAATGGCTTTTAGTCATGCAAGTCTATTGTAAATTTTTAAAGTACTGAAAAAGAATTCATAAAAACGTTTCAATAACAAGCTTTTATGTAATAATGCACTAAATAAGTAGACAATAAATTTTACACTATTTAATTAACTATAAAGAAAAGCGTGGGTCTCTTCCTAAATATTAGTAATGGTATCCAATAGATACTAAAGTGACCCACGCTTTTCTTTTAAGTTATTTAAATAGTAGTGTTTAATTTTCTACATTTTAGTCCATTATTACATGAAAGCTTGTTATTAAAATGTTATTTATGAATTTTTTTTAACTTAGCTTGGGAAATCTTTTACAGAGTTTGATTGCTCAGATTAAAAAGTAAAGTTTCCCTTTCAAACCTGACGGTCTATGGGGCAAGTGAAGTAGAGTTCACTTGTTTCTGTGACCTCGGCATATGAAGAGATAGTGTGGTCAGCACTATGCCCAGCCGTCTTTACTTTCCCTAACGTGAGTTAGGTACCCATCAGAGTTGGGTGGACTCAGGGACAGTCGACTGACTTGAACCCGGATTTGAACTCGATACTTACGGGTTAGCAGTCCAGCTCTCTACCGCTAGACCACTCCGTCCCCAATTGCTCTCAGTGTAGTGTAATATATATCTATAATATAAGCGGCCAGCTAGTGTGTCATTCCGTCATCACTATAGATTTTGGGGCCATAAAAGTAAACACTATCACATGTTGTGATTTTACTTATATCGAATTGTCTTATTATGATTGATAGAGTAGGGTTTATTTAAGTAACGACTTATTAAATTATTTTTTTTACTAGTTGGAAGAGTTTCTACTCTATTGCATAATGTGAAGAAAATATTAAATACACGCACATTGCTAAAACATTAAACAGTTCAAATTCAAGTAAATGTTTAATAATTATGCCAGGAGAGGTGATTTAAAAAGCTATGTTGATGAAATTTCATATCAAAATCGTAGATCCGTATTGATTTTTTTAAAGCGATTTCCGATAACCAGAAGTGGAATTTTTTCTACTTTGAAATTTTCAACAGCCTATAACTTGAATACTATTTCATATAGTTAAATGAAATTTCACGTGTAAGTAAAAGATTTAATTCTCTACCTTCTGACAAATTTTGAGTAATTTCTGTTGACCGGAGGTAGTAATTTACGGTAATTCCGATTTTCCCAAAAAAAAAACGCATGTGAATTTATAAAGTACTAATAATATTTCGCACTGTTATGCACATTTTATTTGGCGTTCACTTGGTGAGCAATATTTCTTTCTACGAAATTCAATTCTATTTTTAAAAGTTTAAGTATTTAAAATGGATTAAAAATCATGTCTATATCCCGAGTTGCCATCCCATGTTGTTTTATATAAGAGTTTTCGACAAAGTTTAGGGGAGATCACTACCGGTTTACTATTTTTTGTTTGTGGTTAGTTTTGTTCAACAGTTGTTTCATTTACAGTGGTGGAGCAGCTTGTGTACACATTGTTTATATATGTATATACACACATACGGGGTATAGTGTCTGTTCCCTATAATGGCTGGCCGTCAAAGCTTACATCCAGTTAATGTGCATATATAATAATGCTGTTTGTGTTTGCATTTTCTTTGTGTTTACTTTTGTGTTTCTGGTCAGTTTTGTTCTGTTCCATAGTTTGTACATTTAAAAGACTCACCCAGTTAATGTACATATATAATAATGCTTAGTGCTGAGCTTTTGAGGTCGAGTGGGCAATCATATAAGTAGCAGTATAATGTAATGCTTCTTGATTATATAGTAAGTTTCTAGTTTCTACCTGAATCCACGTGTCTCTGTTATAATAATTATTAAAATGTATCAATTTTTTAGGCATACAATCAAAAATATTATTTACATTGATCTGTATTTAATAATTTTCACTGTCGTTTGTTGGTGTATGCAATAGTGTAAAAACTTTGCAGATGATAAAAAAAGTCCTTACATAAATATACCCTACTCCAATAATTATAATAAGATACTGCGATGCAAGTTAAAAGCACAGCATAGAATCTATTCTATAGCGATGACTGATGGAAGGACTGACACAAACCTGGCCGCCTATTTTATAGATTTTATTTGTATAAAGTAAAGACAGTTGGGCTCCTTTTTTTTTGACTCAAAATCTCTTAAGTTGCCTTCTGAATTACTAAGAATAAGAAATATGCTATTTAGTGTTGACAAAAGGCTAAAGGTTTTGTGAAAGTTTAATTAATATACAGGCTTTTAAGTAGCAAAATGTCTCAAATTCAAATGTATATGTCCTATATTAGTTTCGGGTATGGGACTGAAAGTCAATATCAGTTTAGTTCAGCTTTATCTGTTTGTTCATATTGCTTAATTTTATGGTTAAATTTAGATCTAGTATCTCCATATCTGTTTTTTTTTTTTTTTAAATACCCTTGCATTTTAATTGTTTGTTGTGTAAAATTCTATTGGTAAGTTAACCTAATAGGTTTAGTTATGGGAAATATCACCAATATATAAGGGAATATATTTATTATATATTTTGTATGCTCTCAGATGTCTTATGTAAGGTTATGTGTTTATAAACTAATTGTGCAGCAGGTAGAAAGCCTCTCAAACTGAACATAATCCATTATTGTCTTGTTAATAATTTTTTACCCATGCTTTATTGTTTTGGGTTTATTCTTTATGATTAGGCCTACTCTATATTGTGCACTGTTGGTTTAAGCTTGAATCACTTTTTGTTTCAGACTAATGTAATTACATTTCACACTTACTTAAGTTAGACATGACATTTCCTATTTGCAGGGACCTCAACCGGGCCAGCCATTTAAGTTTACAGTGGCTGAATCATGTGATCGTATTAAAGAAGAATTTAGTTTCCTGCAAGCACAGTATCACACGTAAGTAGACATTTGAACCTGTATTTCAAAGTTACTTACAAATATGTTACAGTAAGGTTAATATGTTATCAGTATTACTAAAAAAAGCATATTTTTTGTTTAGGCTGAAAATGGAGTGTGAAAAGTTAGCCCAAGAAAAAACAGAAATGCAAAGACACTATGTTATGGTAAGGAACTTTGTTTATTATTAAATACTGATCTGGTAGAGTAAGAAATTGAAGTAGTTCACATTTCAATACAGATAGTACCCCTTAAAATAATAAAATATCAACTTTTCATAGTAATGCCTTGACTTTACATTGAGATAGTTATATCTCAAACAGCATGAGAAGGAAGATGAGATGAAATCACAAAATCAATGTCAAGGGTTGGGAATTTGAGTGAGGGCTTCTTCTTCCTAGATTTGATTAATGGCGGGCTGCCTGAGAGGAATGCGCCAGCCTCATTAGTTGTTTCATGAGTTATAGAACAGTGATAGTGTTGCTGGGTGGAGGTAGTGCATACACACAGGGAGGTCTAAAGACCAGTCTCACTAAAGCAATAAATGGCTATGTTGAAATAACTAGTGTATTATAAAAGGTTATCAAGATATGCTGGTACTTGATCTAATTGCACTACTTAACAAAGATTTTTTTAAAATAAAGTTAAATCCAGCAACATTTATAATTTTTTTATTTATATTAAAATATTATTCAATTTTTTCTTTTATCTTATAGTATTATGAAATGTCATATGGACTGAATGTGGAAATGCACAAACAGGTAATTTTATTTATTTATTTGCTCAAAAGTATGCAACATTCAATATATTTTATATTAGCCTGGTAGTGTGTCAGTATATTGTCATGTATAGTTACAATTTTTAGATAAATGTGGCAGATCTTTGTCATAAAGACAGAATAAGTCAGAGTTGCATAATACTTCAAAATATTGTTTTAGTTTTCAATTACATTGGTTGTTCCTTACATGATACACACAATTAATTCACATAGTTAAGACAATCTACAAATTATCATAGATTTTGACAAAAATTATAATTGTATGCTCGTGTAATCTTTATATGAATCACTGTCGCTATTACACATTATTTTCTTTGTTATGAGATAGAAATATGTTGTATGTAAATGTCTTTCTTTTTTATGAGAAAAGCTTAATCAAATATGCCATGATTTCCGCAAAGACCAGAATATATACTTAGATTGAGAATAACACAGAATTACCTGTGGCGTTACTACCTTTATTTCAGCATGTCACTCCTAGTATTTATTAAGGAATGTATGTTTAAACTTGCAATAAACATCTGCACTAGCATAGAATCAATTTCTGGCAAGTGTAACTTATTGACCTGCCAGAAGCCCCCTGGTGTACTCACATTGTTTATTTTAAGCTTGTAGCTATTGATCTCTTTTGAGGTGACACATAAATTGCTGTTTAATACTTATCTCTTTAACCCCTTTTACTGCACTTAGCTTATATTGCGCTATTAATCATTTGGGGTAAAATAATTTTGTTTTAAACAATCGGAAAAAACATGGCTTCAGTATTGTAAATTTTGAAACACCTGTTTTCTATGGGAGACATTATCTTTAGCTAAAAGGTACCCACAGAAGTACACAACTTTTTTTAAAAATCACATAGATTCTACATTACTTCCTCATTGCTGCTAACCTACTTACAAGTAGATCAGCAGATTAAAATACCAGCTAAAGAATTCAGTCTGTACAAATTTTAAGAAATTCAATGATGAACAGGAATAGGTGATCCGTATATGAAGTCCTGACCTGAATGGGGGGGGGGGGGGGGGGGGTTAGATGTGGGTGATCTTGAGTTGATTTGAACATCAAAATTCTTTTTGCCTACAAAGTATAACATTAAATTTGTATACTAATTGAAAATTGAAAATTTTAAAATTAAAATTGCAGTGTTCCTTTTTATAAAAACCCAGCATACCTCAGCAGTAAGTGCGGGATTAAAGAAACAGAGCAATGGGCCAATTACACTTAGTGACCCTGTACATTTTTCTAATGCAGAAAATTATACTTTAAAAACTACAATTTAAAAAAAAACAACAATGCATACCTTTTTAGCTGACATGGAAAAATTATTGAAATTAACCTATACTTTAATCGTAAAAAATATTTTATTAATTTTCTTAATACATTTTAATATGCAAAAACATTTTTTCAAAGCAAAATTAATTTAGATCTGTAAATCTGTTTGAATTACAATACTTGTTGTTGAATTTATATTTTAGAAACAAGTTTTGAGAGGACTTTAATTTTTGTGGACTTTCACAATAGATGAGGGGATCTGTTTTTTGTGTGGATAATAAACCATGTATTCCTATTTCTCTCTTCTTTCCCCCCCCCCCACCCCCCCACCCTAAGTACTTTATAGTTTATAAAGGTGGTGTTGTTGCTGCTTTTCTCTGATAAAGTGTTATTCCATTTTATTATGCATCTATAGGAATAGTGCATATATTTATATAATAAATTTAGGGTGGAGTGATAGTATAGAGAGGTCCTATAACACTGTCTTTTATTATCTTCCATCTTATTTGTGTCATCTAGAATGGCTAGATGAATTGATTTACACACCTTTTTGACACATTATACAATACTGCCCTGTTTGCTAGCTGCTACCAAAATCCCCTTAACAATTATTCACTCAGCTATTTTATTCCTGCATTTTTTTACCTTGGTAAACTCAGCTCACAATCACACTATCCCCCCTATATTACCAGTAACTCACATGAAACGTTATTTCTCTAAATTGATAAATTATTTTTAAAATTAAAGGTTTTGAGCGGTAGAGGGGGTTCTTTTTTTTTTAAAGAAGTATTCCATAACTTCAGAGCTTAGTGGTGGTTGCTTAAGGAAATGTTATTTTATTTGTGTTAAATTTAAATATGTGCTCTGCCTTTCAAACAAGATAAAATCTCATTGTCTTTACGTAGCTTATTTGCCTTTGTGATTTGTATGTCATTGTTATGACTAAAAATACTCTTCATGCCTAGGGTCAAATTCTTATCATATTATCTCCTATGTTTTTTATGGTACTAAATTAATGTAACTTTGCAATAACTCTGACTAAATGGTCAATCAATAGGTCTTTATTTTTATCTTGTAAATTCTTTTTTTTTCTTTTTAAAATTTACCTTCAATAAGTACAGTACATACTTTTTTAATAAAGAGAAAATAAACTTTTTTTTTTCCCAGACTGAAATTGCCAAACGTTTAAATGCGATTTGTGCTCAAGTTATTCCTTTTTTATCACAAGAGGTAAGTTCCTATAAATTCATATCAAATCAATCTTGATAGCTAGTTTTGAATATTGGATATGTTATTTCTTAAATATATTATTAACATGATCATCTACATTAGCTTAATGTTTGGCCACACCCTGAATTTTTTAAAAATTAAGAAACATAAAAGATTAACACTTACATAATTGCTATTTCTATGTCTTAAGATGTTAAATTAGATAAAATGACATGATACCTTTATTCTAGCATCAACAACAAGTTGCTGCAGCTGTTGAGAGAGCCAAACAAGTTACCATGCAGGAGTTAAATGCAATAATAGGGGTATGTTTATATTCTTGATCTTAGGCTTACACCTTTATTTAAAATTATATTTACTAATGGCCTTTGCTCTGGAATGTATACAAATATATCTTTGATAGTGCAGGATATTTTTATATTTTACTACTATCAAAATAAAACCAATTATCATATTTTTGTATTTGCCTTGGGCTAAATAAATGACGAGGTCTGGGTTGTTTTATGTAGGCGTAAAACATTCTTTTCCCTGTATTGTCTTTTAATCCTTGTTAACCCTACAAGCACACCACACCCTACACACAACACACCTGCTGTAGGTGCAGGAAAATTTATACAGCACACTCTCACTGGTTCTTGCCTTATGCCTCAGCACAGCTGTAACATTTTAGACAGGCTCCCTTAGACCCCCAGACACATGCTCCTAGCTTTATCTCAAAAGAAACAGCAGGCAGAGTAGCAAGATGAAAAGAATAATGAACACTATGAAATAGAACAGGAGGTGGGGTTGTGTGGTGGGTAGGGCAAAGGGGGAGAAATTGGAGAGGCTTGATGCAAAGAAGTGAATACAAAACTATTGAGATTGGGTAGAGGAAAAAAAGGTGCTTGGTGAAGCTTGGATAGAGCTGTTTCCCCATAATTTTTTTTACAGGTAGTGGGGAGGGTTAATGATGGCAGACCAGGAGAAATTTTTACACATTTGAAACTTGAGCTGCTTGGTTACTTACCACAATTCATAATAAGTTACAGTTATGCTGTTTCAGATAACAAGCCACATCTTTCTTTACTGGAAAAGTCATAAACACATGCTAGTGTCATGAATTTCCATTTTCATCAAAACAAAGTATAGCTAAAGGTCATGTGAAGGGGTGACTTAATGTTATATGCTCACAATGCCTCTAGCAAGCTATAGAAGGTGTACTCTTATCTTAAAAACAATCTAAAAGGTTTTTTATGTTAATAGAAATAAGAACTGCAGTGTTATTTTAAAATAAATAACTTGAAAAGGTATTTTTATTTACATATGTTAGTTTAAAATTTATTATTAGTAACTGAAAATTGCTTTTACTTTTATCAATTTCAAAAAGCTATTTCACTACCTTTTTTTTCTTCTTATTCATTGTTTATTTCCTGGTATAACTTAAAAAATCTCAAAAAATATTTTTAAAGAAATAGTATATTTTAAATAACTTGTCATAATTGCAATGATAAGCTTTATTCCTACATTCTTTATCACTTGGACTGATCTAAGTAAACTAGCTTTTGAGTTATCTGGGTTTTTTAAAAAGATATTTTCCCCTTATCTATTTATCTTCTATATCCTCTTCCTCCCCCTCCCCATTTCTCCCCCCTCTGCAAGCTATTTTCATCTTCTTTATGCCTGGTCTGTTTTCTGATCCCAGTGTCCTTAGCCCCTGACTGACTCGCCAATTCTACCCCCACCACCTTGTGTAGCAGAGGAGAAAGACAGGGCATAATCCCTGACTAGTTTATTTCATTACTCAGGGAATGATGGGGGTGGGATTGAGTTTTTGTCTCCCATCTGAGCATTGTTCAAAGCTATTAGCATGATTAAAATGTCTCTTCAGTAAAAGATGTTGTGGCAAAAAATGAATATTAAAAAATGTAATATTTAAAAAGAAGTTTTTTAAAGAGTTTTCTTCTGTATATAAATCAAGCCTTATTTTAAAAATAAATAAAAAATGATTTTATAAGTAGGCCTACTCACAGAATCTAAAAGCCTGAAGTCACAATCCACTGAAATTGAAAAGATTTCCCCATTAATTTTGTGGTAGAATTACACTTGTCTTTCATCTTGTTTTTCATGAGTCTTAGCAATTTAAAAGCAAGTTTTATTATTTCAAGAGCTATGTTTATTTGTACATTGGAAAAGTATTTTAAGGTGTATGAATGCTCTGGTTGCTACCAAAACATTACTCTACTATTGACTAGGCCTACTTGAGTATTCTAGAGTTGCTTTGTATAATTCAATACCTAGTTGGTTGTATCTTTTCTCTTTAAGGCTAGTGAGTAGTCCTAATTAAACTAATTTAATGGTAAATTGATATATTCATAATTAGCCAGTTGATGACTAAGAAGACCCCTATGACAAGTATGACCGTAACTGTAACTCAAAAGAACTGAAGAAAATATAAATTTATGGTAACATGTAATTATATATACAAATTGATAACAGAGGGAAGTAAGAATAAGAAATTATTTTACCCCTATGTGCGTGCCACCTCAAGGCAAGTGTCCATTAGACAGGATCAGAAAAGCCAGAAGTTACATCTCCCGAGCAATAATGTGTCATTGATTATTATAATAGCTACTAACCCACTATATGGTTCAGTTACTGATATTGTCTCATTTTTCAGCAACAGATGCAGGCTCAACATTTGCCTCATGCTCATGCCCCACCTATTCCTCTAACTCCCCATCCTGCTGGACTACAACCCCCTATTCCACCTGTATCTAGTGGTTCAAGTTTTCTGGGCTTTCCACAAGGGGCTTTTCCTATGCCCCATGCTCTAGGTGCATTAAAAGGAGAGGATAAAGGTTAGGCTAATTACTCTCATTGAATGTTCTGTATTATAATTTTGTATCATAATTTTTTTATATATACTTTTTTATAAATATAATTTCACTTTTTTGCTGCAATTTATGTCAATAGCAAGCAGTTTAGTGTTTGTAATTTTAAAAATTGTATCAGGTTTAAAATAACTTTAGCAGAAGCCTCATCACATTAAAACTTGAAGAAAAAAAAAATTAATCTACTAACAAATATTTTGACTAAATGTTAATAGTTCTGATTTCAGAAGTAGGTCTATGTATTTTTAAATATTTAGAATTAAAATAGCAATTGCATTTTCTATAATAATAACAGTATATTATATTTCCTGAATATTTTTATTTTCAGGAAATGATGATAAGCATGTAAGTACAACATTTTAAAAATGTAGAATATCGCTGCCATCTAGTCTTTCTGTACTGTTGATAAAGTTATTTATTAAAAAAAAAATTTCTAACCATCACTATCAGTTGGGTTGGCTAGTCTATTCAGAGAATCGACTACATGTTCATTGTGTAGTGATCACCCATTCTTATAAATATGTTAAATACTAGTATGGTTATGTTTATTCACTCACTTACCTTCTTTGTGCTTAGGAATAAAAATGTATTATAAGGTCGACTGTTTGGAAATGTCATTGTCTTGTGCTATAAAAACTAAATCATAGAAAATAAAATCCAAATGTCTTTAATTAAACTGATTTTCTTTTCTTTTGATTATTTTATCTACTGTTGTCTCAAGAGTAATAGACTTTCTTGACTTGTTAAAAACAAGGTGATTTTTATGTACACATTTACTTTCAACATCTGCATTTTCATTTTGTTTTAAAATAAAATTCCACTAAATATTTTAAAAAGGGTTTGAATTTTTTTCCATCACATTGTTTTTGCTTGCTTTAGAGACGCTCAGCTTCTCCATTAGAAAGAGATAAATTTCGTCATAGAAGTAGAACACCAGAAGTAAGTGAACAATCAAAAAAGAGAAGAGCTGAAGAGAAGGCAGCAGTAAGTATCAGCAGTTTACTAGGAGTGTGTGTGTGTGTGGTCTTGTGACGATAAATTATACCAATAATTAAGGGGAAAACAAAAAAAGTGACAGTGAAGCTAATAGTACTAATTTTACCTTCCTGTTCTTTGGTGTGTTCACAGGATAGTGATGGAGAAAAGAGTGATCAAGACCTAGTGGTTGATGTAAGTTCACATTTCTTCTTTGGAACTTTATTTTTTTTTATCCTTGTTAAAATTCGTAAAGAGTAAGTACAAATATTGCTTTATTGCTAATCACATTTTTTAATGTTTAATTTGGTGTTGTGTAAAATCCCAGATACATAACAGAACTCAAATATTCATTGGTCAAAGATATGTATGAAGATATATAAAAGCTACACATATAATTCTGATGATTGTTGTCTGTAATAGGATAATACATCACCAGCCAATGGTGATATGTCACCAAGAGAGAAGCATGCACTTAAAGATGGGATTAAAAAAGAAGAGAGGGATAGGGATAGAATGAGTCCTAGGAGTGATGCTTCATCACATGCTAGCTCCACATCATCCAAACCCAAAGAGGTTAGTTTTTTAATAAAACCTCTCATAAAATAACAAGTTTTTATCTTTCAACATATGTTTTCTTTGTCATGTAGAACTCATCTTGTAGGCTACATAAAATTTAATTAGACGAGGGGTTTTTTTTATAAAGTGAGTTAAATCACTGTAAAAAGTGTTACGCAAATTAGTTATTGTATGCTTAAATATTTTATGATAATAATATTTGTCAGTCTATTTTCTGATCAGGTACAAATTGTTTTTTTGTTATTTTTTTTTTTTTTTTTTTTTGCCAAAATAAAGCTTAAGTAATTAAGAGGTTGTTATTGCATGAAAGGAGCTATTAAATTACTATAAACATAGTTAATTAATAGTGGCTAATCAAAACAATTGTCTTTGGCTGATTGCCTAAGTATTGTTCATGATTAAAAGTTCAACCTTGTTCTGAAAAGCATGTTTTTTTTTTCCTTGTAGATTTGATTAAGAAAAAAAAAGTTGCCATTTTCTCAACATTTTAGAGTTATTTTTTAAAAACACCTTTATTCATTTGAATAGAATGAAAAGGCAGGAACACCAGTTTCTAAGCCAGCCACACCCACTAGCTCAGGCAGCACAACTCCAGGGCCATCAGCTGGTGTTAAACATGGTTAGTACATCTTAAACATTTTTATTTTAATAACTGATGTGCACAATATTCAAAACATGCAAAATCTTAATAATTTTTGTGTGTGCCATAGGTTATCCATTCATAGCACGCAGTGGTGCCAACATGAACTCATCAGAACTGAGTCCCATTCCTTATACCTCAGCCGGCCCACTTACCAATGGTCTTGCAGCCAGTGGACTCAACAGTTTTCCAAGAGCTCCAATGGTAATTTTCTTTAATTACATTCACTTAGACCCATACTTATTGTTTAATAGTAGATTATCAATGATTTGATTTGAATTCTTTCTTTGATTTCAGGTGGGGTTTGAAGGAGCACATAGTGCAATGAGACCAACACTAAGCAGTGTTTCTGGGGGAAAACCGTAAGTTGCATTACTTTTATGCAGACTTACTAGATACTATACTTTTATTATTTAATATATTAGCATCTATACAGGTTAAATGTTGGTCACTAACTGTGATTTTTTATTTGTTACAGAGCATATTCATTCCATATAAGTGGTGATGGCCAAATGCAACCTGTACCATTCCCTCCTGATGCTCTTATTGGACCAGGTATTCCCAGACATGCAAGGCAGATTAATACGCTAAACCATGGAGAAGTTGTGTGTGCTGTTACTGTTAGTAATCCCACACGGCATGTATATACAGGCGGAAAAGTAAATATTACTTTTTAAAATTCTTTAAATATTTTTTGTTTCATTAATAAATGACCAAGCTACATAGATTATAATCATGACCTTGCATCTGTCTAGGGTTGTGTTAAAGTTTGGGATATCAGTCAGCCTGGCAACAAAAGTCCACCCATTTCTCAGTTGGATTGTCTGGTAAATTACCACTTATTTTATAAAATGCAATTAGTAAATAAAGTAATTTGTTTCTTAGCAGTGAAAATTATTTTGTACAAACATTAATAGATCTTTAAAATTTTTCTAGCAAAGGGATAACTACATTCGATCAATAAAATTGTTACAAGATGGGAGGACACTTATTGTAGGAGGTGAAGCAAGCACATTGTCAATATGGGACTTAGCATCTGTGAGTATAACAATTGAAATTTTAAACACCTTATAGCTACTATATTCAAGGATCTTTGAGACCTTTAAATTTAAACTACCACTCTGTTTTTAAATGATTGAAAATAACTTTTTTTATTATAGCCGACTCCAAGAATAAAAGCTGAGCTAACTTCAAGTGCCCCTGCTTGTTACGCTCTTGCTATCAGTCCTGATGCCAAAGTATGTTTCAGCTGCTGCAGTGATGGTCATATTGCAGTTTGGGACCTCCACAATCAGACTCTAGTCAGGTAAGAACAAAAGGTTTTATGTACTTCATTCTTTCATAAAATTTAAAAAATTGCTCATTGTAAAACAATAAGTTCTATGTGAATTATGTACTGATTTTGTTTTGTAGACAATTCCAAGGCCATACAGATGGTGCCAGCTGCATTGATATATCGCCAGATGGAACAAAACTTTGGACAGGAGGCTTGGATAATACTGTTCGCTCATGGGACCTTAGAGAAGTAAGTCATATTAATGATCATAATACAATGTTGAAAATATTTTGTGAGTGATAACATTTAAACTGGTATATTTTTGTTTCAGGGTAGACAGCTTCAGCAGCATGATTTCTCCTCTCAGATATTTTCATTAGGATACTGTCCAAAGGGAGAATGGTTAGCCGTGGGGTAAGTTGTTTGGTCAATGTTACTGTTGTTCATATATTGTACTTTCTATTTAAATTGAGATGTTACTTGGTGGGTACCATTAAGAGTTCAAGCACTAATTCGCTATTTTTATTTCACTATTACAAAGTATGGAAAGCAGCAATGTTGAAGTGCTGCATCATTCTAAGCCGGACAAATATCAACTACATCTCCATGAAAGCTGTGTTCTGTCTCTTAAATTTGCTTATTGTGGTGAATGGTTTATAAGCACAGGAAAAGACAATTTGTTAAATGCATGGCGTACACCTTATGGTGCAAGTATATTTCAGGTAATTTTTTTTATTAATTTGCACCCTAATTTTAAAAATAACTTCAGACATTCTTCATCTATTTACATTGACAAGTGTTTTTTTACTTACATTTACTTAAACAATATTGTATATTTTGCATTGCTAAAATTTAATCTAATATAAATATACCATTATTTTTCAGTCAAAGGAACCATCATCAGTGCTGAGTTGTGATATTTCTGCTGATGACAAATACATTGTAACCGGTTCAGGTGACAAGAAAGCAACAGTGTATGAGGTTATCTTTTAAAAGATTTCCTGGATGTATTATATTTCTCAATGGAGGTTTGTTTTCAATGAAGACCAGTACTAAATGTTCATTCATTGGATATAGATGCCTTCTCTGAATTGTGTAGGGTTCATTGGGATGTAATTATGGATTTATTGGATATTCACTACCATCATAACAACAATTTCAGTTCTGAATGAATTCAGTTGTTTTCCATGTAGTTATGGAGGAACGGTGATTCTGGGATTTACCAAACTAATGGACTAACAGTATGGAATATATAATTTTATATATACCTTTGCTTACTTGAAGTAATGTTACGATGTGGTGCATTCATAATGCCTGTTGTGCTGGATACAGTTACAACTAAATATTATTTCTGAGTGGATTACACTGTTTGGAATTAACAGAAAGGCAGTGTAGTGGAACGTTACTTGAATGCTGGACTTTCTGTCTTAAACTTTTGGATTTGTGTAACCAAGAGAGCAGGAATTTCCTATGGTTAATTCCTGACATTTTGATTGCCTCATCCTCAGATGTGTTCTGAGAATAAAACATAATAGTATTTTTTTGCATGTGTGAGTTCATTCATTGTTGATCAGTGAGTCTTTTAAGAAGTTAATGTGTTCTTTGGTAAATTTTATTTTTTAAGTATTTTTTGTACTGAATGTGTGTTTCTTACTGCCAGGGATTTAAAAAAAAAATATGACTTGTATATAGACCTGATGTTGCATAGACATAATAGACATGACGGAAAACAGCTGTTCCATATCAATGGTAAGATTTTGTTGTGAGGGATTACAAAGTATATGGACATTGAATGAGTTGTCTAGTTTGTGCTGCTTTGCTTACTTTGTTGGTTCTTTGTGCTAAGTAAAAAAACAAAAAATGTTTGCATATAAAATATCTTCAGTTCAAACTTTATATAAAGCTATGCCATTTTAATATATTTTATAATGCCAACCATTACTTTATACCTTCCTAAATTAGTGCTGTAAATGGCATCTGGCGTTAAATGGGTGTTTATTGTTTATTTTGTGTATTGTTTATATAAGCTTGACATGTTTATATTGATCTAAATAAAAATTGTATGTTTAGATGGCAGAAATATTTGCTGTACAAAAATTCTTTAAATATGGCTAAGCTCTATCAAAACAGTGTCTGGTTCTGATAGAATACTGTCTGTCCAGTTATTCTTATCTTCAACTACATTCTAAGTCAGGGGTCTCCAAACTTTTCAGCCCGAGGGCCGCATTAACTATCAAATTTGAGTTGGGGGGCCAGTTTCTTCCAGGCATGTCTTTGATTTTTCTGGGCAAAGTTCCTCAGCCATCACCAACAAACGTTGTTTCCGTGGACAAAAAGATCTCCGCGGGCCGGATGAGAGGACGTCGCGGGCCGCATCCGGCCCGCGGGCCGTAGTTTGGAGACCCCTGTTCTAAGTTCAACTGGACTTAAGTGTTTTGGCCACCTCACTTAGTTTATAATGTATTCCTTGTCTCTTGTTGACTTCTATCATTAAGTAGACTAATTAAACAAGAGCCATTTTATAGCAGGATTACTTTCTATTTTTGGAGTACTCGTGCACACACACACACTGCTGTGCAACTCACATCCTCTTTGGTTAGCAACTCACATCCTAGTTATTTTAAGGTTTGTGTTGGCCAGTGGTAGCCATGGGGGAGGGGTATTTGGTTTAGTTGATTTTCTTCTTTACTGCTAATGCTAACTTTCATCTCGCTTTAGGCAGTTCTGGTAATTTTTTATCTCAAAATTTTATTTTAATTATCTATTTACTTCCATGATTTCAAGTAAAAATGATAATAAAAAGTGATACTTGGAGAGGGTAAGCTCATTGCTGAAGTGTTCTTATGTGAATACTGATAAGATATCACTGTGTGATGTGTCTGTTTGCCCTTTATACTGAGATACAGGAACAGTTTTTTTTGGGGGGGCTTACAACATTTGGAGTCATTGAAAAGATTTCAATAGCACTTAAGGCCAGGAAATTTGAACTTAAGAATTTAGAGAGAAAAGCTGGCTTGACTAATTGTCTTTGTTTTTTCACAATAGAGCATATATATTTCTACCTACCTCATGTCATTAAATCTAGGCTTTCCCAAGGTTTTACTGGTTATTTTTAAAAATTAAACTTTTTAGGATAGCATATTATTATTCTTGCTTGCAGATTCATGTGACATAAAGAAATAGTTGAGTATATGATGGGCATGAGATTAAAAGTTTAAATTCTTGTCTATAGATTAGAAGCTGCACATCTCATGAAATGTAGTTATTTGTTGAAAACATGGTCAAAATAATGCACTGGTTGACAATATTTCAAATACATTTTTGTACTCATTCTACATACTACAGTTGAAGGCAACAATCCTAAAATAATGTTTCTGTGTTTCCCTTAACTAGAGCAAAACCACCTGCTCCCTCTGTTAGAAATGAGTACATTCAGCTAAAAGTAAGCAAGTGATAACCAGCTTTATCCGTCCTGAGGTGGACAGTTTGTCTGATAACTGTAGTTTTATAACCAATTAGTTTGTTTGCTCAAACCAGCATTAGCCAAAGCTAATGCAGCTCTTGTTATCGTTTCATTTTGAAGTGGAGCTTTTTCAACTCATCAAGATGTTTTAAGATAACAGCTTGTATTTTTCTCTTCTAAATACCAGCAGCTGAAGATATTATAAAAAAACCTTTGGTTGTGTTTTCTTGTATATAACTACAGTTTAGATCATGTGACTAGGTTTATTTCTCAAAGCACAACAGCAACTATTTTCCTTAATGGACATGGGTGGTTAAAGATTTCATCAGTCCATTTCTTTAAAAGTGTCAGGTTTGAAAGTCTTTCCAGTCTAAATTCAAGTTTTCTATTTCTAAGCCACACCTTGGTGTAATAACATTATTTCCTGTTTGATGTAATCTAGTCCAGGAACTTGCTCTAAACATTTACTGCTGGCAATATCTTGCACATGCAGGCTACTCTGTTGGTTGCTGGATCCTTACTTTGACTTTTTCTAATGTTACATTACATATTCAAAACTTATGTTGAAATTGAAAACTATAATATAAAAACTCTTTGTGGTTAAAGAAACTCCTTAAATAAATGATTAGAGAAATTGAACAATGCCCATAATTTTATATTCTCAATGGTATGTTACTTGTTTATATAACATTTTAACTTGCTAGTAAAACAATAACTTGTTTTCATTAGTGAGCTCCATGTTTTCAAGTGTGCATGTGTGTAACTGAATTGAAAGTGGGTTTGGTTTTATTTGTTTTCTTTTTGACTTAGCTGTCATCACTGCCATTTTTAAAATCTTAATTATAAATGGAATTTTAAAACACTTAAATGGACATAAAGTGCTCATCTGCACATAATGTGGTTCTTATGTTTACATACATACCATTATGATTTGTTGTCACCAATTTGTTGTCAACTCTGGGCGGAGCATGTGTTTAATGTATTGTTGTGTCACTTTTCTCCTAATTGTCTGGTCTTGTGCTAGCCTGTCTGTTTGTATGTTGTTACTGTAGTTTCAAAATTGATAATAAAAAATTGACAAATCAATCCTAAATTTTGTTCATTAACTTCAATACTACCCTTCACATTTGTTTGTTCTCCTGTGTATTTTCCTGAAGCTACCAGCAGAAACAGATGCATAATGAATTTGAACATAGTATACACAATAGGTGCAGTTCTTATGTCAGCTATCTTTGGTACCTTACTGCTCAATGACAGACTGAGATCTGCAGTTTAAGGTATCTTAGGAAATGTTTGATATTAGTGTCAAAAGGACAAGTTGAGGAATAAGTGCTTCACTAAGTGTCCAGCAATTTTAGCACTACTTGTATATATAGGGGTGTCTCGGTTTAAGCGTGTAGAGCCCCACCCCGCCAAATTAAGCCTGGTAGAGAAATGGGATGTAATAAGATCACCAGTAACCGTTGACAGCTGTGCTCCCTGGTCACGTGATGGGCTTTAATTTTCTGTAGGAACGCCAGGTGATAAATAATGAATATTCTCGTGGTGGACAGGTTGATATGCGAGGGATAACTCTTTAAAAATTGTTTGCTGGAGTTAGAATTCTTCTCTCACTCGTATCTGAACTAGATAGCAATCTGAACGCTCTACTGTGTAAATATTGACTCGGCAAATGGCTGTTTGCACGCCAGATATACCCACATTCTCTCCCCTTCCCCGCTCTTTTTTTTTCTTGGAATGTTTACAAATTGCTGTCCCTGGCCTGGATTGATAATGAAACGTTAAAATTGACATTAATAATTTAGAAGCACTAACATTAACTCCCTGTAATAAGCTAGCCCTAGCAACCCCTTCCCCCTGTAAGCTTATCGATGCAATGATTTTTTTTTTAAAGCTATAATTATTTTAAATTTAATAACGGCGTGCTTCAGGCCTAATATGACTGTTATAAAGAAAACTTAATTTCTGAGCTCTTTAATTAGCTCAGGAAAAAAAAAGTGCATATTGGATTTTTTGCTCACCATTATTTCTCTTAATTTGTAACCATGCTAAGAGCGCCTTGATAATGTCGGTTCTGCGTATCGCGCCTTACTCGTTTAAAAAATCTGGTAGGCCAAACGCGTGAACTCGCATGCCAAAAGGTTATAACACGCCAACTACGCAGACGATAACGCTCTAAAAACAGTGTACGACCTTTTTATTTAAATGAAACAAGGTCGTTGGCCGTTTGCTTGAAATCAGGAAATCCAAACTGCTAATGCAATGTGTTTAAACGTAAGCATAATTAGTAAACCTCTTTGGTGAAAGAAATAAAAATCCCATAACGTAGATTGTCAGATCAATCAATCATTACGGCTGAAGATAAAAGGGTTAGAATTTTTTACTTTAGGGGGATAATGGTGCACATGGTTATCGTTGCATTGGCAAGTTTGTACGGAGTTATTAAACTCTAAAATTCTAATTCAGTGTTGGCGTTTTTACTTTATTCTAATGAATAATTTTGGTAACCAAAACTTGAGGAAACGAAATAAAAATTATACAAAAATCGGATAGCAGTCTGGTTTAAAGTATGACCAGATTTTTCTCGTCATAACAACCAAAGAATGTGACATCCAAATCCAAACTGATATAACTAAGAAGATAGAGACGGTTGACTCAGTACAGCCATGAGTTCAAACACAAAGCCAAAACCTCAACTGTTGAAACCCGCGGCGACAAACTGTATAGTTGATAAGCAGTGTGTGACGGCTAGATGACAATTTGGTCTTGTTCGATACAAATCTCCCACCCCCCTCCCTGCCCCAGTAATGCTGCGTACCTGACGTCTGTCATTGCTTCACATGGCCAGGTTTTTGTACACAAACTTAAACAGTGTGCTGCTAAATAAATATAATAAAGAGTTACCTTTTCTAACTGGTTTTTTTTTTTTTTTTGGTTTACATTTCTAATTTACCCAAACCAAACCGTGAACTAGGCAGCATTTCCACATACAGATTGAATTTCAATAGAAAGGAATTAGTTGAGGGGTTGGGGTGTGGTTGTGTTGCGTTCGTACTAGCTTATCCACTCGCTGAAATAAATGTTATTCTGTACACATTCCTTTCTTCGACACGAGAAAGATTAATGGGCTCTGTAGGCCCATTATACCACAACCTACTAATAAAAAGCTAAACCTAACTCATACTGGCTTAAAAACTGTAAACCTAACTCTGCATGTAATCCTTCCAGTAGCATCATTACTGTAGTAAACCGCGTAATACAAATATAATAAAAAATACTGGTTGCAATTTTTACTAAAAAAAAAAAAGACTAGCAACAGACCCCCCCCCCCCCCCACCCCAGAAAACAAAGAGGTTAATACAACACGGTCTTACATTGTAATGTCTGTTATTGTGTAGGGTTAGGGAATGCTTAACGTTTATTAATTGAAAATGTAATTAGCAATCCAAACTATTTAACAAATAAAATTAGATATTGTATTCTCATCTAAATTGGTACTAGCATAAGTAGCATTTGGTTATTGTACACTGCGTAATTTATTTCGGTCATACCATTTTGCAGTAGAAGTCTTACAGTATTTTGTAATTGAATTTAAATGTATAGAGTCGATCAATAGACAAACAGTTCAATGTAAAAATGGCAAACCAGACTAGAACATTATAAATCTTATTTCGTTCAAGGCAGTCAGTTCAGTCCACACCCTCCCCCCCCCCCCCCCCCAACTCTCCTTGTTAAAGGCTTACCTGTTGTTTTTTTACTCTAATTAATTGTGCTTGGCGGGATACAGATGTGGGATATATTGATCTGTTGCATGCTGGATAAAACCTGGTATAGGCGTTAATGTGTAAAAAGTTGTTAATGTGTGGAAAATTGTTTATGTGTAGAAAGTTGACAATGTGTAGAAAGTTGTTAATGTGTAGGGAGTAGCCATTGTGTAGAAAGTCGTTAATGTGTAGAAAACTGTCAATGTGTAGGAAGTCTGGCCATAATTTGTGTATTCAAGGCTCCTCAATGCTATGTCATGTCCTGGATTAATCAGGACGCCAATGTAGCTTTGGTTAAGGGGACACAACTTTGATTTTAAACTTTCAAAATATTGATTTAAAAATTAAAGTAACGTTCTTTAACATAGTTATAATGCAATGTGTTTTGCGAAAGAGAGTCCTAGTTATTCATCCAACTTTAGCACAGTAGGTCCTATTTTATGATTACGTCACAACTGCGATGGTCATGTTGAAATAGTGCGCCAGTTTTGAAGATGCTACATCTCTTTCCAAACTGCCAGTTGCGAGTACAGTAAAAATGTTTCCTTTATGTAATGCCTCGCTGCATGCTGCCAATAAATCTATGGGTAAAAAAAAGTAGGGTAAACATTGACAATTTTCATAAGAAGGCGAGTTAAAAGCTTGTGTGACAATAACAGATCAATTCGCATGTTCTTTTTTTCCAAATCTCAATTAGTGCTAAAAAAAAATACGCTTTCATATTTTTAAACGCTATTATTTTTTTAAAGTTGTAAAATCTAGAATTCAGTAATTCGAACTCCCAAAAAAAAATATTTTTAAAAAATCCATTTAGGACCTCCTGTTTCTTACAGATGAATCTGTATAAAATATAATTGGGCAATTATAAATTAAAAGAGAAAATCTCAAACAAAAATCCTTATTTCAGCTAACGGCCTTCCATTTACTTCTTAAAGGCATTTCCGGTTTAACTTGTCGTGGCTATGACACGTCTCAGGGTCAAACCCAGAAGATATCTCAGTGAAATCTGGCGTTTACGCGTCTGCCTTTTGTCATTTTATTGCTAGAGTGTACACTTGATCATGGAGGCGATATCAATTGTTTATACGTTCAAACTAGGATATATATATATATATATATATATATATATATATATATATATATATATATATATATATATATATATATAAAAACTATAGTAATGAGTTTCTCGTGTAGCCAACGGTTATGGGATTTTAATCAGAGCTGTGCGTCTTGCCACTGAAATATTTTGGCTTGAATATCTTACAAAATGTTGAGATATCTTACAAAATGTTGAGGGTTTTTAAAAATCAAGACGAAGCACACGATGCTAGCCTATTTTATGGAAGTGAAGCATTGAACTATAAGATGTATATCCGAATGTCCATTACGCAAATAAACGTTTTCCAATTACCGCGACAACGAACTGTAGCTAGTCATACTGCAGTGAAAGGAGGGGGGGTGGACTTTCTCCGGGTAAATGTGAATAGTAGTGTGTTCAAATAAACACGTTTTGTTATTGTGTGTCTGTAAAAGTCACCGAGTCCACCCAAGTACTTAGCACTAGTTGGGTAAATAAAAGTGTCTTGATATTCTACTGGTACATTAAGGTATAATGTGGTATATTTGTGTCATTGATTTATAAATAGAGTACAATATAACAATTCAAACTACCATAGTCTAGGCTCGTATTGTGTACTGGATACCATTGTTCATCTGATTGTATGAACAGCATGCTATATAATATTTATTATATATTTCGTAGACTCGTATTAGAAGTATAAAAATCAAAAGGAACTGTGCCTGCTGCGTGATAGCAAAATACAGCGTGATAACGAAGTAATTCAAAGAGTTCGCTCGTCGTCTGGTGCACTTTGTGCCCTTAACAAGTAACAATTTATCGATTCATCAGCGGGAAATATACTTGTCAAGAAGTGGCCAGAAAAAAAGAAGCTTTCTCAGGCTTTAATGGGATTAACTTCGTGGACTAGTGTGCTAGGAAGGGAATTATTTTTACTTGCAATAAAAAAATAAATAGCCAAAAAAAGGGTGAACCAAAAGTAAATAATTTGTCAGCTTTTCTTTGAATAATGTTAAAATCCGGAAATGAGAGTGTTGGTGCAGGGAGCGGTTAGGGAGGTTGCCAGTTAAACAGCGGGGTAAGTCAATATATGCTTAACTCGCGGCGCCAAAATAAATATGTGTACAAAGTGTTGGAGTATATCAAACGTTATTACATTCCTTCTCAGATCGAGGCTATTTTGTCTTTAGAATGATGTCACGTGATTATTCGTGTCCCATGTATTGTCACGCGATCAAATA